CAGGCTGTAGAGCAGCTCCTTGCCGGGGCAGAGCTCCTGCACCAGCACCAGGGTCTGGGGGGTGAGGAAGGCGCTGTGCAGCTGCAGCAGGTGGGGGTGGTGCAGCCTCCTCAGCAGCTGGTACTCCCTCAGCACCAGCAGACGCTGCTCCGCCTGGTACGGAGTGACCTTAGCCACGAACACCTGGCTGGTCTCCACGTCTCTGCAGAGGGAGAGGACGCTGAAACGCCCCCTGAGAGAGGAGAGGGAGAAAAAGGAAGATTAGCATAAAAAACGGGGATAAAACAATCATTTTACTGAAGCATCCTGGGGCTGATTCCAGTCCGCTGTGACTCTAAATAAAGAAAGGTAAACATCCATGATGGTCTACAGATGTCCTGAAACAGTGGTGCAGTGACCCCTGGTGGTCAGTTTGGTAGAACATCTAAATATGTTATTATTTAAAACAATTAAATGGGGCGAAGCCTGCGAGCTAGTTCAGGCAGTCAACTTGAGCACTTATGCTGCATTCATACATAACGCCCCTTGCCACTCTACAACCAACCAATCAGAGTCTCCTTAATATGCCGCTCTATTGAACCTGCCAGATCTCTCTCTATGCTTTGCTTGCTGCTGCTATCGCTGCAGCTACTTCCTCGTCGCTGCTGCTTGCTGCCCCACCACCACCCCAGCTTCCACCTGTAGGCTCGGGGGGTTAGTTATTTAATCATCACTCATCGTGCTATGTATATCTATGGAGTGATGATGCCCGAGCCTAGACGCCAAACTCAACTATATGCTGCTTTTAATAAGCATGTTAAAGAAACACGTGAGTTGTCTGACTGTCTGAAGTGTATGTGCCGAGTGGAGAGTAGCAGATGTGTGCTGTTTTCATACAAAAACATTTAAATGGTATTTTTTTTAATTGGCTATTTTACTGTTGTTGACTTTGCCAAAAAATCAGATTTTTGGAGAGCGGTGAAAGTCATTTTTGAAAGGAAACAGAATATAAATTAAAGGTACCATTTATTGTTCAATAGATATGTTGTGAATTTTGTATGTTATCACATTAATCTTTTGTTAAAAGATGACCATGAACAACTTTGAGGAGTTCAGAATTAGTTGTACAAAAATGTGAATGTCAACGTTAGAAATGAATCTTTGATCAGAACTAAATATTGGTTGACGACAGAAATATCAGAATCTGTGATGGACTTGAGGAACCTGTGAAGTCACGTCTATGTTTTTAAACATTAAAGCTAAAATAAATAATGTGCAAACCATAACACAGTAAATTAAATACACAGCTTCTGCTTCCGAATCCCACCTGTTGATCTCAGACAGGAAGTTGTAGTTCTTGTGTGTCGTCTGTCGTTCTGACCCGGTGACCTTTGACCCCAGAGTCTCCGTCTGGATGAGAGGAATGTGAATCTCTGTAAAACAGAACAAAGTTAGGGAACCCTTGAATTAGATGATATTTGTGAAACAGCATTTTGTATATATTGATTGTTGTGCTTTTATTTATGTCTTAATGTGTTCATATGTACAAATATGTCTGTTGATTGTGTATGTATCGGTATATACATATTTTATATATATTTGTATTTTTGTATTCGGGATTGTGGCAAACGGTATTTCGATCTCTCTGTCTGTACACACAAACTGAAAGATTGACAATAAAGTTGACTTTGACTTTTGACTTTGAGAGAGTTTCTCTTGCCTTCAGGGTGCGTTGGCATGACGACGGGAGCTGAGGCGTCACTGAAGGGTCCGGCTCCGGTCTTTGTGATACAGCCGACTCTGAACACATAGGAGGCTCCTCTCGGTAAATCCTTCACCACCAGGCAGCTCTCCGTCACCTCCTCCGACAGCACCGTCCACTCCCGCCCTGAGGGGGTATGACATCAGTTTTATAATGACATCCACAACACAGCTGGGGGACATGTAAATGCTATCCTATAGAGACAAGCTGTGGATAGGATGTACACCAGGAAAAACTCAACCAACCCAAAAACTGTGAATAACACAACCGAGTTATTTAGAGAACATGAGATTCAACAAGTCGTTTAGATGTAACTTCCCTTCCTAAGTCACATGCAGACTCATTACATGATATCCACCCTCCATCAGAGTATCTCCCATGCAACTCGACGACTACATTTGCACCTTTAATTATCTTGGCAAGCCAATAAAAGCATATTTCTTTTGAGGAGGGCTTCTTAAAGAGACAAGCGCTAAAAGTGTTTCAGATGAAGGGTGCATACAGACATACATTATGAGAAGGAAAAAAAAGGCTTTTGGAACATTAAAGGTCCCATGTCATGCTTTTCTGGTTATCACCCGTCCCCTTGTTGTTATGAAGGTTGTTCTGCATGTAAACGGTCTGCAGAGTCACAAACCCTCAAAGTACACCCTGTAGCGAGTAAAACTCTAACACAGAAAATACCTGTCTATGCTGCCCCAGAACGCCTCGTTGGAGATTTTCTTTTTCAATTTTTCCACCCCTCTGTGGATTGGTCCAAATTGACCAATCCGCGGACTTCCTCACACACACTCAATCTTTTCTCAGCTGCAGCTCCACAGATTTCTCCTCCCTGAGACGGCGGGAGGCTGTGAGTCGACACACACACACACACACACACACACACACACACACACACACACACACACACACACACACACACACACACACACACACACACACACACACACACACACACACACACACACACACACACACACACACACACACACACACACACACACACACACACACACACACACACACACACACACACCACACACACACACACACACACACACACACACACACACACACACACACACACACACACACACACACACACACACACACACACACACACAGCGGGTGTGTGTTTCGGGCTGGGTTTCGCTGTCTCGCAGACGGCCACTGGGCTCATAGGGAGGGGGGCACAATATAAATATATTCTAGTAGACCTCAACAATGGAATTATGATCAGTAGAAATGGCCATGACATGGGACCTTTAAAGCATGTAAACATGTTCCTTTACAAACCTAATAAGATAAGTATAAATCTTGAGATTCGCTTGATATGTCTCCTTTATTGCTCTTGCAAAAAACAGCTACTGTGTTTCTGTGTGCACCCACCCTCTGTGCAGTACTGCACACAGTAGGTGACGGGGTCACTGGTCTGAACTGGCTTCCAGCCCAGCAGGACGCCACCTCCGTCTAACTGGAACACTTCAGCTTTGTTTGGACGAACCAGCAGATCTGGAGAAGTAACACAAACATACTCAGACAGAGCTAAGGTACATTATGTTTCAAGCCTTTTGGACCTACAGGAAATATTATTAATTAAATATTATATATATATATAAATAAAAGTGTATTTCCTACCTTTGTTCTTTTTAAAAGCAGGTATTTTAAAAGAAGGCAGGAGTTTGGAGGCTCTCTTTTTTGGACTCTCCAGCCCAGAGCTGCGCTTCCTCTCAGGAGGGGTCGGAGCTGAGCCTTTCACTATTGGCCCTGTGAGAGGAAACAAACAACATGACAGTGTAGATATACAAAATACACGAGCAACGGCTCAGGTAAATACAACAAAATAATAACGCCCTTATCCCATCAACATCAAAACAGTGTCTCGACCCTGGGAGTGTTTCATATTCTACCTTTAGCTGCACCTCCCCTTTAAGATACATCATATCACGATCACGGGGTTTAAATGCCAAAGACTTCTCATTTCTATCGTCCATAAATATTCTTTAAACAGTGATTGAAATCAGTTCATCCCTGAGTGGACATTTGTACCATATTTGGAGATGTTTGAGAATGAGACGTTGCACAAAGAGACACACAGACAAGTCAAACACATGATAGAACTATTTAGATGTCTCACCTCCTTTGCTCACATCCTCCTTAGACCTGGTGAACAGTTTGGTCAGACTGGAGGCTGACGCTCTCATCTTCTTCCTCAGAGACATGGTGGGGGTGTCGGGCTTCATGATCTCCCCCAGCGTGGGTCCTAACGCCTGGTTGTCCAGCGGAGAGTACGAGTGTCCGGTCCACGACTGCCTGCGGAAGATCTTCAGCAGACCCAGTTTGGGCGACTTTCCCGTCGGGGGTCTGAGCTCCAGAGCTGTATCAGATGCATGTCTCTGGAGACCCCCACTTTCTTTCTTGTCTCTGGATCTGGGGGGCCTCTCTGGAGCCTGAAGAGACGAGAGGCTGGGACTGGGACTCGCTGGGATTTGACCGCATAATTAGGGTTGGATCGGGTGCGATTTCGTGGTGGAGCTTGAGGGAACGAACTCCTGGGTTTAACCTCCTGGAAGGAAGATGGCGACGGGGGGATCAGAGGCTCTCCTTGATCGTCGTACCCTTCACTTTCCCCAGATCTGCATCTTCCTCCTCTCATAAGACCATGGCTGAGCTCTTCATAGGAGCCAAGTCGACTTGAGGACTCGGAGCCACCGTGCTCCGGAAGAGACGATTCGGCCAGAGACCCTTGGGAACCGGCGAAGGTTTCCCGGGGTAGCTGATACGGATCCAGCGTCCTTCTGTTCCCAGCGATGAAGCTTAAGGGAACAGAAGACCGACTTTGTACCGGAGCGATGGAGCCTCGTCTTCTCGGGGGTCTTTGAGGACTCGGGATCGCCAACAAGTTCCTCCCAGTGGCTTCATCATCGGTCAAATCCTCCTTCAGTATAGAGATTGAGTATCAGTCAAATAAATAATGCCCTTAAGGTAAGGTACGTTTATTCATATAGCACATTTTCAGACACATCATCATTAACACTTAATAAGAAGACAACAGAAAGGAACACAATAAATAAATATAATGGAATAACAGATTCATAAAACCCAGGCATAAAAGAGATGCCGAATACTTTAAAAACAACATTGTAAATACGGTAGGTGCTAAAACAAGTTAAAATACTTCTGGGTAGCCACCAACATCCTCACAAGTGCATAGGCCTCTCGGACATAAGACATAAGGACAGGTCAAACACATAATGGCTGATAATAAAAAAATCTCTCACCTCCAAATCCTCCTTCAGACTTTGAGACCCTTCTTCCTCCTCATCCGGCTTCGGTGAGCTCGGAGATCTTCGGGAATACTCGTCCAGAGACCTGCTCCTCCTGTGAGGGGGGGCGTTAGCGTGGGGGAGGCTAACCCCGCTATCAAAGGAGCAGGACTTCTGCATGGTGGGCTGCACGGACCCCCGTCTCTGCCCACGGTTTGTCTCCGGGTCGTCCTCCACGTACTCGATGAGAGGCTCGTTCAGGCGTCCGGACAGGCTTCTCCGGAGAGGCTTGCGGCCCCTCTCCTGCTTCTTGGCCTGGAATTTGTCCCGTAGCGTCATGTGTCTGGCGGACATGGGAGACAGCTGATGGGAGGTGCTGTAGAAGGTGCTTCGGATGACGCTGCCACGAGGGATTCGACCCCCATCACTGCCTGACCCTTCCTCTCCATCGGACAGGTAGAGGGACTGACTGCTGTCCTTACTGAACCTCCGCTCTCTCTGAGGAGTGTGTTGGGAGGAAACGTCCGAGGAAGCGACCGACTGCCTGCTGACACTCCTCTCGAAAACACTCCTCCGTCCTAACAACTCCACATCCTCCTCTTCCTCCTCCCCTAACGTCATTTCCTCCTCTTCCTCCTCATCCAGGTGGCATTTGGGATAAGACTCTGGGATTTGCTCTCGCTCTGGGAAAGGATCGTACTCCTCCTCGGTCTCCTCTTCCTCCTCCTCCTCCTCCTCCTCCTCCTCCGTGGGGCTGTAGTGCTGGAAACAGTCCCAGGAGTCGGCCTCATCGTAATCGGAGGAGGACCCGCTGCTCGGGGAGGAGCTGCTGTGCTCCTGCGGCTCCCGCGGCACCGTCACCGCTGTCTCTCTGAGCGGAGCGTCCAGCAGCTCTGGGATCAGCCTCAGCGTGAGGACCGACCCGATGGAGGTCAAGGAACGCTGGGGAGGTGGAGAGGAGAGACAGTGGTGAAGACAGAGGATTTGGCTTTTCTTTGGGAACATTAGATTAGATTCCTTTATTGTCACTACACAGAGAACAGCGAAATTCCAAGCATTCCCGATGGTGCAATCCCACATAACAGACACTATAAGTATCATTTTGACAACATGTTGGCTAGAACATTCTCTTGGTGTTCAGATAAGGTTAAGGTGAACCTCTTTAGAGCTTATTGTACTCCTCTCTATACTGCCCCCTTGTGGGTCAAGTTTAAGAAGGCGAACCTCAAGACCAGGGGGGTCAAACTCAAATACACAGTGGGCCAAAATAAAAAAATGGGTACTAGTCGAGGGCCAGACTGGTTCAATGTTTATTGCAGAACTTATTGAAATGAACTTATTGCACATATTAAACCTGGAACTAACAAAGCTTAAACTATTGCCTATAAAAACAACATTAAACAATCAGTTGCATTCATTTCTTATGGCTCTATCTGCAGCTTAGAGTCATTTCTTATGATCACATTTCTCCACAGGCCAACAACAGCTTCAACAAAACTATTCCCCTCAAAGAGAAAACCAAACATGCCCTGTTGTCCTGAGAGAAAGTGCAGAAGGAAACATCCATTAAACTCAGTGTGATGCTAGTTCAGATACTTGGCATCTCCTCTTGGGAGCAAGGTCATCAATGTTTGGGCTCAGGCTCTGAGCGGAGGAGACCCTCAGGATGGAGTGAAAGTGTGCGTGCAATATACCGGCGGGCCAGATCTAATAGTAATTACAAATTATCCTGCGGGCCGAAATTAAATCCACCAAGGGCCTGATTTGGCCCCCGGGCCTTGAGTTTGACACGTGTGCTCAAGAAGCTCATAATGACTGTCTGCGTATACTGCTTGGAAAACCAAGGTGGTGCAGTGCAAGTGAAATGTTTTGTAATGCACGAGTCAACACGTTCCATGCTCTCTTGAGAAATCTGATGTACAAATTCATCTGTCGATTGAATGTTTCTCATAACTGTCATTATGCTGCTTTCAAATCCGTGTCTCAGTGCTGTACGATACCAGGCACCTCTGTGGAAACATTGGTATAACTGCCTTTTTTTATTTATATTTGAGTGTTGTGTGTCTTTTAATAATGGACCTAGAGTCTCTTCAAATAAAAGCTGATGATGATGAATACAAGCTAAACACTTTTAATATATATATAAAGTGACTATAAATTAGACCTATGATACATTGAAGAGTACGCTTACAGAACAATACAACATTACCATACAAATACAAGAACAATACGGTCAAGGCAGTAAAAAAGTCAATAAGTAAGTTATTGTACATGTATTTAAAATCCAATGACATTGTTTTCAGTCGAGGGATCTCTGCTAAGGATGCTAACTTCCTTATCTTATCCAACACTTTTTGCAACTGACCTGCCATTTCCGTTTGGAGATGAACATTTTCAAAGTCCTTGTGTTGATTTCATCCGTATCTTCTCCTGCATGTTCGTCCTGTGAACACAGTTAGAAAGTATTGTGTTTTTGTATTCCTAACTTCAGAACACATGCATTCAAAAAAAGTATTTCCTCTCACCTGGATCCATTCGTGGCTCAAGCACTCAAAGGCCGAGGGTCGCTTCCTACAATAGAGGAACATTTGGAGTGAAAAAGAAATGAGGAAGAAGGAAAATGTCCCTAATAAAGTCTAAATGTTGAAGGTAGAGTCAAGGCTATGAAAAATAAAGTTACGATTTTGAGAACAAAGTGGAAAGGTCGGGAATAACTCAAACTGTTGTCAGGTCACACTAAACGTTTGACATAATCTCAATACTCCTGTCTTCCTCACTCTGGATCTGGCTGTAGCAGCATGTGGAGAAAGCTCTGGGCCTCGGGGCTCCTGTGGGTCACATCGGGGGCGTCCCAGTTCAGCGTCCCCTCCCCCACCCGCAGCAGGGTGGCCCGGTCCGTCTCACCCACAAACGGGCAGCGACACACCAGACTGTCAGGACATAAAGTGATGAACAGTGAACAGACACCCTGCATATATGGACAGCTTCTTATAGAACTGTATATTAAAGATGTTGAAGGTTTAAAAGTGTGGTGAGACATACCAGATATACGCTAGAACACCCACAGACCTAGGAGAGAATAAGAGGTATACATTATATTGATAAAGTACTACACACAATAAGACCTAAAAGAAGTATTAGCTAAAAGGGTAATGAGGGAGGAACACAGAGTAAACTAAGCAATAGGTAGGTAGGTAGCTAGGTAGGTAGGTAGAGAGATAGATAGATAGGTAGGCAGATAGGTAGGTAGGCAGGCAGGCAGGCAGGTAGGTAGGGAGAGAGAGAGAGAGAGAGAGAGGTAGGTAGGGAGAGAGAGAGAGAGATAGATAGATAGACACTGTAGGTAGATACTTTATTTATCCCAATTTGGGACATTATTTAGTTACAGAAGCAGCAGTGTGTTCAGACATTAAAATAAAAATACCTAAAAAGTGAAATATTGAATTAACAATGAAAAACAAAATGAAAAACATGATATCAAATATAAACAATATCAAATATTCAGGATAATTAAAATGTTCTTAAAAAAGTCCAAAATACTGCAGTAGCAGGAATATAGGCTTTTACTACAGGAGCATAGACATACTGTATACTGTGGGGCAAAAAAGTATTTAGTCAGCCACCAATTGTGCAAGTTCTCCCACTTAAAAAGATGAGAGGCCTGTAATGTTCATCCTAGGTATACTTCAACTATGAGAGACAAAATGAGAGAAAAAGAAAAAATCCAGAAAATCACATTGTCTGATTTTTAAAGAATTTATTTGCAAATTATGGTGGAAAATAAGTATTTGGTGAATAACAAAAGTTCATCTCAATACTTTGTTATATACCCTTTGTTGGCAATGACAGAGGTCAAACGTTTTCTGTAAGTCTTCACAAGGTTTTCACACACTGTTGCTGGTATTCTGGCCCATTCCTCCATGCAGATCTCCTCTAGAGCAGTGATGTTTTGGGGCTGTCGCTGGGCAACACAGACTTTCAACTCCCTCCAAAGATTTTCTATGGGGTTGAGATCTGGAGACTGGCTAGGCCACTCCAGGACCTTGAAATGCTTCTTACGAAGCCACTCCTTCGTTGCCCGGGCGGTGTGTTTGGGATCATTGTCATGCTGAAAGACCCAGCCACGTTTCATCTTCAATGCCCTTGCTGATGGAAGGAGGTTGTCACTCAAAATCTCACGATACATGGCCCCATTCATTCTTTGCTTTACACGGATCAGTCGTCCTGGTCCCTTTGCAGAAACACAGCCCCAAAGCATGATGTTTCACCCCCATGTTTCACAGTAGGTGTTCTTTGGATGCAACTCAGCATTCTTTCTCCTCCAAACACGTCTAGTTGAGTTTTTACCAAAAAGTTCTATTTTGGTTTCATCTGACCATATGACATTCTCCCAATCCTCTTCTGGATCATCTAAATGCTCTCTAGCAAACTTCAGACGGGCCTGGACATGTACTGGCTTAAGCAGGGGGACACGTCTGGCACTGCAGGATTTGAGCCCCTGGCGGCGTAGTGTGATGGTAGCCTTTGTTACTTTGGTCCCAGCTCTCTGCAGGTCATTGACTAGGTCCCCCCGTGTGGTTCTGGGATTTTTGCTCACCGTTCTTGTGATCATTTTGACCCCACGGGGTGAGATCTTGCGTGGAGCCCCAGATCGAGGGAGATTATCAGTGGTCTTGTATGTCTTCCATTTTCTAATAATTGCTCCCACAGTTGATTTCTTCACACCAAGCTGCTTACCTATTGCAGATGCAGTCTTCCCAGCCTGGTGCAGGTCTACAATGTTGTTTCTGGTGTCCTTTGACAGCTCTTTGGTCTTGGCCATAGTGGAGTTTGGAGTGTGACTGTTTGAGGTTGTGGACAGGTGTCTTTTATACTGGTAACGAGTTCAAACAGGTGCCATTAATAAAGTTAACGAGTGGAGGACAGAGGAGGCTCTTAAAGCAGAAGTTACAGGTCTGTGAGAGCCAGAAATCTTGTTTGTTTGTAGGTGACCAAATACTTATTTTACAGAGGAATTTACCAATTAATTCATTAAAAATCCTACAATGTGATTTCCTGGATTCTTTCCCCCCATTCTGTCTCTCATGGTTGAAGCGATAGAATTACTAACAAAGAACTGCTAACAGAGCACTTATATACTAATAAAGGACTGGCTTATCTAAAGCCAGTTGAGTAGCACTTGAAATGTTTGGCTCTATGAAACCTGATGTACTTATATGATTCTGTTTTCTTCAAGGTTGTGTCTTCCTGGTCGAATGTACTTATTGTAAGTCGCTTTGGATAAAAGCGTCAGCTAAATGCAATGTAATGTAAAAGTGTACCTAGGATGAAAATGACAGGGCTCTCATCTTTTTAAGTGGGAGAACTTGCACAATTGGTGGCTGACTAAATACTTTTTTGCCCCACTGTACATAGGATGCCAATAATTCACTGATATACAGAAAACTGCAAATTGTTCATGGTTATCAGGAAGGAGAAAGTCTATAGTACTAACGAGTGATAGTGAAGTTAGATTTTAGAAGAGATTTAAAAGATGAAAATAATTTTGCAAGCCTATAATTCTCCACAGTATTAGTTTCCAAATAGAAAAAACACATGTCATTGTGTCTTACTCTGCACTGTGAGAGCGATACGTCTAGAGAGAACTTTAAACACAATACAAATAGAAATATGATCTGATTCATCATGTCTGGTTAGATGTTAGACTCACCAGATATCCGTGGCAACAGTGACTGGTTCCTGGTGAACGACCTCAGGGGCCACACACTCCGGAGTACCAAACAAACTGTACTGGTGTCGGGACGCGTCTATTTCTTGGCAGAAGCCGAAGTCACAGATTTTAATCTCATCTCTGGGCGGATACACCATCAGGATGTTATCAGGCTGACGGGAGGAGAGATAAAGATGGAGTTAAGAAACGCAGAATGAATAATGACACAGCTTACTAACAGAGGTGGGAGAAGTACTCAGATCTTGGACTTGAGTGAAAGTAGAAGTACTCAGGTCTTGTACTTGAGTGAAAGTAGAAGTACTCAGATCTTGTACTTGAGTGAAAGTAGAAGTACTCAGACCTTGTACTTGAGTAAAAGTAGAAGTACTCAGATCTTGTACTTGAGTAAAAGTAGAAGTACTCAGACCTTGTACTTGAGTGAAAGTAGAAGTACTCAGACCTTGTACTTGAGTAAAAGTAGAAGTACTCAGATCTTGTACTTGAGTAAAAGTAGAAGTACTCAGGTCTTGTACTTGAGTGAAAGTAGAAGTACTCAGGTCTTGTACTTGAGTGAAAGTAGAAGTACTCAGGTCTTGGACTTGAGTGAAAGTAGAAGTACTCAGATATTGTACTTGAGTAAAAGTAGAAGTACTCAGATCTTGTACTTGAGTAAAAGTAGAAGTACCAGAGTGTAGGAATACTCTGTTACAGTAAAAGTCCTGCATTCAAAATGTTCCTCAAGTGAAAGTAGAAAAGTATTATCATCAAAATATAGTGAAAGTAGCGACAGTAAAAGTAGTCGTTGTGCAGATTGGTCCATTTCAGAATAATATATATGATATGTTTTATAATGATTGATCATGAAAGTGTTCTCAAAGCTGGTAAAGGTGCAGCTAGTTTGAATGACTTTGTATACTGCAGGGTAGCTGGTGGATTTACTCCAGGTGGAACTAAAGTCTGATTCAACACTTGATTATATTTCACATCATTCCTCCACATCTGTGAAGTAACTAAAGGGATTAAATACATGTAGTGGAGTAGAAGTACAAAGTAGCATAATTGAAAATACTCAAGTAAAGTACCTCAACATTTTACTTAAGTACAGTACTTGAGTAAATGTACTTAGTTACTTCCCACCTCTGCTTACTAATGAACATTCGGACAGGAAGTCTCACTTTAATGTCCAGGTGCAGGATGTTCATGCTGTGAATGTGACCGACTCCTTCCAGGATTTGCTGGATGTAAGACTGAACCTGAAATAAAGTGGAGAATATTAGTCCAGACACATAATATTATGATATATATTAACATGATATTAGCCAGGTTTTTGTGAATGAATGTGAGTTCTCACCTCTTTCTCTGAGACGGATCCTTTCAGTAATAGATGGTCCAGAAGTCCATGAGAACAGCAGCTAGAAAACGTGTTAAAGAACTCTGAATACAAATCAAGTTCAACACAATTAATCCCAATGTTACGTTTTATTGAGGTGAAGCGATGACGTCAATTGGTGGCAAAATAACATACGCAAAATCTGCAGTAAAACAAACAATAAACTGCTTAATTTAAAGGATGTTGGAATCAACAGAAAGTCTCACAATTGACCAATTAATGAAAGGTCCATGGACATTAACAACAAATTGGATTTCATGATCGCATTTATATGTACCTGATTACGAAGCAGAAGACATACAAATGCCTCGCTGCTCGTTTGTTCTTCAAAATGGGATTATTTGAGTTTAAAACTTTTTTTCGGGCTACCTTTGTCTGAAGCTAACATGATCACCCCCAACTTTGTTTGTAGGCTCTTTATCATGGATCTTTTATTAATAAATGCTGGTTTATATTGACTTAATGAGTAGTTAATTCCCAAAAATCAAACATATTACTACCATTGCTCTCTACATTCTAGTAGTTTCTGCAGATTGTGGTGATCCATTTGTTTTCTCTTTCAGCTGTGTAAATAAATATAACTCTGAACTCTTCAATCTAAATTTGGACAGTAAATCGTACAACAGCTCTTTCCCATTTTAGACGTGTTTTTGTGTTTTAACAACATTAAAGCCGAATGCCAGCGCTGACACTCAGTAAGCCTGCATACCCTGTATTGTAGCGTTAAAACATATAGACTTTTTGCACTACTTTTATTTTTGCATTTTGTATTTTATTATATGCTGCATTGTTGGAGGAGCTCAGCTCAGAAGAATTTCATTGCCATTTCTACACTGTAGCTTTGTGCATATGACAATAAAACCTTTGAATCTTGAAAACAGGAAGGATACATCTCTGTGATGAGCACCAGAGTGCGTCGGGTGCAGAAGAAGTCGAGCAGGCAGGCGACTCGGGGGTGCGCCAGGCGGGACAGCAGGTCTCTCTCCTGGAAGCCTCTGGTCCGAGTGCTGCTCCTCACAGGGAGGAACTTAGCAGCGAACACTTCCCCCGTCCGTCTGTGGACGACACGCTTCACCACCCCGAAGGTTCCCCTGAAACACACAGAGAAGGATCAAATCACAGTAAATCATACCAAGGCTTGCTGTGTGTACGTTGTCACGGAAACATGGCTAAATGACGACATCCCACCTCCCCCACTGGACTTTAAAGGTCTCCTATTATGCTATTTGTAGGCATATGTTATGGGTCTCAGATGTATACAAAATCTGGATCAGCTCCGTTGTTCCCTGTTTTTAGAGATTTGGGTACGGAGGAAAAGAGAGAGGGTTTTATTTTCTGACGCTGCGTGAGTTCCCCGACACACCGGGGACACATGTTGATGTATAACAAACATCAAAAAGTGCATTTTGCATGATACTGTAGGTCCCCTTTACCACCCCACACACACTCAGACACTCACATCCAGAACACTTTCTACACTGCTATGGACAGTCTTGCACTAATGCACATTTCTCAAAGTTATTTAAGTGACTGTTATTTTGTATATATTGATTGTTGTGCTTTTATTTATGTCTTAATGTGTGCATATGTACAAATGTGTCTGTTGATTGTGTATATATATATATATAGGTATATACATATTTTTATATATCTTTGTTATTGTATTCGGGATTGTGGGAAACGGTATTTCGAAATCTCTGTCAAGCTTAACACAAACTGAAAGATTGACAATACATTTGACTTTGACTTAAGGGCAGATTGGATTTGTTAATATTGAGTATGTTCACCTTCCAATTTCCTTGTGGACATCATAGACGGAGAATAACTTCCTCCTCTTCCCGAGCTCCGTCTCTCGCTCCTGACTCTCCAGAGGGCCTGCAGAGGAAATCAAACCTGAGAATAAAACAAGTCCAACACCTGGAGCAACATCAACTATAATCCTTTTCATTCAAACACATTTGTAACATAGGTAGACCAAATGTTTGGAAATGCATGTGTGTATAATAGGAAGATGAATCCACGAGGATATCCATCCAGGACCTATGATCCAGGACCACAGCCACGACTCAAGATCCAGGGCTCGCGATCCAGGACACAGGACCGCAGGATCATCCATGACTCCGGATCCCGGGAAGGGAAGCACACAGACTTGAATATGATGCATTCTGCTCACCTTCCTCCACGTTGAGCTCCGCCTGGCATGAAGCATGTCCGGATTCGTTGTAGGCGAAGCAGGTGTAGGAGCCTCCGTCCTCGCCCTCAGGACACACGATGGTCACTGAGAAACGAGCTCCGTGCTGAACTATCTGCACATTGTCATCAGCTGCAAGCTCCTCTCCATCCTCCAAACACAAGAGGAAAGATTCAGTAGGGAGAGATATAAGGTCTACAAATACTGGTTGTGTCCTCCTTAAATAACATAATGCCCTCCTGACCAATCAAAAATGGATGGAAGTTCAGTTTATCTTTATTGTCCAACTAGGGAACATTTGACTTGCAGCAGTTCACAATAAACCACACCAGAAAACGTATAACAATTCAACAATAAATGAAACATCTTTAAATAGATTTGTTTTGAGGAAATGGATAAAATAATGAATAAAACATCTTGTGCTACGGTGATAGCACAGAAAGTGGCAGAAAGTGCAAAGGTGCAAAGTAACATTTATTGTTTTAATAGGTGTGTCACTGTATGGCGTGTGGTGCAGTGGCTTGTGCGATGGTGTTGGGTTCAGGGGGTCACAGGTTCAAATCCCACTGCAGTCAGCATGTTGTTGTGTCCCTGAGACACTTCACCCCAAATTGCTCCTGTGGGGATTGCCCACAGTATTGAGTATGTAAGTCGCTCTGGATAAAAGCGTCTAACAAGTAACATGTAATGTAATCATGTAAATAAAATAATAAGATAGGTATTTCTTATCTGTGACATTTATGGTATGCATTTTTGCATGTATTCCAGGTTAATCACACTTAAAAAGCATATATAAAAGTAACTTGCATTGAAGGAATATGATATGTTATCCATCCCTAAATCATCTCACAGCCAGGCATAAACCTCTAAGTCTGAAAAGCGAAGCCAATAATGAAGTGCCTTAAATCCCAGCAGGGGGCGACCCAATAGAGGTCAGATTGTGTGGAAGTCAATGTGAGATGTAAGTATTTTTCTCTTGATTTATGAGCTCAGTAAACTTGAGAATTATGGTCTCAAACTCTAGTTTATAGTTTTCTTAATTAAAGCACATATAAAAATAGAGCGTCAGTCCGGCTCTGGTTTAGGGCGGGGCTTCCTTGTGATTGACAGGTTGCTCCCACCAGTGTTGTGCATCCTACCTTGTACCACTGCACATTAGGGGAGGGTCTTCCTGTGATGATGGCAGTGAATGTAGCCGATGTGCCGGGGTCTACACTCAGATCCTCAGCTGGGACCTGGATGGAGGGGGGGGCTGAACGGGAGAGCAGATCAATAGGTGATTAATCAAAGGGGATACAAGTCATAAAATAATGTTAAAGTGGTGATAGACACTATTTTTGCTTTAAATGATCAGTGTAAAGTCAATGTGATAGAGAGGCGAAGTCCCTCCCTTTCCGGGGAGCTCCATGGGACCTTATTTCAGAAAAAGTATGTATTGAAGTCAATGGAGAGAGAGATTATCTTTCGATCCTGTTTGAATTGTGCCACGAATTACACATATGATGTTTGTCAATTTAAAAGATAATTTTGCAAGTCAAACAAATTAAAATGTGTCGTAAAACTGTGAAGTAACCCTTTGTTTGTGTGAAACCGCTCAATGAACTACATCTCCCGTCTCGCACCACACACCCAGACGGCCGTCACGTTGAAACATTTCACTTCTTTCTTTCAGAATGAGGCGGAAAGTATTAAAAGAGTTGAAAATCACTCCAAGTCTGGGCACGTTGAGAGCTGTACATACACACAAGGGGAGTTAGTCGGTTCCTAAGAGCCAGCATGCGGGACCGGGATTCTGGGACTTGTAGTCTTTCTAGTTGCGTATTTTTCACAGTCTTATATTTCAACAGTTTTACGACAAACTGTGACTTTTTTGACACGGAAATGATTTTTTAAGATTGACAAACATCATATGTGGAATTCGTGGCACAATTCAAACGGGATCGAAAGATAGTCTTTCTCCATTGACTCCGAAATAAGGTCCCATGGGTCGGAAGTAAAAGGGGCGGGACTTCGCCTCTCTATGGGTGTCGAATGTTGCAATTATTAAAATAAAAGTCCTAGGAAACAAAGGAAAGGATCCAACAGCTGCAACAAGGGGGGAAAGTAAGAACAGTTATGCATTTCTACTTTAAAGAGGGAGTAATACCATCTGTCATTTCCTGCATTTGCTCTGAGATGAAGATCTCCTCCTCTTCCTCCAGGTACAGAGGCGGCTGCTGCACCACCTGACCCACAGAGGCCGAGGGGGGGGCAGCCTCTTCAGAACATTCAGCTCTGGGGAGGAAGATGTGATAAAAGAACAATGCAAGTATGAATTATGGATAACCATTTTGATGTATGCTCTTTTACAACCCAGTTCTTATTTAGTGTTGCTAGTCCAAAGTCCTACATTGTGGGTCAGAATGAGTCTCCTTCTGCAATTCTTACCTACAGCGAATTGTTAGTTTTCGAACATGAACAAAAATGAGGTTTGGGATGATTTTCCCATCTCTGACTCTGAAAAGTAACAACAGTTGTTCATGGTTCCCTCCCCCGGAAATTATGATTTGGGGAACAAGTTTTCAGATATATTTTCAAGTCAAAAGGCCTAAGTCCAAACCAAAGTCACGAGTCACCAGAGGTGGGAAGTAACTATGTACATGTATTCAAGTTCTGTACTTAAGTACAATTTTGAGGTACTTTGAGGTATTTCCTGTTACTTTGTACTTCTACTCCACTACATGTATTTAATCCCTTTAGTTACTTCACAGATCTGGATGAATGATGTGAAATATAATCAAGTGTTAAATCAGACTTTAGTTCCACCTGGAGTAAATCCACCAGCTACCCTGCAGTATACAAAGCCATTCAAACTAGCTGCACCTTCACCAGCTTTGAGAACACTTTCATGATCAATCATTATAAAACATATCATATATATTATTCTGAAATGGACCAATCTGCACAACGACTACTTTTACTGTCGCTACTTTCACTATATTTTGATGAGAATACTTTTCTACTTTTACTTGAGGAACATTTTGAATGCAGGACTTTTACTGTGACAGAGTATTCCTACACTCTGGTACTTCTACTTTTACTCAAGTACAAGATCTGAGTACTTCTACTTTTACTCAAGTACAAGATCTGAGTATTTCTACTTTTACTCAAGTACAAGATCTGAGTACTTCTACTTTTACTCAAGCACAAGATCTGAGTACTTCTACTTTTACTCAAGTACAAGATCTGAGTACTTCTACTTTTACTCAAGTACAAGATCTGAGTACTTCTACTTTTACTCAAGTACAAGATCTGAGTACTTCTACTTTTACTCAAGTACAAGATCTGAGTACTTCTACTTTTACTCAAGTACAAGATCTGAGTACTTCTACTTTTACTAGGGATGCACCGAATATTCGGCCACCGAAAATTATCGGCCGAAAATGGTTAAAAAGGCCCTTTCGGCTTTCGGCCGAAAGGGTTTTAGCACCGAAAAAATATCACCGAATGTCACAACAGGCTTACGTTGGTAACCTAACGTGTTGTTGTGATGACGTAATAAAGACGCGGCGACCATGCTCGCGGCTGGCTCACAGGAGGGGGGGGGGGAACATTGACCTTTGTCATCGAGATTGCCCTGAGCCTTTAACAAATCGTATTAAATAATCTGATGACAGACTGTAAACAGAATAGCTGACATTTTAACAAACTAAATAACTCAGTTACCTATAATCATTAATCCATGTTTGTATAATGGTGTTAACTCCGTGTGTTGCTGCTAGCATACATAACACCTGACGTGGAAACGTTACTCGTGGATGGGGCTACAGAGCTGCTAGAAAGACGGTCGAACCCGGTACATTCCTCCGTCTGCATGCGGTGCACTTTTGCTAAATGTTTAGACAAATTGCTCGTGCTTACATGCTAAACTCTTATTGCACTTATGGTAACAAGTATTCTCCACATCGAGACGGGTAAAGTTTAACCACACCTCGGAGCGCGTTCTCTCCGCCATCTCCGCAGTGTGCTCCGCTGCATGTAGCAGCTGCGTGTGTGTAAACTGCCCCGCCCCCTCGCACACAGACGGGGGAGAGAGATCTCGTCTGATCGAAAATACATCATAGACGCATTTGTTGTCTTTGCATATTAGAAACGAGTTGGCGACACTAAGACTGCGATATAATGTTTTTTAGCAATAATACATGACATATATAAATGTACTGTATGCATTCAAAAGTGCTGAATAAATGTTTTATGGACCCATAATAGTGATTATTATTTAAGTTACGTTTTGCCATAATCATGTCTATTTCCATAATCAGGTAGCTGAACAGCATTGGTAAAAAATGTATACATTATATATATATATATATTTCTATTAATCATTTTCGGCCTTTCGGCATTTGGTTTTCGGCCAACTGTTTCCTATTTTCGGTATCGGTTTCGGCCAAGAATTTCCCATTCGGTGCACCCCTAACTTTTACTCAAGCACAAGATCTGAGTACTTCTACTTTTACTCAAGCACAAGATCTGAGTACTTCTACTTTTACTCAAGCACAAGATCTGAGTACTTCTACTTTTACTCAAGCACAAGATCTGAGTACTTCTACTTTTACTCAAGTACAAGATCTGAGTACTTCTACTCAAGCACAAGATCTGAGTACTTCTACTTTTACTCAAGTACAATATCTGAGTACTTCTACTTTTACTCAAGTACAAGATCTGAGTACTTCTACTTTTACTCAAGTATAAGATCTGAGTACTTCTACTTTTACTCAAGTACAAGATCTGAGTACTTCTACTTTTACTCAAGCACAAGATCTGAGTACTTCTACTTTCACTCAAGCACAAGATCTGAGTACTTCTACTTTTACTCAAGTACAAGATCTGAGTACTTCTACTTTTACTCAAGTACAAGATCTGAGTACTTCTACTTTTACTCAAGTACAAGATCTGAGTACTTCTACTTTTACTCAAGTACAAGATCTGAGTACTTCTACTTTTACTCAAGCACAAGATCTGAGTACTTCTACTTTTACTCAAGCACAATATCTGAGTACTTCTACTTTTACTCAAGTACAAGATCTGAGTACTTCTACTTTTACTCAAGTACAAGATCTGAGTACTTCTACTTTTACTCAAGTACAAGATCTGAGTACTTCTACTTTCACTCAAGCACAAGATCTGAGTACTTCTACTTTCACTCAAGCACAAGATCTGAGTACTTCTACTTTCACTCAAGTGCAAGATCTGAGTACTTCTACTTTCACTCAAGCACAAGATCTGAGTACTTCTACTTTCACTCAAGCACAAGATCTGAGTACTTCTACTTTTACTCAAGTACAAGATCTGAGTACTTCTACTTTTACTCAAGTACAAGATCTGAGTACTTCTACTTTTACTCAAGTACAAGATCTGAGTACTTCTACTTTTACTCAAGTACAAGATCTGAGTACTTCTACTTTTACTCAAGTACAAGATCTGAGTACTTCTACTCAAGCACAAGATCTGAGTACTTCTACTTTTACTCAAGTACAATATCTGAGTACTTCTACTTTTACTCAAGTACAAGATCTGAGTACTTCTACTTTTACTCAAGTATAAGATCTGAGTACTTCTACTTTTACTCAAGTACAAGATCTGAGTACTTCTACTTTTACTCAAGCACAAGATCTGAGTACTTCTACTTTCACTCAAGCACAAGATCTGAGTACTTCTACTTTTACTCAAGTACAAGATCTGAGTACTTCTACTTTTACTCAAGTACAAGATCTGAGTACTTCTACTTTTACTCAAGTACAAGATCTGAGTACTTCTACTTTTACTCAAGTACAAGATCTGAGTACTTCTACTTTTACTCAAGTACAAGATCTGAGTACTTCTACTTTTACTCAAGTACAAGATCTGAGTACTTCTACTTTTACTCAAGCACAAGATCTGAGTACTTCTACTTTTACTCAAGTACAAGATCTGAGTACTTCTACTTTTACTCAAGTACAAGATCTGAGTACTTCTACTTTTACTCAAGTACAAGATCTGAGTACTTCTACTTTTACTCAAGTACAAGATCTGAGTACTTCTACTTTTACTCAAGTACAAGATCTGAGTACTTCTACTTTCACTCAAGCACAAGATCTGAGTACTTCTACTTTTACTCAAGTACAAGATCTGAGTACTTCTCCTACTGGTGTAAAAATCCAAAAGTGATTTGAAATTTTTGATTTGGCCAAGTCTAAAGTCATCAAAACTGTGACTGAAGTCCAAGTCATGTGACTAAAGTCAACACTCTTTTTCTATAAAACAATTATATTTCTAAAGTTTGGGAATAATTCCTCCCTAACTTTTCAATAACCCAACCACAGACAGAATGTACCAGGTTGAGGCTGAAGCTTGTTTAATTTACAGGTTAATACCATAATATTAGAGGCACTAACGTACTGTTCAGGGTGTTCGGGGGGGAAGAGCATCTTAGCGATGGAGGTGGGGCTGAAATCAGTCTGCAGCCATTTCTTCACAAAGGCAGCGGACCAACCCTCTGAGTCTGCGTCTACAGAAACAAAACTTCTACTCAGAAAGAATTTAAGGGTAAGACACTTATTTAAATATATTTTGAGGTATTACTATGCAGCGAAAAGTGGAGAAAAGTACATTACCTTACACACCTGGAACGTTATTAATGCATTTCTTACCTTAACGTGAGGGCTTACCCCCACTAACCCAACAGGAAGTGAGCGTAACCCACTTCCTCCCAGCACATGACCATCTGGTGTTGAAGGAGTGAGGAGTTAGCTGGGCATGCGTTGGCAGGAGGAGAAAGGGAAAGGCTGAGAGGTTATTTGTTATCGTGACAATGATGACTTACATGGAGCGGTCCATGTGAGGAACTTCCTGCTTCAGGAATAGTCGAGAGGGGAGATGGAAAAACATGGAGGTTATGGACAATGGCAGGGAAAACATGGTGAACCCGAAAATATGTATATATATGCAAGTGAAACAACTGAAACAACATCATTATTCTGAATAAGTCTGACTCCTCACATGCTGTTATATTCTTTCGATAGTAACAGTGGTAAATTAATAGACACCAGTACAAATAAAAAATACCTACATATAGTAAAGTAAAAGTGGTACTTATGTGTTTTTATTTGATTTCATTATGACTGTCGACGTCAACGTTAATGTGACTTTTGGTTTAATGGATACAAAATTGTCTAGTCTGTCTAATTTTGTGCAAACTATACATATAAATGACACATACAGTATGCAAGTGAAACAACTGAAACCACATCATTATTCTGAATAAGTCTGACTTCTCACATACTGTTTTATACTTTCTATAGTTACAATGGTAAATTAATAGCTACTAGTTCAAATGACTAATACCCACATATAGTACAATAAAAGTGGTACTTATTTTAATTGTATTATGGCTGTCGACGTCATGGTTAATCTGACTTTTGGTATAATAGATGAAAAAGGTCTAGTCTGTCTAATTTTGTGCAAACTATACATAATACATATAAATGACACATGGAGCTCAGCGCAAGTTCAACCAGGAAGACCTTCTTTACTCATTAATTTACTATGCTACGTTACTACTCTCTCTCCTCTCAATAAGTGATCGGGGGCGTCACTCCCCAGCTTAACCAATCACTTCGCTCTATTCTCTCAAGCCTATCATAGCGCTCCGCTAACCCTTTTAAATTTGCTCTCCCCCCTCTGACAGCGGTCATTTCAGGTGATTCAACGCAACCCGCCTCCATCCCTGTTCACCTCCTGTCCCTCCGAATCCAGGCTCAAGCTAAGCCACTCCCCTTCAGACCGACCCCAACTATCCATTCACCACCAAAAGCTAAGCCCCTCCCCTTCAGACCGACCACAACTATCCATTCACCACCACCAGGGTCAAGCTAAGCCCCTCCCCTTCAGACCGACCCAACTATCCATTCACCACCAAAAGCTAAGCCCCTCCCCTTCAGACCGACCCCAACTATCCATTCACCACCACCAGGGTCAAGCTAAGCCCCTCCCCTTCAGACCGACCCAACTCTCCATTCACCACCACCAGGGTCAAGCTAAGCCCCTCCCCTTCAGACCGACCCCAACTATCCATTCACCACCACCAGGGTCAAGCTAAGCCCCTCCCCTTCAGACCGACCCAACTCTCCATTCACCACCACCAGGGTCAAGCTAAGCCCCTCCCCTTCAGACCAACCCCAACTATCCATTCACCACCACCAGGGTCAAGCTAAGCCCCTCCCCTTCAGACCGACCCAACTCTCCATTCACCACCACCAGGGTCAAGCTAAGCCCCTCCCCTTCAGACCGACCCCAACTATCCATTCACCACCACCAGGGTCAAGCTAAGCCCCTCCCCTTCAGACCGACCCAACTATCCATTCACCACCACCAGGGTCAAGCTAAGCCCCTCCCCTTCAGACCGACCCAACTATCCATTCACCACCACCAGGGTCAAGCTAAGCCCCTCCCCTTCAGACCGACCCAACTATCCATTCACCACCACCAGTGTATAGACCCCGGGGGGTTTCACCGGATCGGAGTTTTCCCCTCCCGAATGATACTCCTGCACAACGGGGCCTAATCGCCAAAACACCATTACATTCATTTGTGTATTCCTGGCAATATATGTATTCTTACATCAAAACCGTCTCTCCTGATTGAAATAACGTTGGCAGGGATGGAAAATCCAATGGTACAAGAAATCTGGTGGCATAGTTTTATGCATATTATATTATATATATATATATATATATATATATATATATATATATATATATATATATATATATATATATATATATGTGTTGCATTGATTGTTGCTTGAAATATGACTAATGTAACTTTAGTTATACCTATAAAACAAGTCCATGTGAATCTGCATCCCTAAGCCCAACCCAGGCCCTCTGTGGAGAGTGGAAACGTGATGAAAAACACAAAAAACATTCCATACATTATATGTATTGATGTCTTTTTATGGGTGAGGATGCTGGGAAAATACAGTATGGTTTCTATATTGGATGGAAGACACTTGATCCCGCAGGGTTATGGCAATAGAAGGCTGTTAGAAAAATGTATTACATCTTTATATTATTTATTTGTCTTAAGTCATTTACTTTTGGTGAGTTAACTAAAGCTTAGTTTATGTAACCCTGGCTATGGACTGATTCATTATTAGAATAGGTTTTTTAGGTTATCAAAATTGATAAAAAGAGAGACTCTGTTAGGGAATAATTTGCTTATATAATATTCGTCTTCTCCTCTCACTGGCCGTTTCTCACGGCATAGGTCTACGGCCTTGGGTATTGCTGCTATCTCTCTTAAGGAGGAGCAGCTTGGGCGCATTGTTGTTGCCAGTCTATGACCGAGCACAAGCCGCCATGAGGTAGTTTACAGTTCAGGGACGAAGGCTCCCTGGCGCACATTCTTTCCCATGGACGAGAGCTCTATAGATTCAGGGTCCATAATGTTTAGTCTCACTGATAAAGAATGTTGATTATTACACTCTGAACTAGTTAAAACCTCGAGCTGCAGAAGAGTTCTTGGCAGCCGCTGTGTCAACTCGCGACGCACCACCTGTCTTGTCAATTATCCGGCCGTTACTCCAAATAAACCGTCAGCGTTTGACATCAAAGCTCCAGCTCTCCTCGTGCCTCTCTGAGTCCTGACTCTCCATTGCTTTAGAAGTTTCCCCCACAATTAGTAGTTAATACATTTTATTTTCATACGACTGATTCATAATCACTTTGATGAACTTTCCAAGTGAATTTCACACAGAAGCAGAAATCAACTCACCATTATTTAAACAAACTTATAAAGAGAGCGTTGAAATATAGAAATGATAAAAAGGTTTAAATACACATATCCTCATGTATTGAGATATAAAACAGGGTCTAGAAATATGATGATAGCTTAAAATTAAAATACAGCATTACAAAACATGCTATGGAGAAGGTAAGGCTAGATTTGAATGCCGTTTGCAGATGAACCCATTGTAGAAGGTGCATTGTAAGAGAATTACATTACAGGCTGGCTTTTAAATCAAGTATTTTAGACCATAAAACGATATAGAAATAAGATAGTCCATGCTATTTTCTATAGTTGTAGAATCATCTATTCCATAATTCCCAGGGATCAAGGGACACTTGGTATGGTAGTTTGAAGTATGATGTAATTGTGTGTGAAATGAAAAAAGGGGAAAATGAGTAAAATCTCAAAATGTACTGGATCAGATGGATAAGTGGTTGAAAGTGGAATTTGTGTTTTTTTTGGGAGGTAAAAAGACGTGGTGACGGGATCAGAAGGGGAGAGATCATGTGAACAATGGCATGTGCTTCTTTCCCATGATGCACCCTGAGTGCAGGATATTTACCTGCAGCGTGTCGCTCTGTCCTACCTTTAGGAGGTAAGTCCTGCGGCCGGTCGTCCTCAATGTCGGTCGGCGGGACGTAAACTGGGCAGAGACCGGCTTTACACTTCACACAGCCAAACTCATTACACAGCTGAAACACACAGGACATCACAATCAGAATGAAATGATAAAAAGCACAATATACAAAGGAGGAAATAAGTATTTGATCCCCTGCAGATTTTGTAAGTTTGCCCACTGACAAATAAATTAACAGTCTATAATTTGAATGGTAGGTTTATATAAACAGTGAGAGTAAGAATATCAAAAAGAAAATTCAGAAATTGACATTAAATAAAAGATAAAAATGTATTTGCATTTAACTGTGAGAAATAAGTGCTTGATCCCCTTGCAGTACATGTCTTAGTACTTGGTGGAGAAACCCTTGTTGGACACACAGAGGTCAGACGCTTCTTGCAGTTGGTCTTCATGGGTGTTTCTCAATGTCGAGTACGCTTGCTTGGTAGCACATGTCTTCCACACATTTTCCGCCACATATTTGGGGAAATTGGTCCGTGCGTAAAGCATTGTGGGGATTTTAAGACCGGAGTCTACACATGTGCACCCTGGAAATTTCTCGCTGAAGTACGCCGGGCTCGGTAGAATTCCAAGTATGCTGGACATTGGAACAATCCTTCGGCGGCACTCGATGACGTAGTATGCTTGAAATAGTGGCTCTGGAGCAGCTTTACTCGAGATTGAGAAACACCCCAGGTGTGTGCACATCTCAGGAAGGATTGTGGTCCACTCCTCTCTGAAGATCCTCTCCAAATCCTGAAGGTTTTGAGGCTGATGCTTCTGGAAGCTTCAGCTCTCTCCACAGATGTTCTATGGGATTAAGATCTGGAGACTGGCTAGGCCCCTCCATCACCTACATGTGCTTCTTCTTTAGCCACTCCTTTGTTGCCTTGGCCGTATGTTCAGGTTTATTGTCCTGCTGGAAGACCCATCCATGACCCATTTGGAGCCCCAGACCGAAAAAAATGGGCAAAATTGGCATTAAAAAAAAAATGGGCATCAATCAACAATCAATCGCCCTCAGGCCATTCATTTTCAAATAATGGCACCAACAGTTGTCTCCTTCTCACCAAGCTGCTTTCTGGTGGTCTTGTAGCCAATCCCAGCCTTGTGCAGGTCTACAATCTTGTCCCTGAGGTCCTTAGACAGCTCTTTAGTCTTGCCCATGGTGGAGAGGTTGGAATCTGATTGATTGATTCTGTGGACAGGTGTCTTTTATACAGGTAACAAGTTGATGTTATGAGTGCTTTTTTTAAAGAAGAGGACTTATGTCTCCGTCTGTGGGAGCCAGAATCCTTGTTGGTGGCAAGGGGATCAAATAATTATTTCCCACAGTTAAATGAAATCCATTTTTGTCTTTTATATAATGTAAATTTCTGGATTTTCTTTTTGATATTCTTACTCTCACTGTTAATATAAACTTACCATTAAAATGATAGACTGTTAAGTTATTTGTTAGTGTTACAAAATCTGCGGGGGATCAAATACTTATTTCCTCCACTGTATGTAAAATATACACATTGTACTAAAATGTGTAACAAAACATATGCAAAAATGTGAGGGTTAGGGTTCTGAGGGCCTAAGATATTAAAAAAATATATATTTGAAAACATTAAAAAAATATATTTATTTTTCTTAATATTTTAAATATTTTTTTTGTTATATTTTTCATTAGTTTTACCAAAAATAACTTGATTTAATTGTATTTAAAATAACATTTCCAAAGAAATAAATCCTTAAAATCTGCCTATTCAGTTTCTGTTGGAATGTGAAGGGTTGAAAGAATGAATGAATGAAGCTCGTCTCTGCGAGTTACTGTGAAGACGGGAGCTGATTGGTGGTCCTGCTGTAAATTCACAGAGGGCGAGCTACAGTAACTCAACGAGAGAGTAATGTCAACTGACAGTACAATTGACCAATCATATCTTCCCTCTAAATGGGTGGGCTTTGGGTGGGTCAGAGGTCCTAGGTATAAAAGTCACGGCTCACCACTGATTGTAATATATACATGTTTACATAATTAACATATGAAGATACAGTAGGTGGCTATTGTGCAGATGCCTTTACATTCAGAATCTTTTGATTATATGGATATGTTTTTTTACCTCACACTCGTACTGTCCGATATCTGCCTCCGTTGCCGTGGTGACCGTCAGAGACAAGATGCCGCTCCGAGCATCGTTCAGGATCAAGTATTTCTGCTGATCGCTCAGCTCTCTGCCATCTTTCATCCACCTGCAAAAAAAAATCTGGATCAAAATCTTCGTTTGCTGCAAGATTGGAAGAAATGTGCCTTGGTTCTTTTGAGCACAAGAAATATAAATACAGAAAATAAGAAATATGTGTCTAAAGAGAGCTAGGCGAAATGTATTGATGTTTTTTTCCACACACAATAATCGATATATTACGTGGTAACTACTGTACGTCAATGTTGTCATACCGTATCCGTGGTATAGGAGCAGTCAGGGTGGAGCAGGTGAACTGAACGTCTTCTCCTTCGATCAGACAGGCGCTCTCCAGCCGACACACAAACCTGGGTGGAGCTGCAGAGAAGAAGAAGAAACACATTCAAGTATCAGCTGTCCTATTTCCCCCCAATCCTGACAGATTCCATCGTTTTGTGAATGAGATTTCACAGATTGAAGTGGGACTGGAACTTGAATGTCCGTTTGAACCTGTTTTTTCTCCTCCCCCCCAGACTCACCCCTCACCACCACCTTGGCCAGAGTCCCTGCGCTGCCCATGGAGCTGGAGGCGTAGCAGGCGTACTGCCCCGAGTCCTCCGAGGAGAGGCTGTCCAGGACCAGCGTGCAGCCGCCAGAGCGCTCAGAGGAGATGATGTGACGGGGGTCGTCCTCCAGAGGGAGGCCGTCTGAGGGGGGGGGGCATCAGAGAGTTACTGTCAAACCATCAGAGGTGGGAAGTAGTGGAGTACAAATACTTTGTTACTGTACTCAAGTACATTTTTCTGGTATCAGTACTTTACTCCACTACTTATTTTTCTGACGACTTTTTACTATTACTTCTTACATTTTGAACACAAATACCTGTACTTTCTACTTCTTACATGTTGAACACAAATACCTGTACTTTCTACTTCTTACATGTTGAACACAAATACCTGTACTTTCTACTTCTTACATTTTGAACACAAATACCTGTACTTTCTACTTCTTACATGTTGAACACAAATACCTGTACTTTCTACTTCTTACATTTTGAACACAAATACCTGAACTTTCTACTTCTTACATGTTGAACTCAAATACCTGTACTTTCTACTTCTTACATGTTGAACCCAAATACCTGTACTTTCTACTTCTTACATGTTGAACTCAAATACCTGAACTTTCTACTTCTTACATGTTGAACTCAAATACCTGTACTTTCTACTTCTCACATGTTGAACTCAAATACCTGTACTTTCTACTTCTTACATGTTGAACTCAAATACCTGAACTTTCTACTTCTTACATGTTGAACTCAAATACCTGTACTTTCTACTTCTCACATGTTGAACACAAATACCTGTACTTTCTACTTCTTACATGTTGAACACAAATACCTGTACTTTCTACTTCTTACATGTTGAACTCAAATACCTGTACTTTCTACTTCTTACATGTTGAACTCAAATACCTGTACTTTCTACTTCTTACATGTTGAACTCAAATACCTATACTTTCTACTTCTTACATGTTGAACTCAAATACCTGTACTTTCTACTTCTTACATGTTGAACACAAATACCTGAACTTTCTACTTCTTACATGTTGAACCCAAATACCTGTACTTTCTACTTCTTACATGTTGAACCCAAATACCTGTACTTTCTACTTCTTACATTTTGAACACAAATACCTGTACTTTCTACATGTTGAACTCAAATACCTGTACTTTCTACTTCTTACATGTTGAACTCAAATACCTGTACTTTCTACTTCTTACATGTTGAACTCAAATACCTGTACTTTCTACTTCTTACATGTTGAACTCAAATACCTGTACTTTCTACTTCTTACATGTTGAACCCAAATACCTGTACTTTCTACTTCTTACATGTTGAACTCAAATACCTGTACTTTCTACTTCTTACATGTTGAACACAAATACCTGTACTTTCTACTTCTTACATGTTGAACACAAATACCTGTACTTTCTACTTCTCTCATGTTGAACTCAAATACCTGTACTTTCTACTTCTTACATGTTGAACTCAAATACCTGTACTTTCTACTTCTTACATGTTGAACACAAATACCTGTACTTTCTACTTCTTACATGTTGAACCCAAATACCTGTACTTTCTACTTCTTACATGTTGAACACAAATACCTGTACTTTCTACTTCTTACATGTTGAACTCAAATACCTGTACTTTCTACTTCTTACATGTTAAACACAAATACCTGTACTTTCTACTTCTTACATGTTGAACTCAAATACCTGTACTTTCTACTTCTCACATGTTGAACACTAATACCTGTACTTTCTACTTCTTACATGTTGAACACAAATACCTGTACTTTCTACTTCTTACATGTTGAACTCAAATACCTGTACTTTCTACTTCTTACATGTTAAACACAAATACCTGTACTTTCTACTTCTTACATGTTGAACTCAAATACCTGTACTTTCTACTTCTCACATGTTGAACACTAATACCTGTACTTTCTACTTCTTACATGTTGAACACAAATACCTGTACTTTCTACTTCTTACATGTTGAACACTAATACCTGTACTTTCTACTTCTTACATGTTGAACACAAATACCTGTACTTTCTACTTCTTACATGTTGAACTCAAATACCTGTACTTTCTACTTCTTACATGTTAAACACAAATACCTGTACTTTCTACTTCTTACATGTTGAACTCAAATACCTGTACTTTCTACTTCTTACATGTTAAACACAAATACCTGTACTTTCTACTTCTTACATGTTGAACACAAATACCTGTACTTTCTACTTCTTACATGTTGAACACTAATACCTGTACTTTCTACTTCTTACATGTTGAACACAAATACCTGTACTTTCTACTTCTAACATGTTGAACTCAAATACCTGTACTTTCTACTTCTTACATGTTGAACACAAATACCTGTACTTTCTACTTCTTACATGTTAAACACAAATACCTGTACTTTCTACTTCTTACATGTTGAACTCAAATACCTGTACTTTCTACTTCTTACATGTTGAACACAAATACCTGTACTTTCTACTTCTGACATGTTGAACTCAAATACCTGTACTTTCTACTTCTTACATGTTGAACACAAATACCTGTACTTTCTACTTCTTACATGTTAAACACAAATACCTGTACTTTCTACTTCTTACATGTTGAACTCAAATACCTGTACTTTCTACTTTTTACATGTTGAACTCAAATACCTGTACTTTCTACTTCTTACATGTTAAACACAAATACCTGTACTTTCTACTTCTTACATGTTGAACACAAATACCTGTACTTTCTACTTCTTACATTTTGAACCCAAATACCTGTACTTTCTACTTCTTACATGTTGAACACAAATACCTGTACTTTCTACTTCTTACATTTTGAACCCAAATACCTGTACTTTCTACTTCTTACATGTTGAACACAAATACCTGTACTTTCTACTTCTTACATGTTGAACACTAATACCTGTACTTTCTACTTCTTACATGTTGAACACAAATACCTGTACTTTCTACTTCTTACATGTTAAAACACAAATACCTGTACTTTCTACTTCTTACATTTTGAACCCAAATACCTGTACTTTCTACTTCTTACATGTTGAACACAAATACCTGTACTTTCTACTTCTTACATGTTGAACACTAATACCTGTACTTTCTACTTCTTACATGTTGAACACAAATACCTGTACTTTCTACTTCTTACATGTTGAACACAAATACCTGTACTTTCTACTTCTAACATGTTGAACTCAAATACCTGTACTTTCTACTTCTTACATGTTGAACACAAATACCTGTACTTTCTACTTCTTACATGTTGAACCCAAATACCTGTACTTTCTACTTCTTACATGTTGAACACAAATACCTGTACTTTCTACTTCTTACATGTTGAACTCAAATACCTGTACTTTCTACTTCTTACATGTTGAACACAAATACCTGTACTTTCTACTTCTTACATGTTGAACTCAAATACCTGTACTTTCTACTTCTTACATGTTGAACACAAATACCTGTACTTTCTACTTCTTACATGTTGAACTCAAATACCTGTACTTTCTACTTCTTACATGTTAAACACAAATACCTGTACTTTCTACTTCTTACATGTTGAACTCAAATACCTGTACTTTCTACTTCTTACATGTTGAACACAAATACCTGTACTTTCTACTTCTTACATGTTGAACTCAAATACCTGTACTTTCTACTTCTTACATGTTAAACACAAATACCTGTACTTTCTACTTCTTACATGTTGAACACAAATACCTGTACTTTCTACTTCTCTCATTTTCCAAACAGCTGGTTCCTTTAGTCTGAATGTGTGTTTGATGCGTGATCATTATTCTTTAGAGTCATTGCGTGTCTATTGATTTGAACACGATCCGTGTATCCATCATTTCCTGGTCTTCTCTAAAGAAGAGGGACCAATGGAAACGTTGTCATGTTGCCGTTGTTCAGCATGGAAACATTCATTAGCTAACAATGACATTATTGTTCTATTAATATAAAGGGAGGTCAGGTACTCTTTAAAGCAGCTGCTAGTTATGGGTACTTTTTACTGAAGTACATTTCAAAGCCTCTTTACTTTGACTTGAGGAAAGAAGTTTAGTCAGTACTTCTACTTTTACCAGAGCATTTTCTTCTTGGGTAAATGAGGAAGAACCATTACAGGGGGTAAAAAACGTTGGTACAGTATGTAGTATATTAATGTCTTAATGAGGTTTTCTGACCTTTGAGCCAGCTGACCTCCGGTTTGGGCGACCCTGAGACCCTGCAGGTCAGTTTGATGGTCTCTCCTATCTTTGAGGTGCAGTCAGACAGCAGAGACTCAAACACTGGAGGACCTGTTGGTACACACACAAAGACATAAAATCATGTGAGATTTAAAAGAAGCTGCTTCTGCAATAAACGCAGTCAAAAAATATATTTTTAGTTGGAAGTTAGCAGCAATACATCATAGGGCTGCTCGATTATGGCAAAAATCATAATATCGATTATTTTTGGTCAATAATTGATATCACGATTATTAAAAACGATTATCCATTTACTTTGAAAACATCCATTTATTGAAAAACATAATGTGAACAGTATGTTTTTAACAGTTGATTACCCTGAACTTTAAGTATAACTCAAATGAAAAACCAATACAAAAAAAGAAATTCATAATTGTTGCAGGCCAAAATCGTAATTGCGATTAAAATACGATTAATTGAGCAGCCCTAATACATCTGACAACAGAGAGGAAAAGTTAAACATAACATATTTCACACTAAATTGTCATTGCAGCTTCTAAAAAGATGCAACTGCAATGCCTGTGTAGTGCTATTGCACGATTAAAAGGGATAGATTGACTGGACTGAACATTTCAAATACAGCATTTAAGTATTTTTCAGGTACATGGTTGTTGTTTACGAAATCCGACATCTGTGTGGAAAAAAGGGGTAAAAAAAAGGAACATTATTGAGAAACTTAGATAAACACTGTTTAAGCTGCCATTGTAGGATTTAAGGATTTAAGGCTTTTAGTGTCATGTGTGCTACAGTGTAGATATATCAATGAAAAGCTTAGGTCACAAGCTCCTCCAAGAGTGCAACACAATAAAACAGATAATAGTTAAACAAACACTTAAATAATACGAAACAAAGGCAGATTTGGAACGGAGCCAAAGACACGGCAGCCATCATCGATTAGAGCATGTTGATTGAAAATTGAGTAAAAAATGTTGATATAGTTTTGATTCATTGATAATAATATGTATATATAATATCCTGCTTTATATTTTGTTACTGTACATTTGTAATTCAACATGTATATTTTTAATTTTTTTTTAAAATTTTTTTTTTTTTTTAAATGCTATTTTATTTCTTATGCTGCTGCAACGCAAACATTTCCCAAATTGGGATCAATAAAGTACATCTTATCTTATCTTATAAATATAAGCGGAAGGGCACTCACTGTTGCCGGGCAGACTGGCCCTTTGCTGCAGCTCCTTCACGTCCTTCAGCCAGGACAGCTTCACCGCGGGGGGGCCCTGCAGCGTCAGCCTCCTCACGGACCCCCGGTGCTCGTGCCACAGACCCCAACACCTCTCATCTTCACCCAGAGCCTCCTTCACCTCCACGTCATTCAGCTGGAGGAGGAGGAGGAGGAGGAGGAGGAGGAGGAGGAGGAGGAGGAGGAGGAGGAGGAGGAGGAGGAGGAGGAGGAGGAGGAGGAGGAGGAGTGACAATAAGAGGAAGAGGGATAAGTCATCTCTGACGACAGCGTACCAATAGGATAAAGCAGGGGTGTCCAAACTTTTTTCACTGAGGGCCATTGTTGGGAAAATACTGAATGTCCTCTTCCAACATGAGAGTCCACGTGATAACAAAGGTATCAACTGTAGCTGTGAACATGACAGGATGTGTGATGACCTAGAAGAGCATCAGGACTGTTTGAGGCATATGATAGCTATGTGATTAACATGATGATTCAGCCTCTATGGAGAGAGACATCAAGCATGCTCATTTCTGACGTGGAGCTAATCTGAAGTAAACATTGAATACTGCTTTCTATTCCTCCATCTTGTGACTGTGTGACTCCCTCTCTTGGATATCAGCATGTGAAGGACACTGTTCAGGAACTAGTTGATGCTCTGTATGTGATGACTACTTTTTTGAGATTCTGAGAAAAAAGTGTCAGAATTTTGAGATTTTGAGAAAAAAGACATAATTTTGAGATTTTGAGAAATTCAGAATTTTGAGATTTTGAGTTAAAAAATCTGATTTTTGAGATTTTGAGAAAAAAAGACCTAATTTTAGATTTTGAGAAAAAAAGACCGGATTTTGAGAAAAAAGTCCGAATTTTGAGATTTTGAGTTTAAAAAGTCAGATTTTTGAGATTTTGAGAAAAATTCAGAATTTTGAGATTTTGAGTTAAAACGTCAGATCTTTGAGATTTTGTGAAAAAAAGACTGAATTTTGAGATTTTGAGAAAAAAAGACAGAATTTTGAGATTTTGAGAAAAAAAGACTGGATTTTGAGATTTTGAGAAAAAAGTCAGAATTTTGAGACAAAGCCAGAATGTTGAGATTTTCAGAGAAAAAAAACTCAGTATTTTGTACATGACAGGATGTATGATTACTTAAGAATATTCCTCCATCTGGGTAACTCCCTCTCTTGGATATCAGCATGTGAAGGACACTGTTCAGGAACTAGTTGATGCTCTGTATGTGATGACTACTTTTTTGAGATTCTGAGAAAAAAGTGTCAGAATTTTGAGATTTTGAGAAAAAAGACATAATTTTGAGATTTTGAGAAATTCAGAATTTTGAGATTTTGAGTTAAAAAATCTGATTTTTGAGATTTTGAGAAAAAAAGACCTAATTTTTAGATTTTGAGAAAAAAAGACCGGATTTTGAGAAAAAAGTCCGAATTTTGAGATTTTGAGTTTAAAAAGTCAGATTTTTGAGATTTTGAGAAAAATTCAGAATTTTGAGATTTTGAGTTAAAACGTCAGATCTTTGAGATTTTGTGAAAAAAAGACTGAATTTTGAGATTTTGAGAAAAAAAAGACAGAATTTTGAGATTTTGAGAAAAAAAGACTGGATTTTGAGATTTTGAGAAAAAAGTCAGAATTTTGAGACAAAGCCAGAATGTTGAGATTTTCAGAGAAAAAAAACTCAGTATTTTGTACATGACAGGATGTATGATTACTTAAGAATATTCCTCCATCTGGGTAACTCCCTCTCTTGGATATCAGCATGTGAAGGACACTGTTCAGGAACTAGTTGATGCTCTGTATGTGATGACTACTTCCATTCTGGAGAGGATCACAGATACATGGATCCTGAGGTTGAAGCTCAAGCCGGTGACCAGTGATATTTTTCTAACAGCCACATACAGAAAAATATACAAAGGGCTTGGCCCCTCACTAGAGGTGAGGATCGTGTCTCATTAGTTTAGTTAAGCTCTCCGTAGGGTTCAATTTATTTGGTTTGCAGCTCATTCCTTAAAACAGAAGCCTCAGATTGTTGCTAATAAGTGGAAATGGGAAGGGTGTATTTCAAGCTCGTTCTGCACATAAGTGATTGGGCTTTGTTAATATCAACTAAGATTTTTATGGAACATTTTCTCAACTTTAATTGATTGAATGTATTTGAAAATGTATGAACACGTGAAATATATGTTTAGATATATTTAAGATGTTATATAAAAAGCACCAGTTTGAATTTTCCAGCAGATCTCACCTTCATCTTGTTCTTGAAGGTGTAGGAGTCGCTGCTCACACCGGAGTCTCTCTTCAGTTTACACAGCACGATGCACTCTTTAAAGAGGAACACTTGTCTCTGGTGTCCTCTGGAGGCGGCCTTCACCTCTGGAGACTCCTCCCACACCGTGAACACGCCCTGAAGAGAAACCATACAGGGTTTTATCGGGGTGCAAATTGAAGGTTTTTAATATAAATGGATCAGGACAAAGAGTGAGCGAATCTTTTTTCCTGAAACTTTCAGAATCTCTTTACGCAAAGGGGACACATGTTGATGTTTAAAAGACATGAAAAAGTGGATTTTTCATAATATTACATTACATTACATTGCATTGCATTTAGCTGACGCTTTTATCCAAAGCGATAGGTGACCTTTAAATGGAAAAAAGCCTCATAATAACCCCAAGTTAGTTCAGGATGTTTGTGTTCCTCCAGAGGCTAACCTGATATAAATACATGTCAGCTTGTGGTCACCTGTCTGACGGGCTCCCCCAGAGCGATGAGAGGAGCCGGGTAGTTCTGGATCAGAGAGACCTGCTGCAGGTTGTCTGACCTCCAGGGCAGAGAGGACACCAGAGAGAAGGAGTCCTCCAGCAGGCAGCAGCTCTGACCACTGCGAGCCTTGTTCTTTATAAACTCCTGCAAGTAGCACATAACAGGCATTCAGCGGACACACTCTAAAGAAGAGACTACAAGTTGTGCAACATATATTATAAATATCCATTTTGCAAATACTCAAAGTTCTCTATAATAGTCCTTTTTGACTCAGAGTTGCAAGATGGAATTAAGTATTTGACTATAACTCTGACATTAATGATCAAGGTTTGACATGTAATAGTGAAAGATTAAACGTGTGCAGACCTTGAGGAGAGCCTGGTACGTCTGGAGCCTCTCCACTGGTCTCTGCAGGAACGTGAGGACGTCCATCAGAGGAGCGTCAGACTCACCAGATTCTGGCAGCTCCTGAAGTGAGATGAGGGACATTTTCACCCACAAAATGTTCATTTTTTATATAACTATTTTTGTTTATCTTGCATGCCTGAAGTAAATTGGGACAACGTTTAACAGAAAAACTACAATATATGAAACAACCGTTTCCAAATTCTAACAGAACTTGTGCATTTCTCCAGTCATATGCTCACTACTTTACAAACTTGAGTGTTTTACATTTTAAGGTGAATAATACAAGTGTTCAAAATAGTTTTCTCTGTTTTTAAAGTGATTTATTTGTAGTTCCTCGAGAATTTGTCTCAGCTTTTTCTTAGATACTTTGCTCAATGTGGAGGCATGCAGGAAAAACACCAACGTTGCAATTCAGGAAACTGGGTTAAACAATGTTATGTATGTATTAACTAGGGCTGTCAGTCGATTCAAATATTTAATCGCGATTAATCGCAAATTAATCGCACATTTTTTATCTGTTCTAAATGTACCTTAGAGGGATATTTTTCAAGTTTGTAATACTCTTATCAACATATGAGTGGACAAATATGCTTTATATGTGTGTTTATTATCATTTGAACAATGACAAATATTCTCATGAATATTAAACACAACAACCTCTGAACATTACAAATATTCGCCTCAATTCAACCTGGAACCTCTCATACAATAATACAATGTGTGTGTGTGTGTGTGTGTGTGTGTGTGTGTGTGTGTGTGTGTGTGTGTGTGTGTGTGTGTGTGTGTGTGTGTGTGTGTGTGTGTGTGTGTGTGTGTGTGTGTGGAGAGAGACACTGTGATGGATCGTTGGAGCTATGTGCAACTCAAGGCATATGCTCGAACGGGAGCTGCCTGGACGCTGCAATCATGTTGCGCACTATCCGTGCTGAGTGTGCTGACTGTTCGTACAATGTCCCACTGTCTGGCTTCCTGCATAAAGTCAAGTGCTCGGCGAAATGTCGCTCCTCTGTTTTCATTGAAACAGCTCCTTATATCCGTTAGCGCAGCTAGCTAGCACCAGATGCTAACAACAACAATACACGTAAGGTATGCCTCGCTCGTGCCACACATACACACACCCTCCCGGTCCTCCCAACAGCCAGTCGGTGCCTGCCGGTGAGCGTGGAAGTGTGGTCTGCCACAAGTGGGCGGCAGGAGCGGGGCTGTCAGCATCAGCTTGTAGAATGTATTTTAAACTCGATGCGCTCTGAAACTACGGGGCGGCCGAGGACAAAAAATACACATGCGTTAATCGCGTTAAAATAATTAGTGGCGTTAAAAAATTTTTTGCGTTAACTTGACAGCCCTAATATTAATAGAAACAGGTTTCGTGAATACCTTAAAGTACTGTTGGACGGTCTTGTCAGAGACGCAGGCCTCAGCTTGAGTCTGTCCCGTCAGATAGTGCAGATACTTCTCAAAGTCTGCAGCGTTCTTCAGGAGAAGCATCGCCACGTCGTCGTCTGTGGAACAGTCTCTGAGCCGGGGGAGGATGGACCTGAGCAGACATCAGATAGTGAGTTATAACAGTTTGACTGTGGAGAGGACACAGTGCAAAGAGACATTGGAAAACATCATACACACAGCTGGAAACAAACTACTTACGTTCATGCAGTGTGGCAAATAATGGCACGAGAGCAAAGGGATGTGTATAGGATTATAGAGTTGTTATACTTTAAAACGTTATATCAATTGATTGCCTTGATGCACTGTAAACACAAAGGCAAACCTTAGACAAAAAGGATAACGACAATTTTTATTGGAACGTTTTTAGTATTTCTAAATTCTCAGTGACCATAAGACTAACAAGTAAGTAAGTATAATTCATGCAGTTTGCCTGTTAAATACATTACATACATTTGATCAGAAACTTTCCAATAAAAAAATAGATTGTACACTAAATTAAATGTAAAAACTGTATCTTGTGTGATATGCACAGTAATGACTGACACAACATTGACTTGGTGTGCATTTGAAGAAATATCTACCTTGTTTTGCAGGGAAAAAAACATTTTCGATTATTCTTCGAAGTTAGAAATTCAATCAAAATCTAAGAAGGTAGGAATCTCAATTTACTCAATCGATTTTTCCCCAGAACCTGATTATGTATGTATTATTTATTTATTTGGATGTTGCCTAGATGCATTCAAATGAGCATTGTGTCAAAGTAAAGGTTGTGTGTGTGTGTGTTATGGGCTCAGAACAGTCTCATAATACACACATGCACACAGAAGGATTATAACCGGACGCGAGAGAGAGATCAGATCAGCTGCTGAGTCTGATGGAGACACGCAGCTCTATATAATTACCTGATGCTCCGCCCTCTGTTTAGCGAGCTGAATACGAAAAATGCGTATATGAAGTGTCATGAACGCAATAAATCATACCCTCGTGGGGGCGCGCTCATGTGATTGGCTTAGAATGAAGGAGACATCTGATTGGCTATAGATAGAAAAAATTACAAGTATGAATCGGCTGACCGTCAGGGGAGTCTCAAAAAACCCACACACGAATGCAAAGCGATCCGTGCACAGAAAGCGGTTTGTGTTTGCAGGTTCAGAGGTTTTAAACGGAAAACAAATATGTGAGGATCAAAAATACACATGTAAAACTTTTTTCTGTATTTGGATTTTATTTACATGTATATGAAACGGAACACATTTGTGTGTGCATTGAAAAACACAAGTGTGGATCCGGAAATACAAGTTTGAATCATTTTGCGGATCATGAAATACAAGTGTGAATCCTTCTGTGTGCATGTGTGTATTATGAGACTGTTCTGAGCCCATAGTGTGTGTCCTAGCATTACTATACTTGTGGGGACCTAAATCTGTCTACACAGTCACGTGTGGGGACTGGCTTCCCTTATGGGGACACAATGGAGGTCCCCATGAGGGGAATCATTAATTTTAGGGTGAAGCCTTGGTTAAGGGTAAGGGTAAGAGGTTAAGGGTTAGGGTTAGGCATGTGTTGGTTATGGTTAAGGTCAGGATAAGTCTCCAGGAAATGCATGTAAGTCAATGTAATGTCCCCTGAAGTGATGTATACATGGTATGGGTATGTGTGTGTGTGTGTGTGTGTGTGTGTGTGTGTGTGTGTGTGTGTGTGTGTGTGTGTGTGTGTGTGTGTGTGTGTGTGTGTGTTACCTCTCGTGCAGAGACACGATGTCCCTGATGTTCCTGAAGATGACCTCTTTCTGGTTCAGGATGTTGACGGGGACGTGTCGGCTGGACTCCAGGTACTGAAGCTGGTGAGAGGTGAACATCTTCATCTCCTTCACAAACTCCTCCTCTCCATCAATCAGGCCCTGGATCAGTTGGCTGGAGATTAAAGGAAGTGAATGCAGATCAGATGTGATGCAGCTGTGTTTGTTTTTTCATCTGAGATTTGTTATTTGGACAATTATGTCCATCATCACAAAAGTTAAAGATGCTTTGAGAAATAAAAGCAAGAATAACCAAATTGTAGAAATAATAATTAACATACATATAACTCAAATGAATATAATTATAAATGGATGCATTCAAAAATAATTGTGCCCTTTCACTTTCCTCACAGCATATTTAAAGTAAGTCACTAGGTGAAGAGAGGAATAGATATCATCATGAAACTTCCCCAGTTTATGACTTACATAAAGACCATTTTTTTTTGTATTACAAGTTTTCGGAAATGTTATGTTTATGTAAGAAAAGCATTTTTTCATCAAGAATTTAGGAGACATCTTCTAGAGCAGGGGTGTCAAACTCAAGGCCCGGGGGCCAAATCCGGCCCGCGACTTCATTTTCTGTGGCCCCGCAAGAGCTCTGAAAGACTATTATATGTTTATTATACGATTACATGCCGATTTACAGAAGCGTTGCCCGTAAACTACATGTCCCACAATGCATCTCTCATTTGACTTTTTCCTCAGAATTTCCCTTTTTTTTCAAAATGTTAATTATAATTTTTTTCTTCAGAATTTGGCTTTTCTTTTAAAATCATTTTGTGACCTTCTCGCTGAAGAGACTTGCAATGATTTGCCCTAGACATCTTCTTTCAGATGTAGTTAATTATGAAGTTATTACCCTATCCCATAATAATCCAATGCAGAGGCAATACTGTAATATAATACATTATTTTATATATTAAATATTTATATATGTATTTTTATATAGTCTTAAAGTTACAACCGGCCCTTTGAGTGCAACCATAATGCTGATGTGGCCCGAGATGAAATTGAGTTTGACACCCCTGATCTAGAGGCACAAAGAGACAGCAAAAAACTCCTAAATGTGTATTCTAGAAGTTTTCTTTCCAGTAGTTTAAAAAAGAAAAAAACATGTTGAAGAAGCAAAACCAGTAGTGTCATGATTTAATGACATTACTAGTTTAGTATAGAAGTCAATATAATATAATTAGTGCTGTCAAAATTATCGCGTTAACGGTGGTAATTCATTTTTTGAATTAATTGCGTTAAAATATTTAACGCATTTAACGCATGTGCAGAATGGCCAGTGGCGACTGGTCATTAGGGGCAGGTGGGGCACAGCCCCACCTAGTGTCAGCAGAAAGTATTTAAAATAATGATTACAAAAAAATGCAAAAAATAAATTAAAAAATCATGTTCATGTTTATTCATCTGATTCGTCTGTACATTGCTGTTTTAGTCTGTGTTCTTCTAATTAGTGTCTACAGTGTGTGCCTATTGAGCTGTTTTGAGCCATGTGGGACAAAACCTGATCCTGCCCCTCCCTCTCCCTGTTTAAGTCAATGGTGACTGTAAAAACTACACTGCGCATGCTCAGAGTATTGTCCTATTTAATGTGTGTGGCAAAAAAATAATGACCATAGGGGCATAGAGCTGCCATCCCCACCATACGTCATCTCACATAATTCAGAGCTGATTGGCTGTAAGTACGTGTGCCGCGAAAAGTGTGGTGTGTGAAGAGGAGAGGAGAGAGAGCTGCAGTGAGGCGTCCTAAAACCAGGAAGTAAGCTGCGCATGGCTTCCCTCGACAAAAAAGCAATGAGATTTCTCCATAGGATTTTAGAAAATAGCTCCAAATAAGCTCTCTGGGAAACGTAGCTGTTAGATAAATGCACGTTTTGTTCAGCCGGATAATATCCACATGTCTACCCTACTTTTATAATTTTCGAATCATAAATCTATTGATTAGATCAGATTTATGATAGACTTTTGAAACTACAAGAACATAAGGAGAACTTTTACAAAAAAGTAATAGAGATTTTTGTCCAGAGGGATAGGCAAATGGACTTCATCTTCATGTCAAGGTAAGACTGCAATTTTATTGAAAATGGGATCTTACTAAGAGAGAACAATTCAATATTTAAATGATACAATTACATTTTTGGGGTATCCTTTTGTTGAACTGTCTGTTTAAAATTAATTGAAGCATCAGACAAAAAAAGCTTTTGAAAATAATATGATATTTTGATTTAGGTCAAAATATAATATTTGTAAACCTGAAGAGTCAGAGCCAGTGCCTCACCAGCCATGAACCTCACTGCAGAAGCTTATATATAGACATCTAAGTTTTTTGTGCCCCACCACTTTTGTACATATAAAAACGCCACTGAGAATGGCCCGCCCCGTACGTGCCACCAGTGGCAGCGCCAGGGTATGGCTGGGGTAGGCTACACCCATACCAAGAAATGGCTTAGCCCCACCATGAAAAATGATGTTAAAGTAAGCTAAATAAGTCTGCCAACTCGCGCGGAGTAAATTGCACAGACAGCAGTTAGTAAAATTGATTTCAGTAGCCACGGTTTTGAAAACTTTTGTCACGTAGTGATCGTCTTCTCAATAGAACATCTTTGATAACGGCGTGGTGTTGTTGCAGGAAGTCCCGACAGAGAATACTTTTGCTGTAGTACAGGGGTGCACATAACTGGTAGGCAGGTTATGTGAGTAATCTGAAATGCGTACCGTCACTTGTGTCACAAAGCGCATTTGCGTACCGACGTACTAGTGAAGCTTTTCCAGAAGGCGGTTAGATCACCGGACGACAGAGTCGGTCTCCGTGTGCACAGACAGGGCTGCTGTTAACGTCGGTCTGTTCAACGGAATTGTGCCAAAACTACGCCAACCGGCGGCGGAGGGAGACTCCCCCCCCCCCCCCCCCTTCACTGGAGAACTGCGCTAAAACAGCTGATCACAACGCACACACTCTGTGGTCACGAAGTTGTCTTTCATTTTGACACGCAGAAAAATGTTATAATAAACATAGATACTGTATGTTAAATGGATATATTCGCCTTCTTTCATTTATCTTTCCATTCCCACAACAATATACATAAATAAATGGCATATTTTGGACATAGTTCGAATGGTGATTAATCATGATTAATTCATTTTTAAGCTGTGATTAATCTGATTAAAAATTGTAATCGGTTGACAGCCCTAAATATAATATATAACTGCAGGATAACCTCAGAGCTCTCCTGTACTCTTCTCCTGTCGACCCGATCCCATCGAGATCCTCCTGAGGGGCTCTCAGCTGAGGGAAGGTCTCCTGTACAAACCATCATTTAATAATTATGTAAAGCCTTTTCATTGATTATTACTTGATGAAATTAATATCTACAACAACAACAACAACACAACATTGCAGTACAATTGAGTATTGCTGAGTAAAGACCTGAATACTTCATACTTCATATACAGTATGCTCAAGGTTTCAGACTATAACACCGTTGCAAAGTATTGGAGTTTACTTGTCGATTTATGCATCCTACCTTCCTCTTCTTCTCCAGATATGCGGGGCACACCCACCCCTGTCGGGCGGGGGTGGTTTTGGTGGGTTTGGTCCGCACTAGCCAGCGGTCGGGATGAACAGAGTCCAGAACCTCCACAAACTGACCCTCCTTCAGAACAAAACTCTCCTTATTCCCAAAGTCTGGACTGCAGTCAGCTCGAGCCACGTACATTTCAAAAGTCTGAGAGGAAAGAAGCAAATATGTTACAACTAGGGCTGTCAGTCGATTAAAATAGTTAATCGCGATTAATCGCAAATTAATCGCACATTTTTTATCTGTTCTAAATGTACCTTAGAGGAATATTTTTCAAGTTTTGAATACTCTTATCAACATATGAGTGGACAAATATGCTTTATGCAAATGTTTATTATCATTTGAACAATGACAAATATTCTCATGAATATTAAACACAACAACCTCTGAACATTACAAATATTCCCCTCAATTCAACCTGGAACCTCTCATACAATACAATGTGTGTGTGTGTGTGTGTGTGTGTGTGTGTGTGTGTGTGTGTGTGTGTGTGTGTGTGTGTGTGTGTGTGTGTGTGTGTGTGTGTGTGTGTGTGTGTGTGTGTCAGGGTTTCCGTTAGCCGGTAATTACCGGTTTTTAGCTGGTAAAATATATTAAAAACCGGTAAATTCAAAACCTGCCGGTCAAAATGTCTGGTAATAATTAGGAAGGCTCCGATAGATCGGCCACCGGTCATTATCGGCCGATATTCACTCTTAATAGTTTGATCGGTGCTCTCTATAAAGAACGATCAGGAGAGCTGGATCTGATCGATATGGACATAAACGCGAGTGAAGTATAACCGGACACGCGAGAGAGAGATCAGATCAGCTGCTGAGTCTGACCGAGACAAGCAGCTCTGCATAATCACCTGAAGCCCCGCCCTCTGTTTAGCTGCATGAGAAACTGACGGGCTGTCAGGAGAGAGGGAGGGAGAGGGGAAAAGAGATGATCCGTTTCTCCCGTGTTATTATTCAAAGTTAATGTAAACTTTTGAATAATGTACGTTATCTACTACAAGTAGTTTGTTTGAATGTAATAATTATGTTGTTTGTTGTTTGTGGAATCATTTATTGAAAAATGGATCTGAATTTTTCGATCTGTTACGATGATAGACTGAAGCAATATAAAAATGAGCCCATTAACTGAGTTTTAAACTGAAGCATATCTGCTCATAGTCCGGTAATGACCTGCTAACGGAAACTCTGCTACACAACTCTTACTATTATTATTGAAATATGACCGGTAAGTTTCAAATTTGTCCGGTAAAATAAATTCTGCCCGGACATTTGACCGGCGAGAAAAAATCCTAGCGGAAACCCTGGTGTGTGTGTGTGTGTGTGTGTGTGTGTGTGTGTGTGTGTGTGTGTGTGTGTGTGTGTGTGTGTGTGTGTGTGTGTGTGTGTGTGTGTGTTCGTTGGAGCTATGTGCAACTCAAGGCATATGCTCGAACAGGAGCTGCCTGGACGCTACAATCATGTTGCGCGCACTATCCGTGCTGAGTGTGCTGACTTTTCGTACAATGTCCCACTGTCTGGCTTCCTGCATAAAGTCAAGTGCTCGGCGCAGTTGTCGGCGAAATGTCGCTCCTCTGTTTTCATTTAAACAGCTCCTTATATCCGTTAGCGCTGCTAGCTAGCACCAGATGCTAACAACAGCAATACACGTAAGGTCTCTCTCGCTCGCTCGTGCCATACAGACACACACCCTCCCGGTCCTCCAGATGGCCAGTCGGTGCCTGCCGGTGAGCGTGGAAGTGTGGTCTGCCACAAGCGGGCAGCAGGAGCGGGGCTGTCAGCATCAGCTTGTAGATGGTATTTTAAACTCGATGCGCTCTGAAACTACGGGGTGGCCGAGGACAAAAAATACATGCGTTAAAATAATTAGTGGCGGTAATTTTTTTTTGCGTTAGCGCGTTATTACTATATAGTAGTATTACGCTACTACTACTACTACTACTGCTACTACTACTACTACTACTACTACCGCTATTACTACTACCGCTACTACCACTGCTACTACTACTACCGTTACTACTACTACAGCTGCTACTACTACTACTACTACTACTACCACCACCACCACCACCACTACTACCGCTACAACTGCCGCTACTACTACCACTACCACCACCGCTACTACTACCACTGCAATTACCGCTACAACTGCTACTGCTACTACTACTACTACACCACCACCGCTACTACTACCGCTGCAACTACCGCTACAACTACCGCTACAACTGCTACTGATACTACTACCACCACCACTACTACCGCTACAACTGCCGCTACTACTACTACTACACCACCACCGCTACTACTACCGCTACAACTACCGCTACTACTACTACCGCTACTACTACTACTACTACCGCTACAACTACCGCTACTACTACTACCGCTACTACTACTACTACTACCGCTACCGCTACTACTACTACCGCTATTACTACTACTACTACTACTACCGCTACTACTACTACCGCTACTACTACTACAGCTACTACTACTACAGCTACTACTACTACCACCACCACCACTACTACTACTACTACTACTACTACCACCACCACTACTACTACTACTACCGCTACAACTACCACTACTACCGCTACTGCCGCTACTACTACTACTACCGCTACTACTACTACTACCACTACTACTGCTACTACTACTACCGCTACTGCTACTACTACTACTACTACTACTACCACTACTACTACTACTAAGTGGTGGACAGTAACTACAACTATTTTTGTCAATTGACATTACTTTAGTATTTCTATTTCCTTCAACTGTATACCTTAGTGAAATTACATTAAAGGTGGGGTAGGTAAGTTTCAGAAACCGGCTCGAGTGCACTAAAATTTGAAAGTACACAGCCGAAAAGAATCCGCCCCTTCCTTCAGACTTCCTTACAGAGCACCTCCTCCAACACACATGAATGCGCACATGACGTCAGCAGACTGGTGAAAGTGGCCGCCTGTTGCTGGCGAGTCATTGAAGTACTGCTGCAATGCACGCCCAATGAGGGCACGCCCAATGAGGGCACGAGATACATTTGTGCGTGCACGAGATGGAAGGCTGACAGACAGGGCGGCAATCCAATCCGTTTAGCCGGCCCGGCTGTACTTTTTACAGTCATTACGGCTTCCACAGATGACATTTTATTATGGATTTTTTGTCAAAGCACTTAAGATATTCATTGCTATCGGGATGTTAAGAGCATTCCATGGAATATAACAAAAAGTGTATCTCGAGCCGGTTTCTGAAACTTACCTACCCCACCTTTAATTATATCTTAATACAAAATAAAAGGTCAGGGTTCTTTGTGCAAATCTGCTGCTGCTAATACTACTAAATAGAGCACATACATGAAAATGGAAAATACAAAATGTCACGTTTCTGCAGTTGTTAATACTGCTGCTGACACAGAACACACATGCAAAATATAAAATATGAAAGTACCTCTCGTCTGTCCTCCTCCCCCTCTGACTCTGATCCAGAGACGGTGCTGGTGAGAGGTGTGTGAGTGCGGTGGTGTTTGGGAGACGGTGCCCTCATCTTACTTTCATGACCACCTATAAATTAGAGACGTACGACACTATGACATGCCTGATATGAAATATGCTGGTGAGGTTATAAACAATTAAAACTAGTTAGGTTAAAATGCATGTATTTATAGACTTCTTAAGAAACTGCTTTCAAATTCAAAATTTCAGATTGAAAGTTTTTTCCCAGGCTCTCAACTTAAACTGAGAATTTCCAGATAAGGCAATTCTATATAAACTATAATGCGTGTAAAACCGGTTTTGAATGATATGATCTTTAGTTAAATGTACTAAACCTTTCTACTCTATGTTTTAGTAAGAAAACAAAGACTGAAAAAAGTTTGAAAGTTAGAAAATACAGACAACTTTACCGACCTTTGAACTTCAGTCGAGTCTTGGGAAGTGGTGTAGGAGCCATCTGTTCTTTATCATCTTTTGGAGATGCTTGATCGACTGCTTTGGTCACTTCTCTGAAACTGTATTCATAAATTGTTTGTCTATCTTCAATAGCACAATGCAAAGGATTAGCATTACAATTTAGATAACAAAACTAATCTTTCTGATCTCTGACCTTGGCACATCTGGACCAGAATCAACAGGTTCCAACATATCCGGAGCCGTGTCATAATCCGAAGGACTGGACACTGATTGAGGTAGAAACTCATGTTAATAAAATCCAAACATATGGCTTAATAGTTCCTCATTTGTTGTGATTACAGACGTGTTACTCACTGGAGCTGGCAGCAATAAGCGAGGATCCTCTCCTCTCCTGTAGTCTCCTTTGAGAGTCCTGCTCCGTCAGATTATAGGACTCCCACAGAGAGACACTCTCATTTTCTACATAGTTTTCAGCATCTATACCTGATGACGGTACCTCGGTTTGAGTCTGAGGAAGATCCTGAGTCTGAGGAAGATCCTGAGTCTGAGTCTGAGGAAGAACCTGAGTCTGAGGAAGATGTTGAGTCTGAGTCTGAGGAAGAACCTGAGTCTGAGGAAGATGTTGAGTCTGAGGAAGGTCCTGAGTCTGAGGAAGATCCTGAGTCTGTGTTTCTGCCTCAGGCTTCGGCGGTGCGACTTGCAGAGGAGTTATGGCGGCAAGCAGAGGGTGAACAGGTTTCTGGTTTATCGGAGCAGGTCTCTGAGGCGGCACTACTGTTAGGTTTCCATTGTATGAGGTCATACCAAACTTATTCACCACCTCGCATGTGTAGATCCCACTGTCAATCAGGGTCAGGTTCTTGATCACAAGAGTGCAAACACCATCCTCTGTGGTCTCAACACGGCATCGCTGATCATTAATTATTTGTTGTCCGTTTCTCAGCCAGCGCGCCATGCTTGTTTTTCCTTCGGCAACACACACCAGCGTGACTGTATCATGAAGATCTGCACTCTGGTTCTTAAACACCTCTTTGAAGACGGGTCGCATGTCTCTGCGGGTTTTGAAGCCCTTAAAGGCTGCCTGGATCTTGACAGCAGCCTCTTGCATTTGGGGTTCATCCTCAACACTGATGTCCATTTCTTGGGAGTCTTCATTTGGTGGCTGTTCTTTCTGGGGTACTGTAATTGGAGGAAGAGTAGCAGGCTGGGTTGACCCATCAACAAAAGAGACAGGAGGGTGGACGATGCTGTGGTTCGATGGTATCTCGGTCAAAGCCTCTGAGAACGTTTCATCTTCAGAAATGTAGAGGAGAGGAATTCCTTCTGAAACGTTTGTCGTTTGTCGATCCTCTTGCCTTCTTATCGGCTCGACTGCCAGTTTAATTTCCTGGTCCAGTTCCTTTCTCATTGGTTTTACTGGTTGTTTAATCGGTTGCTTGGCGTTTGCATCCTTCTCCGCGTCCTTCACCGGTTGCTTAAGCTTCTCAACAATCTCAGTGTCTTTAGCTGAAGATAGTTTCCTCTCCAATCTTGGTTTCTCTTCAACCTCTTTTTTCCAAGACTGTTTCATTGGCCGATCATCATCTGTTGTTTTCACCACAACTCTTGGCATCGTACGCTCGTCTTGATCCGTCTCCGTGTCCCTTGATGATTGCTTTTCCATTCCCCCCTTTGATTTGCTTTTAATCCTTGCGGGTGGTTTTGGAGGGGCTTCTTTTTCTAAAGTCTTTACTGGTTGTGCTAATGATTGTTTCTCCAGCTGATCTACAGAAGGCACTAGTTTAAGTGTATTTTTCTCTTGCTCTGCCTCTGTGGACACTTGTTTCAAATCTCTTTGGTCGTCCTCAGAGTCATTTACAGTAGGTTTAACTGATTGGACAATGCTCTCCTTTATATCATATCCAAGTGGTTCCTTTCCTACTGCTACCTTCACTTTAGATCTAACTGGTGGTTTGAACAGTTCATCTTCTACTACTTTGACCTTCTGTCCTGTAGACTTCTCTTCTAGCACGTTAAGTGTTTCATCCCCAATAGACTTCTCCATAGGTTTCACAGGCTGTTTTTTATCCTCAATGTTCTTCCACAGGACTTTTTCTGGATGTCGTACCTTCCTCTCAACTTCACTTGTTTTCTCCAAAGGCTTTCCTGCTTGTTTTAAGCTCTGTTCAACTTCATTTTCCTTTTCTTTTTGGTCAAATACAGCGTCTCCTAGAACTGTGTCTGACTGAGCCACATTGTGTTCAACCTTAACTAATTTCTCTGAACGCGTTCCTGGTTGTCTCTTCTCCACAAATACACCTTTCTCCATCTCAAAAGGCATTGCTTTTTCTTCCACCTCCCTGTCAACCCCATCCTCCTTCTCCAGTTGTCTCATTGCCTCGTCGACCTTCTTGTACACTTCATTGTCTTTCTCAAGTTGTGTTACATTCTGTGTTGCACAGACAACTTTTTCCAACAATCTCGCAGGTTGGACGCCCTGTTTAATGTCAAACATTGGCTCCACATCTTTGTCTAAACTTGTGATGGATGCTTTCCTAGCAGCTCTCTTTTTGGGCTCTGGAGGAACAGGTTTGGCTTCTGGGAGTCCAGGCTTCTGGTTGTCTGGAGGAGAAGCTGGTTTGGAAACAGTGCCCTTAGCCCGGGGAAGGATAGTGGGAGGCTCTACTTTTGGTGGAGTTGGTTCTAGAGCTAGACAAGAGATTGCAAGACATAATTGGTTGGCAACTTGTTAGTGTGTGGCGGTGGTTTGAGAGAGAAATAAAGGTTGTAAAGGTACATGTATTCATACGGTATGGACTGAAGCGCTAAAGGCTGGCTTTGTAAAAATTGTTCATAACAATGTTCACAACATTTACAAGACAACCCCAACCCTATCTTTTTTTCTTATAGACAATATGCCAGTATGTGAATGTCTTAACTTAAGAAATAACCGTAACCCCCAAAACTGAGGTACATAAACACAGAACCATTCATTTTTGTTTGCAGATACACTCTTACTAATTAGGTATTAAGACACACTCACCTTTCACTGTCACAGTCGCAGTGGTTTCTGCACTTCCAGCTTGACATGAGTAGCTGCCGCTGTCTTCAGGTTTGAGATCCTTGATGTGCAACTGCAGGAGGCAGACATCTTGTTTCATCTCGTACTTCCTGTTAGCTCTCAGTGGCAGCCTGTTCTTCTTCCATTGGACTGACACTCCAGGTTTAGACAGCTCACAACAGAGTATAGCTGTACCTTCCTCCTCAGCCTCTGTGCTTTGCAATTCTTCTTGGAAGAATGGTGAGAGCTCTGGAAGAACAGGTAAGGATTGGAAACACTTTAGTATAATTGGAAACTGCTAAAAGGAAAGGGGACCAAGATTTCTTTGTACATACTGTACAATGGATGGTTGTGACTGTAACAATAGCAGCTCACCAGAAAGTCTAGAGGCTTAAAAAGTACTTTTAGTTTGGTATTGTATTGAATGCATGCATGATACAAAATGTCTTATTGCCAATTGTACAAACCTGTCACTGTAACAGTAGCAGAGGTCTCTGCACTTCCTGTTTGACATGAGTAGCTGCCGCTGTCTTCAGATTTGAGATCCTTGATGTGCAGCTGGAGGAGGCAGCCATCTTGTTTCATCTCGTACTTCCTGTTAGCTCTCAATGGCAGCTTGTTCTTCTTCCATTGCACTGACACTCCAGGTTTAGACAGCTCACAACACAGAGAGGCTGATCCTCCCTCCTCAACCTCTGTGCTTTGCAACTCTTCTTGGAAGAATGGTGGGAGCTCTGGAAGAATAGGTAAGGATTGGAAACACTTAAGAGTAATGGGAAAATTCTCAAATGAAAGGGGAGCAAGTTTTCTTTGTACATACAGTAGAATGGATGGTTGCGACTTTAACACAAGCAGCTCACTTGAAAGTCTACGGTAGAGGCTAAAAAATACTTCTAGTTTTGGTATTTTATTGAATGCATGCATGATACAGAATGTATGTTTGCCAATTGCACACACCTTTCACTGTCACAGTAGCTGTGGTCCCTGAACTTCCTGCTTGACATGTGTAGCTGCCGCTGTCTTCAGGTTTGACATCCTTGATGTGCAGCTGAAGGAGGCAGCCATCTTGTTTCATCTCGTACTTCCTGTTAGCTCTCAGTGGCAGCCTGTTCTTCTTCCATTGGACTGACACTCCAGGTTTGGAAAGCTCACAACAAAGTATAGCTGTACCTTCCTCCTCAGCTTCAACACTTTCTAAGTCTTTCTCAAAGAATGGAGGGAGATCTGGGAAAATCAACAAGGAAAAACAGATTGATGAATGTGATTGGAACCAGGTAATCTAAAGAAGTACAAGAAAACTTTATGCATAAAATGCATGAAGTTTAAAGCAAAAATGTTCTACTAAAGTATGAATCATCCAAATGCACAAACCTTTCACTGTCACAGTTGCAGAGGTCTCTGCACTTCCTGCTTCACATGAGTAGCTGCCGCTGTCTTCAGGTTTGAGATCCTGGATGTGCAGCTGTAGGAGGCAGCCATCTTGTTTCATCTCGTACTTCCTGTTAGCTCTCAGTGGCAGCCTGTTCTTCTTCCATTGGACTGACACTCCAGGTTTAGACAGCTGACAACAGAGAGAGGCTGATCCTCCCTCCTCAGCCTCCACACTTTGCAATTCTTCTTGGAAAAATGGTGGCAGCTCTGGAAAAAAGGGTTTGAAAAACGTTAGTTCAATGGGAAGGTGAATGAAAACAAAATGAAAAGGGACCAAGTTGTCTTCGATCATACATACAGTATCAAAAGCTGTCTGAATACTTAAAATGCAGATGGATGGGACTGTTATGCCTTCAGCTCAGCGGAAAGTTTAGACAATAATGAATACTTTAAGTTTTGGTATTGTATTGAATGCATGCATGACACAGAATGTCTTATTGCCAAATGCACAAACCTTTCACTGTCACAGTCGCAGAGGTCTCTGCACTTCCTGTTTCACACGAGTAGCTGCCGCTGTCTTCAGGTTTGAGATCCTTGATGTGCAGCTGCAGGAGGCAGCCATCTTGTTTCATCTCGTACTTCCTGTTAGCTCTCAATGGCAGCCTGTTCTTCTTCCATTGCACTGACACTCCAGGTTTAGACAGCTCACAACACAGAGAGGCTGATCCTCCCTCCTCAGCCTCTGTGCTTTGCAACTCTTCTTGGAAGAATGGTGGGAGTTCTGGAAGAATAGGTAAGGATTGGAAAAAATGTTAGCGTAATGGAAAAATGCTCAAATGAAAGGGGAGCAAGTTGTTTTTGTACATACAATACAATGGATGGTTGTGACTAACACTAGCAGCTCACCAGAAAAACTAGAGGCTTAAACAACACACACTGACACATGTCTCATTTTTAAAATTCTAAACGGCAAGGCACCCCCACCACTCTGCACTTTTATACAGCAGAAAAATTCAAACAGCCAAACCACAAGGTCTGCCCTAAGAGGGGACTGTGTGGTCCCTCTTAGGTCCAGTTCCTTTGGTAAACACTGTTTCTCTGTGAGGGCACCAACACTCTCGAACAAAATACCAATACAGATAAGGAATAACACCTCCTATCATACATTTAACCACAATCATAAGAACTGGCTTTTAAGCAACCAAAAATATGAACACTTTTAACTGCATCAAGGTATGATGGTATTTCATCAGTTTGCTTGTTCCTCTCTATTGTTGTACTGCTGTTGTCTGCTGAACTCTATTTAATTATGTTTTTATTTCTCTAGTCTTGTTGTGGTCATTTAACATCTTGCCAAGGACAACAGTTGAAAATTAGCCTGCTGGCTAATACTGGCTCATTTACAGCAATGTGGATTCATGTGCACTGTCCTTTAAATAAATAAAACTAAAAAGTACTTTTAGTTTTGGTATTTTATTGAATGCATGCATGATACAGAATGTCTTATTGCCAATTGTACAAACCTTTCACTGTCACAGTAGCAGAGGTCTCTGCACTTCCTGTTTGACATGTGTAGCTGCCGCTGTCTTCAGGTTTGACATCCTTGATGTTCAGCTGGAGGAGGCAGCCATCTTGTTTCATCTCGTACTTCCTGTTAGCTCTCAGAGGCAGCCTGTTCTTCTTCCATTGCACTGACACTCCAGGTTTAGACAGCTCGCAACACAGAGAGGCTGATCCTCCCTCCTCAGCCTCTGTGCTTTGCAATTCTTCTTGGAAAAATGGTGGAAGCTCTGGAAAAAAGGGTTTAAAAAATGTTAGTTCAATGGGAACGTGAATGAAAACAAAATGAAAAGGGACCAAGTTGTCTTCGATCATACATACAGTATCAAAAGCTGTCTGAATACTTAAAATGCAGATGGATGGGACTGTTATGCCTGCAGCTCACCGGAAAGTTTAGACAATAATGAATACTTTAAGTTTTGGTATTGTATTGAATGCATGCATGACACAGAATTTCTTATTGCCAAATGCACAAACCTTTCACTGTCACAGTCGCAGAGGTCTCTGCACTTCCTGTTTCACACGAGTAGCTGCCGCTGTCTTCAGGTTTGAGATCCTTGATGTGCAGCTGCAGGAGGCAGCCATCTTGTTTCATCTCGTACTTCCTGTTAGCTCTCAATGGCAGCCTGTTCTTCTTCCATTGCACTGACACTCCAGGTTTAGACAGCTCACAACACAGAGAGGCTGATCCTCCCTCCTCAGCCTCCACACTTTCTAAGTCTTTCTCAAAGAATGAAGGGAGCTCTGGGAAATCAGCAAGAAAAAACAGAAAGGTACATGTGATTGGAACCAGGTAATCTAAAGAAGTACAGGAAACCTTTATGCATAAAATGCATGAAGTTTAAAACTAAAATGTTCTAATAAAGTATGAATCATCCAAATGCACAAACCTTTCACTGTCACAGTAGCAGAGGTCTCTGCACTTCCAGCTTGACATGAGTAGCTGCCACTGTCTTCAGGTTTGAGATCCTGGATGTTCAGCTGCAGGAGGCAGCCATCTTGTTTCATCTCGTACTTCCTGTTAGCTCTCAGTGGCAGCCTGTTCTTCTTCCATTGCACCGACACTCCAGGTTTAGACAGCTCACAACACAGAGAGGCTGATCCTTCCTCCTCAACCTCCACACTTTCTAAGTCTTCCTTGAAGAATGGTACAATCTCTGCAAAAAAATGTGTATGGATTTGAAAAAAAAAGCCGTTTTCAATCTCAAGTGGAATACAAAAAATGCTTGAGACCTAACAAACATAACACTTTACTCTGGTAATGAATATATTTTCAAAGCTTCCGACCAACTTTTAATGTAGATGGTGGCAACACATTCCTGAAACTTCAGACAATATTGAGAAAGTACCCCTTGTTCTGTTGTGCGGTTGCATGCATGCAGAGCAAACAATAGCAAACTGAATTCACCTTTCACTGTCACTGCTGCAGAGGTCTCTGCATTTTCTGCTTGACATGAGTAGCTGCCGCTGTCTTCAGGTTTCAGGTCCTTGATGTGCAGCTGGAGGAGGCAGCCATCTTGTTTCATCTCGTACTTCCTGTTAGCTCTCAGTGGCAGCCTGTTCTTCTTCCATTGCACTGACACTCCAGGTTTAGACAGCTCGCAACACAGAGACGCTGATCCTCCCTCCTCAGCTTCCACACTTTTTAAGTCTTCCTTAAAGAATGGAGGGAGCTCTGGTATATCGGCAAGAAAAAACAGAAAGGTACAGTGATGTGAACCGGATTGATACGAGAGATACGTTACTTAGTAAAATGCATGCAGTTTTAAGACAAAAATGCGCTAATAAAGTAATAATAATTATCCAAATGCACACACCTTTTACTCTCACTGTCGCAGATGTCTCTGCACTTCCTGCTTGACATGAGTAGCTGCCGCTGTCCTCAGGTGAAAGCTCTTTAATAAGGAGCTGAAGAAGGCAGCCATCTTGTTTTATTTCATACTTTGTGCTGGCTCTCAATGGCAGCCTGTTCTTCTTCCATTGCACTGACACTCCAGGTTTAGACAGCTCACAACACAGAGAGGCTGATCCTCCTTCCTCTGCCTTTATATTCTGTAAATCTTCTTTGAAAAATACTGGAATCTCTGTGAAAAATAGAACAACATTTAGGGAGTAGCACAGAGGGATGTCTCACCAGGACAGACATTACATTTAAGACATTATCAACTTAAGGATAAGATGCAGACAAATATTTGTAATAAATGAGGAACTCTAGAGCAGGTTGAGAATATATTTTTACTAGGATTAAAGGTAGGGTAGGTACGTTTGAGAAACCGGCTCGAGATACACTTTTTGTTATATTCCATGGAATGCTCTTAACATCCCGATAGCAATGAATACATTAAATGCTTTGACAAAAAATCCATAACAAAAAGTCATCTGTGGAAGCCGTGGCGCTGTAAAAAGCACGACCAATCATCTGATCCAGCCCGGCTAAAATAACTGGATGGCCTACCTGCCTGTCAGCCTTCCATCTGTGCACAAACTTATCTCGTGCCCTCATTGGTCATGTGCGCGTTCGTGTGTGTTAGAAGAGGGGCTCTGTGAGGAAGTGGCAGATTTCTTCCTGCTGTGTATTTTCAAATTCTAGCGCACTCGAGCTGCTTTCTCCAAAATTACCTACCCCACCTTTAAGAGCTTGATGATACATTAAAACACATACAAATTTCCCAATGCACACACCTTTCACCATCACAGTTGCAGTGGTCTCCGCACTTCCTGTTTGACATGAGTAGCTGCCACTGTCCTCAGGTGAAAGCTCTTTAATAAGGAGCTGAAGAAGGCAGCCATCTTGTTTTATTTCATACTTTGTGTCGGCTCTCAGTGGCAGCCTGTTCTTCTTCCATTGCACTGACACTCCAGGTTTAGACAGCTCACAACACAGAGAGGCTGATCCTCCCTCCTCAGCTTTTATATTCTGAAGTTCTTCTTGGAAAAATGGTGGTAGCTCTGGGAAAGATATGAAGGTAACAGACTAATGAAGTGAAATTGCACTTATTGTAATAAAATACAATTTGTGAGAATGTGTTTGCTTCATATTATAATGAATCATATATTTCCAAACATCCCCACCTTTCACTGTCACAGTAGCAGAGGTCTCTGCACTTCCTGCATGACACGAGTAGCTGCCGCTGTCTTCAGGTTTGAGATCCTTGATGTGAAGCTGGAGGAGGCAGCCATCTTGTTTAATCTCATACTTCCTGTTAGCTCTCAGTGGCAGCCTGTTCTTCTTCCATTGCACTGACACTCCAGGTTTAGACAGCTCGCAACACAGAGAGGCTGATCCGCCCTCATCAGCTTCTGCACGCTTTAATTCTTTCCTGAAGAATGGAGGCAGCTCTAGAGAACAAAATCAAACAACAAGCATTTAAGTTTAACTTCGTATCCATTGTGAAGTCATTTGGGAAAGTATAAGGGTCTGTGTTCTGGCCTCACATGCCTTAGTACGAAAAATAAATGTGCACAAGACATCAGACCTTATGAGTTTACGTTTAACGAGTCTCAAATTATCCCTTTTAAAGATAGAAATAAAATAAATAACAGTGCAAGATAATAGTGCTGTGTCGTCCAAATCAAGTGTTAATTTCTTTTTTCGTGCACTGGCAACAAAAGGCAATCATTTCATTAATTCAGTCTGGGTGATTTCTGTCGGTGACTTCAATCGAATTCCCGAATGTTCACATGACCAGAGGAAGTATCATTAATGTCTACTGACTGAGATTCGGATAAAGTAACATTTGCAGTAATTATTGTTAGGGAATAATTCTCCTAGATATCCACCTTTTGCCCTTTGACGTTTATGACCAACCCTGGCGTCTGTTATCTCCCTTAAGGAAGGGGCTGCTTCAGCCATATGTTGTTGTTACCAGTTTAGGACCGGGCAACTCTCGGTCACAAATGGTTTATTGTTGTGGGTACACTGGAACACTTCCTTCTTGGGGCTTGTGGACTCCAAGGTGTGAAATCTTCGAGGCCATAAGTGTCAGACGCAAGTAATTCAGTGTTCCCAGCTGTTTAGGCTATCTCCCCAAATATGTTGATTACCCTCTCGGAACAAGTTAAAAGGTCTATCGAGAGAGAGGCTCTTCAGAATTGACGTGGCAACTCTACCGTGTAGTCAGAACCTCTGACTCCTGATTTGTTTTGTGAATTCTCCGGCCGAAGCTCCTAAATAAACCATCAGTGTTTGACATCAAAGCTCCAGCTCTCCCCGTGTCTCCTTCCTGAGTCGGTGACTCCTCCTGCATTGTTACACAGAACTTTCCCCCCCACAATTATGTTGTGTGTTTAATTGTAAACATAGCAAACACAGAGGAATACATAATGTCCAAATGCACTCACCTTTCACTGTCACAGTCACAGTGGTCTCTGCACTTCCTGCTTGACATGTGTAGCTGCCGCTGTCTTCAGGTTTGAGATCCTTGATGTGCAGCTGCAGGAGGCAGCCATCTTGCCTGATATCGTACTTCCTGCTGCCTCTCAGTGGCAGCCTGTTCTTCAACCATTGAATCGGGACTCCAAGTTTGGACAGCTCACAGTACAGAGAGGCTGATCCTCCCTCCTCAGCCTCCACACTCTGTAATTCCTCTTGGAAGAAAGGAGGAAGCTCTGGAAAACAGCGGAGAAAGACACATTTGGTGTAATTTCAAAGTGTTGAGGCATTCAAGCAAATATGTTTATTCTTTTTTACCATCTACATGTTTGCATTTTTACCTGTTACAGTGAGTTTGGCGCTGCTCTGGTCATCTCCTGTATCACAGCAGTAAGTGCCGGTATCCAGAGGATCCACATCACGGATTATCAGCAGGTTGATTTTTCCCTCCTTACGGATCTCGTATTTTTCTCCGTCTCTGAGCGGGATGTGGTTGCGCGTCCAGGTGATCGGGGAGGTGAAATCAGAGATCATGCAGGACAGAGTGGCCGACTCTCCTTCCATTATCACAACGTCTTTGGGCTTCTCCTCGAACAAAACTGAAATGAAAATGCCACTTTAGAAATTCTGGTTCGCAGGAAATGACATCCTCCAGTGGTGGAATATAATGATGGGAATGTATTCAGGTAAAGTCGAAGTAACATTAAAATATTCTTCAGTACAGTACTTTATTTATGCTATTACTACTTTATCTTTACTCCACTAGACTACACTTTGGAAGCTTATATTATACTAATCACTACAATCCTCTGAAAACTTTAGTTACTTGTGTAACTCCAATTTTATGCAGGATTCTAATACTACTCATTTCTGTACTAACCAAAATAACTGGGTACTTCTTCCACCACGGGTAGACCACCAAAACAATATTGTGCAATTATCAGTTCTTATGTGCAATATATACTATTTTACAATTTCTATTACTGGCTGTTTACTTTTTACTTAAGACTGTAACAACACTTTTGTAAAATAAAATTGGGAAATATACTGTGTGCTCTTTATTAATGTTATTACTGGCTGCTACCTACTTTTAAATGTTCCACTTACTTGTATAACTGCTACTTACTTTGTTATACCTCAGATGTGTACCAATGTGATTTTATTCTTTTTTATAATGTGCTGGTCTCTTTAAATAATAGTGTATTCTTCATCTTGTCTTTATCTTCTTTACTTGCTTGTAAAGCGTTTTGAGCACAAGGAAAAGCGCTATATAAATAAAATGTATTATTATTATCTGTACCGTGTAATTTGCTGTTCCAATATATATTTCCCCACTGCTAAAATCAATGATTTCTGTTCTCCTTTTCCCCTAAATGACCCCTCCATCTTCTCTCTTCACTTACCTGTTGCTTTGGGAACCACCAGCAGTCGTGCGGAGGTCTTCTCCTCCCCGATCACGAACGCCACAATGCCGGTCTCGTCGGGCGTCGTCATGGTGAGCACCAGGCGCTGCTGCCGGCCTCGAACCGTCATCTGGTTCATCTCGTTCCTCTGCAGGGGGCTTTGGCCCAGCCACCACACCCCCTCGCTCACATCGGCGTGGGTCAGGTCACACTCGAACACGGCGTCCTCGCCCGCCGTCACCGTGATGCCCTGCAGCTCCGAGACCACCCGCACGCGCTCTGAGGAGGAAGAGGGAGCTATATACAGCTGCACTTTAGAGGTGGAATGGCAAATGTTTACAACAATTAAGATGAGAAGGCCTTGTAGGTTAAATGAGTTAGTATAAAATATATATATGGGTATTAAAGTGATACATTAGGTTAAAGAAATAACCAGAACCAGCATTGCACATGAGTTAAAAGTAATTATTAATTAATACCAAGTGTTCAATATATACGTTCGAGCTGGAGGAGCTTGAATTTAATCACGGTATTAATAAAGTTTTCTTACATTATACAAAATCAATTATTTGTTGATTATATTTGGTTTTATTAATCTTAATTTAAATATTCAATCAATTAATCAATATCATAAATGACACATTTGTCATCACTGGGCTTTACAGTCTGTTCAGAATACAGAAACCTTCTGTCCTTACACACAAACAAAAAAAAGTATAATAAAAGTTATAAAATAAATGTAGTGGATTATAAAGAACGATATTTGCTACATTCTATTTTACATGTATTTAGTTAAATGTCTGCATTTTATTTGCACGATAGTGTCACCTTTCTCTTGCAGTATTTTATTTATTATCTCGTCTTGCACTATTGTTATTTATTTTGATGTCTTAAGTATATACATTTTACACTCTGGGACGTCTTTTGTGCAAATGACAGTAAAAGCCTTTGAATTTGAAGAGGAGTAAAAAGTACAATATTTGCATTGTGTAGTCAAACTATAAAGTATTTAGTTCCTGAAATTGTACTTGAGTAAATGAACTGTCCAACTCTGAAAATGGTTCTCCACCTACCCCTGACGATGATCTTGGCGGAGGTCTTCTTTCCTCTGGAGATGCAGCAGTATTCTCCTACGTCCTCCAGCAGCAGCTTCTTGATCTCCAGAGTGTGTGTGGGGCCGTTCTTCTTCACGATGTACCGCCCTTCTGCCTCCAGGACAGCGTTATCTTTCTTCCAGGTGACGGGGACGTTGGCGCTGGACACCTGGCAGGACAGCAGCACAGGTTTCCCCTCCATCACCGCCTGGCTCTCCAGCTCCTTCTCGAAGAAAACGGACGCTGCCGCTGGAGACGGGAGGAAAGTAGACGGGATGGAAGGGAAGTTAAATTGACATCTAAAATAATGTGATAATGTAATGATGTGATTATGATAGATGTTGTTCTCCTACCATTTGAAGGGGGTTCATGTTCAAGTTCATATATTTAATGTCTCGACTGTTGGACATGTTTCCATGTTTTAATTTCCTTTCACATTGAGCTAATGCAGTCACACTATGCATGTTACAGCGCTTAAAGGGGCCCTATTCTGCTCATTTTCATTACTATATAGTGTCTCTACTAGGGATGTAACGATATATCGAATATCGCGGTAAATAAATGTCTCAATACCGTCGTGAGACTGACAAAATCTACCGCGATTTTTAAAAACAATTTTAAATATATATTTTTTTTTTTAAATAGTTTTTTTTTTTTAAACCTTTATTTAACCAGATGGTCCCATTGAGATAATCAATCTCTTTTTCAAGGGAGACCTGTCCAACATGGCAGCAAGTAGGTTACAACATGAACATAAAACAACAGATAACACAAAAGGACATGGTATTTACAGGGCTACATGTACATACCTAGAGACATTGACAAGTACCAACAGTATATTTATATCTCTGTCAATAAGCCTCACCTTCTTGGCAACAACTGTATTGTTTTTGAAGTGGTGGATAGACAATGCACAGTTTACCCACTGCTGTCACCCATGGCCAAAGCATATCTCTCTGTCCCAGCAACATCAGTACCAAGCAAGAGAGTTTTTTCCACAGCAGGGGATTTTTCAAACGCCCAAACATCCCAGCTTCTACCTGGAAATGTGGACATGCTCATCTTCCTAAAAGATAACCTTGATGATGCTGAGTGAGTGAGTGAGTGAGTGAGTGAGTGAGTGAGTGAGTGAGTGAGTGAGTGAGTGAGTGAGTGAGTGAGTGAGTGAGTGAGTGAGTGAGTGAGTGAGTGAGTGAGTGAGTGAGTGAGTTAGAGTTGAGTTACTTGAAAAACTAAAGTGAAACTTGATTTATTCTATTGCAGGGTCTGATTATTATATTGTTGACACTTTAAAATACTACTATCTTACTAAAATGCTGTACAAATCACATTTATTATTTAATAAAGAAAAAAAATGCAAGTAAAAAAAAAAAAGATTCACATTTTTTTCTTTCTTTTTCAATATCGCGATAAATATCGTACCGTGGACTTTTTAATCGCGATATTATCGTACCGTGAGTTTTTGGTATCGTTACATAGTCTCTACTGTGACATGTCTCCATGTTTTAATGTTCAAAAAGCTCTTTATTTTTCTCATACTGCCTGTGCTGCAGCACCTCTTTTTACCCTCTGTCTGAAACCAGAGCCCAGTCTGCTCTGATTGGTTAGCTGGCCGCTTCTGTTGTCCGGCAGCAGCAACACCTGTTCTGCCAGATTTTGAAGCCCCTCTTTAGTGTTTCACCAGATGAGCCCAGAGTCAAATGCTTGTGTGTGCATGAACCAGGGGTAAATAGACAACACCAGTGTGATTTTGGTGAGAGTATGACTATCCTGGACAAAGCTACTGGGGGGGTGCTAAATCCAGGAGAGCAGGACCTGCCGGACGTAGCACCCCCAAAGTAACTTTATCAAGTCTAGGTTGTACAACATTTTGGATTAATTCAATCCCTCTTTAGAGTTGGATTCTTAAGGAACATATATTCAGAAAAAGTACTTAATTCTTTACCAGTTGTAAAGAATAAAGGGTCTAAAACAAGAACAAAGGGTCTATAAAGTATTATTACTACACTATTAAGGAACAATACGTTATAGGGGGCAATACAACAACAATAGGTGAGCAAATAAGTCATAAAACAAATATTGACTACAATGGTTTACTAGGAGGTACACTACAACAGGTGCACAGTCAAAGGGTCAAAAAAGTCTTATTACCCCCCTATTTAGGAACAATACTTTATAGGGGACAGTAAAACAATAAACAGCTAAACAAACAAGTCATAAAAAGAACGAAGACAATGGTTTATTAGGGGGGCACTACAACAGGTGCACTGACACCTGTCACACACAAGGGATTTAGGGGCGGGACTAAGGTTTTATGGGGGGTCATAAATCAATCACTCAACATGTCATAAATACAAAAGTGACACAAACCCTGTTCTTTTAACACTAGAACCGCCAACGGGTACATTTTACCCGCAGCTGTTTTTTTGATTGTATGTAACTTTTTTTCAATAACATATTAAAGTCTCCCAGTCCGTGACTTTTCCTGAAAGTGTGTTATGTAGCACTCTGTTGTTAACAATTGTCAATATGAAGTAAGATTGAAAAAAATCGCCAACAAAAATGCCATTTATACCTATATCCGCCAGCGGGTAATATTTACCTCATAGAAAATGCAGCGTAAACATGACGTGTTACTATAGCAACACCTTTTGTCTACTGCGGTTCGTTTATTGATAGAGAGATAGATTGAGAGAGAGAGAGAGAGAGAGAGAGAGAGAGAGAGAGATTGGAAGAGAGAGCAGACGAGGAACGTAGAGAGAGAGAGAGGGAGAGATGAGAGAGAGAGAGAGAGAGAGATGAGAGAGGAGAATGAGGACGGGAGGAGAGAGAGATGAGAGAGAGATGAGACGAGAGAGGACGAAGGTAGGTAGGTAGGTAGGTAGGTAGTGTGTAGGTAGGTAGGTAGGTAGGTAGGTAGGTAGGTAGGTAGGTAGGTCGGTAGGTTAGCGTAGGTAGGTAGGTAGGTAGGTAGGTAGGTAGGTAGGTAGGTAGGTAGGTAGGTAGGTAGGTAGGTAGGTAGGTAGGTAGGTAGGTAGGTAGGTAGGTAGGTAGATAGATAGATAGATAGATAGATAGATAGATAGATAGATAGATAGATAGATAGATAGAGAGAGAGAGAGATAGATAGTGTAACATCTTGGAGAATACAAGATCTTGGATGACTGAGCTCACGTTGAGGACGTAATGCATGTGTGCAGGTTACGTGCCAGTTGAATAAAGATGGACACTCGGAATGAGCGAAGTAGTCCGCGTTGTCTGTTTATGTAGACAATTATATGAACATAGAACAGAACATTACAGATATATCTATAGATAGTTATAGATGGATAGAGAGAGAGATAGAGAGATTTGTACCTAAACAAAACACAAGTCTAACACACCAAGCGTTTAAATCAGCACTCTTAGCCATATTTTATACTTCATGCTATCTGCACAAACTATATCATATGAAAAGCTGAGAGTCCACAGATTCTATTGGTATAGGTTTCATCCCTGTGCGATCAAAACTCACGGTTCTGTATGATAAATAAAAGAACATTGTACCTTGAAAATCAATAGCGGGTACATTTTACCCGTTGGCGGTTTTAGGTATACAGCGACCTCTGGCGGTTCTAGTGTTAACTACTCGCTTCAACGGATTGCTGAAACAAAGTTAGATCCTAATTCAAATTGACCATAAAACCAGCCTCTGGAGAGATGCAGCTGAAGATAAAGTAAGTGTTAAGTGTAATAATTATATTGCAGTACCTCTGACGCTGACCTCGGCCGTGGTCTTCTGCTCCCCGAACACGCAGCTGTACTCCCCCACGTCCTCCGGCTGGACGTTTCTGATGTGCATCTCTGCGGTTTTCTCCTTCAGGGTCATCTGGTACCTCCCCCCCTGCTGGAGCTGATCCTCCGCCTTCCACCACTGCACCGAGACCCCCGCCCGGGACAGCTCGCAGCGCAGGGACACGTTTCCTCCCTCAGGAGCCTCCTGGTTCTTCAGACCCATCTTAAAGGAGAGCGGGATAGCTGCGGGAGAACATCAGGTTTTATTGTAGTCTGACATAAGAGTTGAAACCCTGTTGAGAGCAGATTAAACAGCCATGATTCTTAAGTGTCTCTTGAATTAAATGTCTCCGATTATACTATTTTTAGGCATATATTATAGGTCTCAGATATATTAAAAATATGTCTATGAAGTGTTTTGCTCAAAATACCAAACAGATCACCCATTCTAGCCTCAAACCCTCTCTATTTCAGCCCTGTTAGAGAAGTGCTGATTCCGAGTCTGTAGCTTTAAAAAAAGTAGGAAAAAAAACGAAAGCTCATGCAGGAGAATTCTACCGAGAGATACTCAGCTAAAGGCTGCCGTGATTAAACGCCATATTATGTTCTAAACCACATCAAGGCTTATTTCTGAAACAGTATGGAGCTCAAATACTTATTTTCTTGCAGGTTTACGACAAGGTGAGTTCCTTTTTTAATTTCCTGCTTCTTCACACATGCTCTCTCCAGTACAGGTTAGCTCTGAGTGTTAGCGATGCTAATGTAAACAAAGACCATATTACGTCCAAAAGAGTCGGGCATTGTTTCTGATAGCAACGTTTCTGATTGGGCCGGGTCCACATTTCAGATATTACGTCATATCGGACGCAAATCTGGATCAGCTTCGTTGTACCCCCGTTTTTAGAGATTTGGGTACGGAGGAAAAGAGAGAGGGTTTTAGTTTCGGACACTTTGTGAGTCTACTGACACCGGGGACACATATTTATGTATTAAATACATCAAAAAGGTGAAGTTTAACAGTGGTCTCTTACGTGTGATGGTGACGTTGGCGCTGGTTTTGGTGTCTCCGTACGAGCAGCTGAAGAGGCCGCTGTCCTGCAGCTGGGAGTTTTTGATGGTCAGCTCCATGCTGCTGTTTCTGTTTTTGATCTGGAATTTGAAATCGTTCTTCAGAAGCTCCTGATCTTTCCTCCACTCCACAGTGAGGCCGGGTTTAGAAAGCTCACAGCTCAGAGTCACGCTGTTCTCCTCCTCCACCTGCTGGGCCCTCAGCTTCGTCTTGAAGGTGATGGGAGGCGCTGACGGAGGAGGAAAAGAGAAATGGTTACTATTTAAAAATGTGTTATTCATTAGTTTGACAAAACTGATTTGACTCAACCACATACTGACATGTGTTGCAGGTCTCTTCAGTGACAAGATTTCAAATAAAACATTGAATTTAACTTTTTTGTAAGTTATTTTAATCCTATGTAAAACAACAGGGAAGGGGAACAGAGAATAGTGTTTAACATGCATGGATGGATTAGTGAAAGAACACAAAGAAATACACATATTGTAAGAATGACCACAGACATAAGAACCACTGAATGACCAAGAACAAAGTGACAAAATGTGATCAAAATAAGAGGCGAAACAATCACAAAAGTTAAAAGTGCCTCAAAACAAATGTAAAACAACCATAAGGGACAGAGAACGAACACAAAATGAATGACAATTTACCAAAGAACAAAAACAACTAAAAGGCGACTAAAATGACAAAGATATGCATTCCTACGTCAAAAAAACATCATAGAGATAGAAAGTCTAAAATCGAAGCAAAAACGACTAAAAGGAGAAGCAAATATCCACAAACATTCACAAAATGACTGTACATTAGTTTAATCCCATTTATATCAAATAGGGAATGATATCTATGAAACGTTTGGATATCATTTTTTCAGGGTGTTCATTACTTTACCTCTGACGGTGAGCTCAGCGGTGGATTGGCTGTCTTTGGTCTTGCAGGTGTATTTCCCAGCATCGCTCTCCTCCATGTTGTTGATGATTAGTTTAGTGAGACGTCCCTCCTGCTTCATCTCGTATTTATATCCAGGTTTCAGGACGACTCTTCCCTTCCTCCAGTCCACCGGAGCTCCAGGATTGGAGATCTGGCAGCAGAACGCCCCGCTGTCCCCCTCCTTCACCTCCACATCCTCCAGCTCCACTTTGAAGGTGACAGGGATTTCTGAGGTAGCAAAAATAAAGAAATATGGATATATGTGATTGTGAATACATCTACCCTACAAAAAGTACTGAAAGTGTGGTACAACATACCTCTGACTTTGATGTCGGCGGAGGTCACAGCGGTGCCCACAGAGCAGCTGTACTCCCCCAGATCTGTGAGTTTGAGGTTTCTGATCTGCATCTCAGCGATCCGGCCTTCCTGCTTCATCAGATACTTCTCCCCCTCCTTCAGCAGCTGAGCGTCTCTCCTCCACTCCACAAGGACGCCGGCTTTTGAAAGCTCGCAGCGCAGCGTCACAGCGCCCTCCTCCACCGCCTCCTGGTTCTTCAACTTCTGCTTGAACGTCACCGGGATGGCTGTGGAGGGAACGGAGAATACTGTTAAACATGCATGGATGGATTACTGAAAGGGTCTAAAGGAGTCATGGGGTCTGACTTACACAATGTCAGTAAAATAAACACAAAATGTGTTGTAAACAACTACAAGGAGAAAACAATAACCAAAAACATTCTGAAATTGACTTAAAATATGAGTACATTTAAAAAAATTTAAAAACGACAATCAATAGACTCAAAGCCTAAACAAAATACAAAAAGGAAGTGCAATATCACTTAAAGGTGGGGTAGGTAAGTTTGAGAAACCGGCTCGAGAAACACTTTTTGTTATATTCCATGGAATGCTCTTAACATCCCGATAGCAATGAATATCTTAAGTGTTTTGACATAAATAAATGTCATCTGTGGAAGCCGTGGCGCTGTAAAAAGCACGACCAATCATCTGAGCCGGCTAAAGTAACTGGATGGCCTACCTGCCTGTCAGCCTTCCATCTGGGCACAAACTTATCTCGTGCCTCATTGGTCATGTGCGCGTTCGTGTGTGTTGGAGGAGGGGCTCTGTAAGGAAGTGGCAGATTTGTTCCGGCTGTGTATTTTCAAATTCTCGCGATCTCGAGCTGTTTCTCCAAAATGACCTACCCCACCTTTAAGAATATGTAAAATGACCACAACCATACACAAAACAACCACAACATGACTGAAAAGACACACAACCTTAAAAATGAGAGTTGCAAAATGTCTCAAATGGACATAAAACAAACCACCAAGACACAACAGGACCACAAAATGTCAATATAGAAACGAGATTCAAAATGAATACAATGACTATGAAGACATAACACATTTTTTAAAACGTGAAAAACAACTACAAAGAGTTAGAAAATGACTAAAAGTAGACTCTTTGAGACTCTGCGTTTGTGTGTGCTGTTCCTATAAAGACAGGATGGACAGTATCATAATCGATCCATGACAACATGCAGATTACAAAAACATACTATACGTTTCCTGTCACATAGTGTAACTCACCGGTGATGATGACAATAGCTGTGGTACTGGCCTCTCCACACACACAGCTGTAGGAGCCGCTGTCCTCTGGCTGGCTCTTCCTGATGTGGAGCTCCAGGGTGGATCCGCTCTGCTTCATCAGGTGTTTCTCCCCCCCGGGGGTCAGCAGCGTGGCCCCCCTGCTCCACTGCACCTGAGAGACCCTAGAGACCTCGCAGCTGAGCGTCACTGCGTTCCCCTCCTGGACCTGCACGTTCTTCAGATCCTGCAGGAACCTGACGGGCCGCTCTGCAGGAGGAACACCAAAATGATTTAGACAAATATTATAGTTTAGGGGATTTTACTGCTTTCTAGTCTCAAGTGATAAGTCAAATTAAGAAAGCTGTATGTGGAATATACAAAGGTATATTTATTTGACACTTGTAGTTAGTTTTACCATAAATAACATGATCTTGGTGATGAATATATGATGTGTATACTACTAATTTACTATAAAATATCTCCCCATATTGACGAATTAAATGTATTTTACACTGAACAAAAATATAAACGCAACACTTTTGTTTTTGCTCCCATTTTTCATGAGATGAACTCAAAGATCTAAAACATTTTCTATAAACACAAAATAACCATTTCTCTCAAATATTGTTCACAAATCTGAACAAATCTGTGATAGTGAGCACTTCTCCTTTGCCGAGATAATCCATCCCACCTCACAGGTGTGGCATATCAAGATGCTGATTAGACAGCATGATTATTGCACAGGTGTGCCTTAGGCTAGCCACAATAAAAGGCCACTCTGAAACGTGCAGTTTTTCTTTATTGGGGGGGTCTGGGGGGGTCCGAAAACCAGGCAGTATCTGGTGTGAGGGGTAGGGGTAGGGGTAGGGGTAGGGTTAGGGGTAGGGTAATGTTGTGAATCGAGTGGCCCATGGTGGTGGTGGGGTTATGGTATGGGCAGGCGTATGTTATGGACGACGAACACAGGCCACGACGAACACAGGCCACTCGATTCACAACATTACCCTCAACAAAAAATGACTTGTTTAGTGTTCGGATGGTTCTTAGCTCCACCCTCTTGAGTCACTTCTGGTTATCCAAAAAACCCGATATGCTCGAGGCTTCAAAACCATTGTCCTCAAACAGATGTACTTTTGTCATGACAATTACTTCCACTTCTTATATTCAGTGTATAGAATGCTAATGTTTGACCTTTTTTTGATACTGTGTATTCATGAGCCCTGAAGCAAAACAATCCAGGTTATTGTATTGTTAGCAGTGCTCACCGTTCACAGAGATCCTAGCTGTGGTGCTCTGTTCTCCACATGAACAGATATAATCTCCAGCGTCGTCCAGAGTGATGTCAGCGACCCTCATCTCCACCTGCAGCTCCTTCTTCTTCATCTGGTATTTGTCCCCGTTCCTCAGCAGCTCCCCTCCTCTCCTCCACTCCACACAGGAGGCGGGTTTGTTGAGTTCACAGCGAAGAACCACAGAGTTCCCCTCCGTCTCCTCCTGACTCACCAACAGCATCTTAAAGCTCGGTGGTGAACCTGTTAACACAGAAAAGATCAGACACACACTCACACAGTGGGCTACCATGCAAGGTGCTTTTGAAAGAACATAATCAATATTACATGGAAGTGACATGATAGTGGTATGAGCAACACAGCAGGTGTGTTCACTAGACTATCCGTCTTGCTCATAATGGATTTTTAAAGCTAACTATGAACCCTGGAATGGATAAGATGATCCAATATTACATAAAAACATGTAATATCACTTTCATGAAAAAAAACTAATGATACAGTTTAGTTACAGAGCTGTTTGGGATGTATCATATTGCAAAATGTTGCCTAAACATCCCAATGTCTGTGTGTTTTCAATGAGCTCATGAGAGGTAATGTACAGGAAACAGATATGAAGGTACATGATGGAGCTCACACAACGCTAATGGGTCTATTTTATTGTACGTTAGAGCTGACCTCTTTGACGTCTGCGCTCAGGTGATTCTGTTGGGGAAAATTCAATAAATTCATGTATTTATTAAACCCCAAATGCCCTTAGAGGAATTTGCTTTGCACATGAATATCAAAAACAACCATCCGTGATGCAAATAACAACAATAGCTTAATATAACATAACAAATCAAAGATGAAGACCATTCAAATATCAAGCTTAATTGCACATTAATTTCCCATTATTCCTGTCACCAAGTTTAACATCTCCGTCCAGTTTGTCCTTGTTTTGGAAAGGCAAAAATACCCCCAAATACACAATGTCAATATAATGTAAATTAAGGTTGAATAAAATAATATCAGTATAGTTCTGTCCACATTAAAGCGTCTAGGGCTCTCGACTAACTTTTTTCACCACCGTCCCGAAATACAATCTAAGCCGTCCCGAAATTAATGTGGACCGTCCCGAATTTACAAACGGCCCCGCCCCCTCGCACACAGACGGGAGAGAGAGATCTCGTCTGGATTGGAAAGCTCGAAAATACATCATAGACGCATGTTGTAGTCTTATTGCATATTAGAAACGGAGTTGGTGAAACTAAAACTGCGATATAATGTGTATGTAGCAATAATACATATGACATATATTTTTTAAATGTCTCCAGTACCGATAAAAAGTCCGATAATGTCGGAGCCTAACGTTACCACTGTCTTTAATAATTCTGGCCCGGGGCCAGTTTAATACCGGGGATCGGTACCCATCCCTACATGGGGAGAGGCAGCATATTGCTAAGGACTGAATACGATGGAGAGTTCTCTTCCTTATTACCCATAGGGGATGAAGAGGAGTAAGTAAATAAAGAGGCCGGCGCTCCAGGGTCTGGTTCTGCTGTGCGTTTTTGTGATTAACGGTAAAACATTTCAGAATTCCTCCACGGGATGCCATTGTTCATCACTCAACCCGCGAAATACACACACTCAGTACACACACTCAGTACACACACTCAGTACACAGCTAGACCCGCAAATTTGCGGGCCAGGAATTCGCGGGCACAGCTGTAGCTACGTACAGTGTGTGTGTGTGTGTGTGTGTGTGTGTGTGTGTGTGGGGGGGGGGGGGTATTTCGCGGGTTGCTAAATGTTTTGTGCGTGTGTGTTTATGTTGATAAGGAGGTTTAATAACTGTGCTACACAAAACGTGCAGTCGGTTTAATTTTCATCGCCGTTTGTAGTAACGGTATTTTTATTTTAACTCTCGTCCCAAAATTATTTTGTATCCTCCCCGACACTATTTGTTTCGGCCCCGGGACGACGGGACGTCCTTAAGCTCGAGCCCTGATCTACGTTTCCTTAAAAAGTACAGATGTTGTGAACCTTTGCAAACCTTAGCATTCATTGTCAATTTACTCAGTTACTATTGTTAGCAATATTCAAATAGAGCTATAACTGTGCTTCACATAATAATGAAGATTGAGGTGCTTGTGTCTCACCTCTGACGGAGAGCTCAGCGGTGGATTGGCTGTCTTTGGTCATGCAGGTGTATTTCCCAGCATCGCTCTCCTCCACGCTGTTGATAATGAGTTTAGTGAAAGGTCCCTCCTGCTTCATCTCGTATTTGTCTCCAGGTTTGAGTGCCGTTCGGCCTTTCTTCCACTCCACAGGAGCTCCGGGTTTGGAGATCTCGCAACAGAAGACCCCTCCGTCCCCCTCCTTCACCTCCAGGAGCACGAGCTCTCGCTTGAACGTCACCGCAAGAGCTGTTGTTTAGGAAAGAACGTTATTGTCCGTATATGTACAAAAGATTCAATAAAACATCATATGAGACAGAATAAACTTGACTTCTATCGACACATTTGTATCCGTGGTGTACAGCCTATGAGTATCAGTGATGAAGGAGGGTTGGCTTTTACATTTCATTTAGCTGACACTTTGATCCAAATCAAATTACAATAAGTCCATCAACCATGAAGATAGAAACTCAAATCAGCAAGAACATTAGCTTACAATAAACCATTTTAATGTTGGTATAAAATCTGACTCTTGATTATTCCTCGTGTTGCTCATACCATCCCAGTTTGTATCACCTTCCTTCTCCCCTTCGTTACTTGATTGCCAGTTGTTTTTTAAAAGCTGGTCTTTAATAAGGCTGTTGTTAAATGTTTATGACAAATATTCTCAAAATGTCCCATACAAATTGATGTACCATAGTGTTAAAAACGTTTTCTTACTATTACTGAATAACAAATGTTCCTTTCCTCTTCAAAACTACTCCATACAGCTTCCACCCCAGCTTCCACCCCAGCTTCCACCCCAGCTTCCACCCCAGCTTCCACCCCAGCTTCCACCCCAGCTCCACCCCAGCATCCACCCCAGCTTCCACCCCAGCTCCACCCCAGCTTCCACCCCAGCTTCCACCCCAGCTTCCATCCCAGCTTCCACCCCAGCTTCAACCCCAGCTTCAACCCCAGCTTCAACCCCAGCTTCAACCCCACCTCCACCCCAGCTTCCACCCCAGCTTCAACCCCACCTTCACCCCAGCTTCCACCCTAGCTCCACCCCAGCTTCCACTCCAGCTTCCACCCCAGCTTCCACCCCAGCTTCCACCCCAGCTTCCACCCCAGCTTCCACCCCAGCTTCCACCCCAGCTCCACCCCAGCTTCCACCCCCCCAGTTTCCACCCCAGCTTCCACCCCAGCTCCACCCCAGCTTCCACCCCCACCATCACCCCAGCTTCCACCTGTAGACTCGGGGGATAGTTATCTAATCATCACTCAATGTTCTTTGTAAATCTGTGGAGTGATGAGGCCCGAGCTTAGACGCCAAACTCAAACTATATGCTGCTTGTAATAAACACATTAAGAAACACGTGAGTTGTCTGACTGAAATGTCCCACTTTGACTGTTTAACATCTCTGTTTTCACTTTAACTGGAACCGTTTTTAAAAAGGTTAAGAGTTAAAAAACACATAGTTTTAAAAGTACAGCAGAGCTAATATGGTCCACAGATAGAAACGGTGTTATCCTCTTCAGTCTTCTTCTCTTCACACTCACGTTTGACTCTGAGCTCGGCGCAGGTCTTCTCCTCTCCTGTGGAGCAGCTGTACCTCCCTGCGTCCTCTGGCTGCACATGGAGGACAGTCAGCTGAGCCACCTTCCCCTCATGGTTCATCTGAAACTTCCCTCGACCTGTGAGCTCTGACAGCAGCTCAGCGTCTCTCTGCCACTGCACCGGGACGCCTTTCTTGGACAGCTCGCAGCGAAGAGTCACACTGCTGCCCTCCTCCGCCTCCACACCCTTCAGACTCACTCTGAATGTGGCGGGAACCGCTGAGGAAAAAACACAAGAGTCCTGATTCAACATGAGAGCAAAAAGAAGATCTTTAAAGAGGCATTTTACAGGTAGTTCAATACACTTCTAATTCGACTACTGAGTAGGTTGTATGCCTCTGTAAACCAATCAAGTTGAAGTGTATATTCGTTATCTTCGTTATTTTATCCTAGTAGAAATGTGTTATGACCCTAAATGCGTTTTATAAAGTCACAAGAGACTTTTGATCTTTGGCCTCCAAACTCTATTTATTTTATCTCTGGGTCTAAGACTTAGACTCTAAGTGGACATTTGTGACGAATTAAAATAAATTATTCTTCTTTTATATAAAACTAACTTCAATATTTTTTTTTATATGACTTAAAGGACTAAATACAACACTGTGTAACCTGTAGTGTTATGTATATGTAATCAACGAGTAACCATTCTATAGAATATATAAATCACTGTATAATACCAATGTGGCTGCCTGTGACCTTTGACCTCCAAATGAGACTTGAAAATACTGTGAAAAACATTTACGTTTTGAAAAAAAGATTGCTATCAAAAACTCATTAAGTACTTTTTTTTGTATTCACTCCAAAAATGTCTATGAGGCATTACAGGTTTCTGCCACACCCTCAAAAGTAATTTGTATTTACTTAATGAGGTGTGTTTGTTTGTGTGTGTGAACTAAATGAATACAAAATAAATCAAGCAGAATATATGTGCCAAGTTTGAAGCAACCCCCTCCAGGCGTTCCTGAGTCATCACGATAATGGCAAACCTGATGCCAAACTGAAAAACTAAGAAACTAGAGAGTGTGTTTTCCTGCACTGATTTGATTTAAACTCACCGATGACCTTGACGGTGGCCTTGGTCTTCTGCTCTCTGCACACACAGCTGTAGACGCCGCTGTCCTCGGGCTCGGCCTCTCTGATGGTCAGCTCCACGCAGGCCTCGCGCTGCTTCATCTGGAACTTCTCCCCGCTCTGCAGCAGATCTCCAGCCAGCCTCCACTGCACCGAGACCCCCGCCTTAGAGAGCTCACAGCTCAGAGACACGCTCTGACCCTCCTCCACCTGCACGTTCCCCAGCTTCTGCCTGAAGGTCACGGGGACAACTGAGAGGCAGAGAGAAAGGCAGGTCAAGAGAAGGAAGTGCTAATCAAGAGTTTAATGAACAGCAATGTTAAATAAATAACAAAGATTAATACCAAGTATTGTCCATCTCATGGATACATAAAAACATGGAGACCAATTATGGAAAACAAATCTACTTATTGACTGATTTTCCATTTTGTCTACATACAAAATGAGTCTTTAAGTGCTTTAATGTAAAAAAGAAAACATGAATGTGTCGTATTCAAACTTTGCAGTCATCTTTTGCAGCATAACTTTTCAAAATATATGATTACATGTGATCATTCATGTCCATTTTTATATCCTGATTTGAAAACTATATTTCGTTTTTGTTTAGTTTTTAGCCCATAGTGGGTTTCTACCACACCTGTACATTGATTTAGACTTTTATTTGTTTAAATGTGCAAATAATTGTTGTTACTTTAATGACCACTTGAGGCCTATTTGTGGTCTATTTCTGGAGTTGGCAAATAAAATGTGTTTTGTAGTAAATGTAGTATATATATTTTGTTTTATAAGTCTTGGATAAGGTAAAGTATTTTGGAATTTAACATGAAGTACAAAACTAATTACATAAGAAACAGGTTTGTGGCTTAAAATGAATGTAGTCATCAATCAAAATACTCATATTCATCTGAGTTAACTAGAAATCTTCCACTCATTGACCCCTGATAGACATTTGGTTGATTAAAAACCCAACGTTGTCTCAGTTTGGACTCCCTGCCCCTTACGTAAGTTAGAATATAATAAACTCCTTACTGTTGACGGTGAGCGTGGCGGTGCTCTCGATGTCTCCACAGATGCAGGTGTAGATGTCGCTGTCCTCCGGCGTCACGTCAAAGATCCTGAGCTCCATCAGGACGTCTCTCTGCCTCAGGTGGTACTTCTCTCCGTGGGTCAGCACCTCGCTGCCTCGTCTCCTCCACTCCACAAAGGGAACGGGTTTGGACAGTTCGCAGCGCAGAGCCGCCGTTCCTCCCTCCTCCACCGCTACGCTCCTCAGCTTCTGCTTAAACGTGACCGGCAGAGCTGAGGGGATACGGGGGAACAGGGGTCAGGATTAAACACTATGGAGGGAGAATAAATACACTTCTACTAGGCCTTGTAATTAAATGTTATTAGATGTGTTTGCTTAATCAAGAGCCTTAGCACGAGAGTGGGAAAGATACACAATGTTAAACTTATTTCTCATACTGTTGGTCTTGTTCCCACACAAACAACAGTACATTTGTATTTACAGATAAAGTCTAATCTAATACTTTTTGATATAATACCACTTGTAGAATTAGATTCCATGTTAACAAAAACTGACAAGTTATATTCCTTGATTAATCCAATTAATAACTTTATGCATATGAGGATTATTTTAAGGTAAATTTAAGCTTTGAATGTCTGTCACCATAAAATATGACGTAACCTATTTTTGCATTTCAATTGCAGCAACAATTGTTGAACAAACGACATTCAGTACAGCCCTAATTATGCTATTTGTAGGCTATACTAAACTCACTTTCCCATTTGTGTGTTTTGTGTCCTACCGTTGATTTTGACGGTGGCGGACGTCCTCTGGTCGGCACACACGCAGCTGTAGAGCCCGCTGTCCTCGGGAACAGGTTTCCATATGAGCAGCTCCAGCATGGTGTCTCTCCTCTTCATCTGGTGTTTCACTCCGTTCTTCAGCAGCTCGTGTCCTTTGTTCCACTCCACAGGAACTCCAGGTTTAGACAGCTCACAGCGCAGCAGCACGTTGTTCCCCTCCTCCGCCTGCATGCTCTTCAGCTGCTGGACGAATGTGATGGGGATGGCTGTAAAACCAGAGGAGATATTATTAAAGTTTAACTTTAAGTTCAACTTTATTGTCAATCTTTCAGTTTGTGTGTACAGACAGAGGGATCGGAATACCGTTTCCCACAATCCCGAATACAAAAACAAATATATATAAAAAAATATGTATATACCTATATATAATATATATATATACACAATCAACAGACACATTAAGACCTAAATAACTACATGAAGAGGAAGAAGAAAAAGGCTCAGAGAAAAGTTTGACGCATTGGGATGCATTACATAGATATTGTGCCAGCTAGTCAGAAAAACGTTTTAAACCACAACATGTGGAACTATATAACATTTTAACTCTCAAGGACGTGCACAATACCCGGCTAGGTAGCCCTGCCTAGAGCAGCCTATTTTGCCCCCTTAAAGGTGGGGTAGCCAGGTAAGTTTCAGAAACCGGCTCGAGATACACTTTTTGTTATATTCCATGGAATGCTCTTAACATCTCGATAGCAATGAATATCTTAAGTGCTTTGACAAAAAATCCATACAAAAATGTCATCTGTGGAAGCCGTAATACTGTAAAAAGTACAACCAATCCGTTTAGCCGGGGCCTGTCTGTCAGCCTTCCATCTCGTGCACGCACAAATGTATCTCGTGCCGTCATTGGGCGTGCATTGCGCGTTCATGTGTGTTGGAGGAGGTGCTCTGTAAGGAAGTCTGAAGGAAGGGGCGGATTCTTTTCGGCTGTGTACTTTCAAATGTTAGTGCACTCGAGCCGGTTTCTGAAACTTACCGGGGTATGTAATTTTGAAGAAAGCAGCTCGAGTGCGCTAGAATTTGAAAATACACAACCGGAAAAAATCTGCCCCTTCCTTCAGACTTCCTCACAGAGCCCCTCCTCCAACACACATGAACGCGCACATGACCAATGAGGGCACGAGATAAATGTGTGCACAGATGGAAGGCTGACAGGCAGGTAGGCCATCCAGTTACTTTAGCCGGCTCAGATGATTGGTCGTGCTTTTTACAGCGCCACGGCTTCCACAGATGACATGTTTTTATGTATTTTTTGTCAAAGCATTTCATTTATTCATTGCCTAAGCAAAAAATAAAAACATATTTTACTGTTTTGGATGCATAAATACAAGTAGCCCATTAATGCCAAACTTGAACTAAATTAAATCAACATATTGTACAAACTCCATTCCTTTCTATATTGTTTACCCAGCAACTACTTGCTCCAGGGAATGAACATTATACAGAGCGAAACAAATAAATTAATTTAACCTGGTTTACTTTGAATATACTGTATTTGAAACACCATTAAGGTAAATAAAGAACGTTAACCCTGTTTACACTTTGAGATATTTAACAATACAAAATGTTATATTGATAAAGACAAATCTAAGAAACACTTTCAGAACTATTGTGACATTTTGGGTTTTGTTCTGTAACGTAAAAACCTTTTTCATGGGTGATTTTAGTTCAAATGTTCAAATGTCCAAGACAAAAGCTTGAGTTAATGTGCGCTCATCAATACTACTGCAGCACAACAGTAAACATGTGAAAATCAGACAGAAATGGCTGAATTTACTTTGAAACACACTCCTGTGAAAGACTGTTTTGATGAAACTGTGAATGTTTTAGTTGACATTATGTAAAGTGCAAAGTGAACAACAGACCCTGGACTTTGAGGCTGGCCGTGGTGCGGTGGTCTCTGCACTGACAGGTGTATTCTCCTGAGTCTGCAGGCCTCAGGGCTTTGATGGTGAGGGTGATGAGGGTCTTCTTCTGTTTCATCAGGACCCGGTCTGAAGGCCTGAGGCTCTCTAAGCCTCTCTTCCAGTGGAACGGGACCCCAGGCAGAGAGTACTCACAGCTCAGGGTCACCGTCTCCCCCTCTCTGGCCTCCACGGGCTCCAGACCCTGGGTGAACTCTGCGGGGATGGCTTAAAGCAGAGGAAAAACAAAAGAGAGAATGAAATGCTATTGAACATTTTACTTATAGCTTCTATATAATCAGTCACAGTTAACCCTTTCATATATATCGCTCCTACCAACAGACTTGCCATTGTTATTATTTCAATTATTATCTTCATTTCTTTTTCACGTTTAATTCTTATTGTTTACCACTTCCGGCAATGGTCACGTGGGTGTGGTTTATTGGTATTTAGGTCACCTGTTGGATGCCGGTATTGGATATGACGTAGAGGTGAGGGTGAATTGCTCAGATACTTTCTGTTGACCGTGTGGTCTGGAGTTGTATATTGTTTGTTTTTCGTCTTTATTAAACACCATGGACTACAAATGACTACGGACTCTGTATGGAACGCGTCACCGCGAAGAGCTAGTTTTAGCCTCTCAGCGGCATTACTCCGCTACAAGATTTATTAATTAAAAACTTTTCTAGGATGTTTGATCCATGTTAACCGTCATCTGACTCCACCCGAATGCTCACATTTATTTCATTGGATGTTTATGAGCCAATCACAGTGCTCCACATCATCTAAATGGACTGCAGTAGAGCCACACCCTTTTATTCAGGACCATGAGGTGAGGCACATTTTAATCAATCAATCATATTGTAAAAGTGACTAATTTCTGTTTACACTGTTAGTCTGTCTAAGGAGGATCCATGGGATATTGAGAAATACAGTTTTTAATTAGTTCTGACTGTTTTGTTTTTATTTTCAGTTTAACAGGCATCCTATTAATTATTTACACATAATACACAACTTAGTAGGACATACTGTTTTCTGGAAGTTTAGAAATCTTACATTATTAGACTTAAAATGGTTGTAAAATCATACAAAATATATTCATGAAAAATTAATTAATCAGTGTTTATCTTCAGGCAATAAATATGTGATTGCTAATTATATATGATTGAATTTGGAGTCGAAATTGACCATTCAAATATTGTTTTATAATATTGACAGGTTAATGTTAGGCAGAAGTAAACAATCCCAGTCCTTTAATAAAATACTCCTCGTACCTCTGACCGTGACGACAGCCCTGGTGGTGACCGATCCAGCGCTGCACTCATAGACCCCGGCATCGCTGTTGCAGACCTCCCGAATCGTCAGTCGTGCTTCGCAGCCTGAACGACTGGCGGCGTATCTCGAGGAGTTCCACATCAGGCAGCCATCTTTGTACCACAGGATGTGACACGGCTTGGAGGCCACACAAAATAAAACCAACCCCCCTCCTTCAATTGCCTCGCAGTCTTCCAGCGCTTTAATAAGGGTTGGACGCCTCTCTAAAAATATGGGGAAATAAATGCAAATCAGGAAATGTGACATGTGAACACTGTCGGTCAGATAGATATGGCAAAAGTACACACATCCTTTACTCAAGTAGAAGTACAGATACTCGTGTTTAAAAATAATATGGTAAAAGTAGAAGTACTGACTAAACTTCTTTACTCAAGTAAAAGTAAAGAGGCTTTGAAATGTACTTAAGTAAAAAGTACCCATAACTAGCAGCTGCTTTAAAGAGTACCTGACCTCCCTTTATATTAATAGAACAATAATGTCATTGTTAGCTAATGAATGTTTCCATGCTGAACAACGACAACATGACAACGTTTCCATTGGTCCCTCTTCTTTAGAGAAGACCAGGAAATGATGGATTCACGGATCGTGTTCAAATCAATAGGCACGCAATGACTCTAAATAATAATGATCACGCATCAAACACACATTCAGACTAAAGGAACCAGCTGTTTGGAAAATGAGAGAAGTAGAAAGTACAAGTATTTGAGTTCAACATGTGAGAAGTAGAAAGTACAGGTATTTGAGTTCAACATGTAAGAAGTAGAAAGTACAGGTATTTGTGTTCAACATGTAAGAAGTAGAAAGTACAGGTATTTGAGTTCAACATGTAAGAAGTAGAAAGTACAGGTATTTGAGTTCAACATGTAAGAAGTAGAAAGTACAGGTATTTGAGTTCAACATGTAAGAAGTAGAAAGTACAGGTATTTGTGTTCAACATGTAAGAAGTAGAAAGTACAGGTATTTGAGTTCAACATGTAAGAAGTAGAAAGTACAGGTATTTGTGTTCAACATGTAAGAAGTAGAAAGTACAGGTATTTGAGTTCAACATGTAAGAAGTAGAAAGTACAGGTATTTGAGTTCAACATGTAAGAAGTAGAAAGTACAGGTATTTGAGTTCAACATGTAAGAAGTAGAAAGTACAGGTATTTGAGTTCAACATGTAAGAAGTAGAAAGTACAGGTATTTGAGTTCAACATGTGAGAAGTAGAAAGTACAGGTATTTGAGTTCAAAATGTAAGAAGTAGAAAGTACAGGTGTTTGTGTTCAAAATGTAAGAAGTAGAAAGTACAGGTATTTGAGTTCAACATGTAAGAAGTAGAAAGTACAGGTATTTGTGTTCAAAATGTAAGAAGTAGAAAGTACAGGTGTTTGTGTTCAACATGTAAGAAGTAGAAAGTGCAGGTATTCAAAATGTAAGAAGTAGAAAGTACAGGTATTTGTGTTCAACATGTAAGAAGTAGAAAGTACAGGTATTTGAGTTCAACATGTAAGAAGTAGAAAGTACAGGTATTTGTGTTCAAAATGTAAGAAGTAGAAAGTACAGGTATTTGAGTTCAACATGTAAGAAGTAGAAAGTACAGGTGTTTGTGTTCAACATGTAAGAAGTAGAAAGTGCAGGTATTCAAAATGTAAGAAGTAGAAAGTACAGGTATTTGTGTTCAACATGTAAGAAGTAGAAAGTTCAGGTATTTGTGTTCAACATGTAAGAAGTAGAAAGTACAGGTGTTTGTGTTCAAAATGTAAGAAGTAGAAAGTTCAGGGATTTGTGTTCAACATGTATGAAGTAGAAAGTACAGGTGTTTGTGTTCAAAATGTAAGAAGTAGAAAGTACAGGTATTTGAGTTCAACATGTAAGAAGTAGAAAGTTCAGGTATTTGTGTTCAACATGTAAGAAGTAGAAAGTACAGGTGTTTGTGTTCAAAATGTAAGAAGTAGAAAGTACAGGTATTTGAGTTCAACATGTAAGAAGTAGAAAGTACAGGTATTTGTGTTCAAAATGTAAGAAGTAGAAAGTACAGGTGTTTGTGTTCAACATGTAAGAAGTAGAAAGTGCAGGTATTCAAAATGTAAGAAGTAGAAAGTACAGGTATTTGTGTTAAACATGTAAGAAGTAGAAAGTTCAGGTATTTGTGTTCAACATGTAAGAAGTAGAAAGTACAGGTATTTGAGTTCAACATCTAAGAAGTAGAAAGTACAGGTATTTGTGATCAACATGTAAGAAGTAGAAAGTGCAGGTATTAGTATTCAAAATGTAAGAAGTAGAAAGTACAGGTATTTGTGTTCAACATGTAAGAAGTAGAAAGTACAGGTATTAGTGTTCAACATGTAAGAAGTAGAAAGTTCAGGTATTTGTGTTCAAAATGTAAGAAGCAAAAGTAAAAAGTCGTCAGTAGTGGAGTAAAGTACTGGTACCATAAAAATGTACTTAAGTACAGTAACGAAGTATTTGTACTCCTCTACTTCCCACCTCTGGATTAAAGCCTTACCTCTAACCAACAGCGAGGCGTACGATCTTTTGTCCCCCGCTGCAAACGAGATGGTGCCGGTGTCTTTGCGGGCGAGTTGTCTAAATGTGAGGGTGTGGTATCCTCCGGGCACCATCTGGATCTCGTTGAGGTCGTTGGTGTACAGCAGAGTCTCGTCCAGATACCATTTGACCCCGATGTAGTCACTGGGACAAATTCGACACCTGAACGTGACCGTGTCGCTTTCCAGACACTCAACATCCTCCAATTCATCCAGGATCAACACCTTTTGACCTGAGTGAAACGTGGAAAAGATAGAAGAGTCAGATATCCCATAAACTTAATTTACAGTAGCTGTATTCGGATAGAAGACCAAAAGAAGAAGAACGCATCGATTGTAGGTCACATTTTATAGAGAAAATATTATATTTTCTAAACAAATAGTCAACGACGACTGTTCTGGCTTTGCCAATTATTTGATGCCAATTAGTGACTCCTTCTGGTTACTAACCATACTGCAGAAAGCAGTTCTTTTTAGTTCCCATGTGACAGGAAGTTAGCTCAAGACATTTTAAAATGGCATGTGTGCCTCCAGTGAAGGTGATGTCTGTTTATCCGGTGCCATCCATAGTTCATCGCCTTTGAGAAGGCATTACCTGCACGTTTTTATGTTTCTACATTAAATATCTTTGCTTTGAGTGCATTATTGTGATCATTTATCCAAGCTTACATTTTTGTAGTTGTTGTACTGTATATGCGATATAGCCTAAACATTGCATCTATATACTTTGGTATTGACCTCCTTTCATGCTGTCTTGGAGTATATCTATGTATATGTTATTGTTATGTCATCCGTCTGCATAGAGAGGTGAGGAGGCTCTCAAGTCAAATGCTTTTATTTTTGTCTTTCTTCTGCATAGTCTCAGGAAACTTCCCAGCTGTGGGGAAAGCATTTCTGATTCTGGTGTAGAGAGATTATTTATAAGAGCTGCTTTATTTTGTGGTGAAAGAAATGCTATGGCTTCTTTAGGCTAAAAGTAAGTAAGTAAAGTTTATTTATAAAGCGCTTTTCACTAGGGCTGTGCGATTATGGCAAAAATCATAATCACGATTATTTTGGTCAATAATTGATATCACGATTATTAAAAACGATATATCGATTTACTTTGAAAACATCCATTTATTGGAAAAAAAATTTGAACAGTATGTTTTTAACAGAACTGAACTTTAAGTATAACTGAAAAACCAATTAGAAAAATAATTTAAAAAAATAGATAATTACATTTTTTTTTTTCACAAAAACTATATATATAGTTATATATATGTGCTGTCATTTCTGTATTTTTTCAGTTTCACACTGCTTGTTTAGTAAATCTACTAAACATCACCTCGTGGTCCTGAGATTTGCTGTGAGTTTTTATCTCGCTGGTTAACCGAGAAGGGGATTTCGGCGATGCCAGTATAACAATTCCACTTTTTTGCCTTAAAAACATAAAATTGCTTTAAAATTGTAATGATGCAAAATCCTGATTAATAAGGTGGATACATTGTATTATGTGTGATTCTTCCACATTTCTTAACATAAAGATCTGTCCTGATGCGGCCTTAAGTACCTTTAGCCCAACTATAATTTGACCTAGGTATAATGTATCACCCCTGAACCGTAGAAGTGCAGTGCCCCATGTTCTCACCCTGCACAGTCAGCTGTGCTCGGCTCTGCATGGTACCGACGTCACACGTGTAAATATCCATGTCCGACTTCTCCAGACAGGTGATGGTCAGAGACAGTAATACGCCTTTCTGCCTGATGACGTACTTCCTGCCGGACCTCAGCTCCACCATGCCCTTCAGCCAGGTCACCCGCTTGGCCGGCTGCCTGGTCTCACAGTCCAGAGTCACTTTTCCCTTTTCCTCGGCTCGTGTTTCCCTCAACTCCCTCGCAAATGTGTGCTGGAGTTCTGAAAGGGATAATGTTTAGCTTCACATTTATGCTGCAATCCGGAAAACTTTTTCCATTTGAAATGACCAAACTTTCAAGGAATCCAGATGAACAACCATCAATTTAAAAGGTAATCAGAAGTACATTTGCATTTATTTAATTAAATATAACATACTTAATGTACTGTTCTGCGTGTAAATAGATGTCAAAATGTGTTGACAATGTTATAGTGTAGCAGACTTTAGAGTAGACAATCTCTGTAAGCAAACTTCTCTGCACTTAAGTAATTAAAATGTTTAAGATTGCTAAAAGAACATTTGGAGACTTCACTTGAGAGAACAGCTTTGTGTACACAGGCCAAAGAAATATATGTTTGTCACAGACAGTCATAGGTTTTACTTATTTTTTCTTGACAATGTCCAACTTCAATGTAAGAAGTTGAACATTGTCAAATTCCAAGTTGTCTTAAACACAGAGTTCATTCTCCAGTCGACCATCCACATGGCAAATAGTACATAACACTTAAAGGTGGGGTAGGTAAGTTTCAGAAACCAGCTCGAGATACACTTTTTGTTATATTCCATGGAATGCTCTTAACATCCCGATAGCAATGAATATCTTAAGTGCTTTGACAAAAAATCCATAAAAAAATGTCATCTGTGGAAGCCGTAATACTGTAAAAAGTACAACCAATCCGTTTAGCCGGCTAAACGGATTGGTTGGCCTACCTGCCTGTCAGCCTTCCATCGGGGCACAAACTTATCTCGTGCCCTCATTGGTCATGTGCGCGTTCGTGTGTGTTGGAGGAGGGGCTCTATAAGGAAGTGGCAGATTTTCTCCGGTTGTGTATTTTCAAATTCTAGCGATCTCGAGCCGGTTTCTCAAACTTACCTACCCCACCTTTAAGAGCAGCATTGCAAAACAATTGATGAAGAACACTAAATAGTATTGTTAATTAAGCTCACCTCACATTTGTTTTGAAAGCCCACACCTACCTCTGATGTCCAGCTTGGCCCGTGTGGCAATGCCGTCGGCCTCGCAGCAGTACTCTCCAGAGTCGTTGATGGTGGTGTTCTTGATCACCAATCGTGCCAAGTTCTTCTCTACACTCATCTCATACTTGGGACTCGGTCGGATGAAATGGCCATTTTTCAGCCAACGGATGGTGGCTTCTGGTTTGGTGATCTCACAGCTCAGCTCTGCGTCCTCGCCCGGTACCGCTTTGACGTTCAACAGGTCCCTGAAGATGTGCACTGGCTTCTCTAAAGGAAGGAAATGCACACTCATGTGTATACCTACATTTACCAATGCATGTTCTATTTATTTGTGTGGTATGAAGCAGGATGTGTTTCAACTCAAACTTCTCAGAAAGCAAAGATGCATGTTGTGGTGTGCCACAGGGAAGGTGCCTGGGCCCACTTCTATTTTCATTTACTTGGGAAAATGTTTGATAATTTGCTGTTACCAAAGGTAATCTGTTATTTCCTTATCCAAAACTCAGTCAGTAACAGGGCATCGAGAACAGGGAACTCCTACAAACCTACACAAACTTAACACATTTGAAGTAAATATCTATTTAAAATAATCTAAAACTAATGTGACACAGGTATTTACCTTTAACGAAGAGCATGGTCCTACAGCTTAGATCCTTAATTGTGAAGACCACGTCGCCAGCATCCGTTAGCATAGCATCTCTTATGGTCATCTTATAGTTACGACCATTGTTGATAACCTGTAGTCGGCTGTCGGTTACCACCTGGCCATTAATGGTCCAGAAAGGTTCTTCATCGACGTTATGAGAGAGGTTGCATTCAAAGGTGCAGATTTCGCCTTCCAGAACAGATGTTGTCTTCATGCGTTGAACAATAGTGATGTGTAAGTCTGTAGGGAGATATAATAACAAAGAAGAGAGTAGCAATACACAACGGGGATACATTTACTGTAACATAACTGTCAGTTCTAAACAACGTTTTTTTGAGGCTCAAAATTAAAACATTTCCCCCATTTCTTCTATCATTTTATTAACCCTACCTATGAAAAGGACTGCACAATATTTTACATATACAGTAATTGTGAACCAGTAAGTATAGAAAACAACTTTATCCACAATGGGTGGAGATTGGTTTGAATGGTTGTTCCAAAAACACTAAACTTTTACACATGAGCGACGAACATGGAAGTCCATTTTGAGTTTCTTTCACATTTACTTTTCTTATATTCAGATAATGTTTGCATGTGTTGACTGGAAACACGAGAACTTTTCGTAAGTTTTCCTACGAATAGTTGTTTGACAATAAATTGATTATTTGGCAGCTCGGTTGTCAACAGGTCTAATGCCTTCCTACTCACCATGCACAGTAACTTTGGCCTTGGTCTGGCTGGTTCCCAGATCACAGGTGTAATGTCCAGCGTCCTCCTTGCTCAGGGAGTGGATGATCATTGCCATGGATTTCCCAAACTGAAGTAACTCGTGTTTATCATCAGCGGTCAGGACTGTACCATCTTTCCTCCACACAGGGGTCACCGTATCTTTGGAAATTTCGCACTGCAGACAGACCTCCCCTTGCTCTTCTCCTACTACATCCTCCAGAGACCTCAGGAACACGGCTGGGCGCTCTGCAGCCAAAGACACCGTTAATAAGCGTGCATGTTTCTCAGAAATTTGAGGTCCAGAAAAACGTTTATTTGCATGCATCCACAATTCTGGACATATGTCTTCCAATTGTCTGATATGTGGCTAAAGAATCATATCCCTATAGCAATATCAGTCAAAATAATTGCAATTAATTTCTTTTCCCAATCATGCAGGCCTAGTTTTTGCCTTTTTTGCGGCACATTTGTTGTGTATGTTATTCTATGTATCGAGGAACAGGTGTTAGAAGACATCATCCCCCCAGCTATTGACCAAACTGACCTTTGACATTTAAGGTGGTAGTCTCCGAGAGGAGGCCTGTTTTGAAGGTGACCCTGCTCTCCTGTGGCCGCAGCTTCTTGAAAGTGAGGCTGTGCATGGTGCCCATGTGCTGGATCCTGTTGATGGCGTTGCAGTAGAGGCGAACGTTGTTTAGGAGCCACTCCACGTTAGCAACCACGTAGTTCAGCTCACAGGAGAACGTGGCGTTGCCCTCCTCCTCGATTTCCACCGGCTCGAGGTGTTTTACCAGCTTCAGCATACGCACTGCAATTAAAATGTGGAACAAATCAACAACTCGTGTAAATAGGTAGTGTAATAAAAACACGGGAAAGTAATGACTATCCTAAACAGGAAGTGTGGGTGTACATTTTCGGTATCTTATTTGATTCAAAACTAATTAGATCCAGATGCTTATTTCTGCATTCTGATGTATCTCTTGTAACATAAATATTGGAAGTCGTGATTCAGAACAAAATACATCTTGATTATAACGTGATTTCTTTACCCACCCCTTACAGAAAGTTCACTACACCTTAACCCCATGGTCAAACCTAAATGGTTGAACCCTATTCAAACATTTTATTACTTCAGTTCTTTTTTCCCCGTTTTTTTAAAAGGGGTTATTTATTGCATTAATTAGAAATTACAATTGTTTTTTTCCCCAGAGATGACAGTGTTATAGCAGAATGTTTAATACAGCGTATTTCTGATATTCATTAAAGATCACTTGGTATTCCATATGATGTGTGTTACTGAGTTGGGTCACACACAGTTAGAGAGACAATGGTCGTTCTGAATTATCAATAGATGTATTCATTTTAAGTGAGCTGACACCGAGGTTAGAGGAAGTTCAGAGAAGGCCTCAGGTTATAAAAACAGTTAACCTTTGTTAGTTAACTATCTATGTCATGAGATGATGACGTTTAAACATATACAAGTATAGCTTTCAGAGAGAAAAACATGTGACCTTTGTGTGGTAGGCTGCATGATAAAATGTGTGTGCGTTAAACATGCTTAGGGAAAATGTGTGTGTGTTCATTGCAGTGGCTATATATGCTATATGATTGTTACTGTTGGGGGGCATTTCCGCGATCGGCTGCTGTGGCAGCAGGTGATGTACTTCCCATTATTGTTTGTTTGTTCCAACAACTAAATAATAATTATTGATCAGCTATGTTTGTGTTTTATTGATTCCTCTCTGTTTCATTCTTTCCTGTTGTGTTATGCTGGATCGCCACAACAACAGCATATACGATTATGTTTCATTTATCAAACATTGTTTTTTATCTTAAATAAATAATGTAATTTTCTCAAGAAATTGTGTTATCTTGAGAACGCAAAAAAATGATCTTGGGAACATCTGTTATTTCAAGAAACGGACATAAATACTTTGGGATGTAAAGCAAACTTACTTGTTATCATGCTAACCAAATGTAATTAAATGATTCAACAACGGCCATTGAGGGCTTCTGTATACCTCACCTTTCCCCAAAATACATTCAACCCACCTTCCACTTTAAGATGCGCTGTGCTCTGTGAGCCCCCGGCCATGCAGCGGTACTGTCCTGCATCTATCCCTGTTAAACCATGGATGGTCAGGTGCGCTCGTTTCCCTTCCCTCTTCATGCTGTACTTGTTGGAGGTCTTCAGAGCCGTGCGGCCTTTAAACCAGCGCACCACCCGGGGAGACGGAGCAAACGCACAGCTCAGAGTCACAGAGCTCTTCTCCTTCGCCTCCACATCCTCCAGGGGGTGGGCAACCTCAAGAGGACGCTCTACAGGGGAACGATGAAATACTGCTTAATAAGACATTCTTCAAAAATCCCAAGTTCATTGACAAAGATAAAGGAATGAAGCAGAAGAAAAATTATAACACAAAAGAGAGAAAATAAGGGCAAAAAATACAACAACCTGACAGTATAGAAAAACATTAAGGAGTAAAAAAGGAGAGAAAACATTTGTAAGCAGACTAACAGAAAAAAATTCTCCAACATAGAAAATAGACACATGAGAAATTTAAAAAAAAAATGTATTCAAGATATTCTAAGACAACTAAAATGTCAAAATTAACTTCCATGAAGCGAAAAACAAAACTGAAAAACGGACAACAATAAAAGTTTATTTTACTTTACGTCGGACCAAAATGACCATCATGCTATTGAAGAAAACGTAAGTGATTAAGACAAAAAAGTATTTTCAGTATTATTGTTTACTCAGGTAACAGATCTATTGAGAAGTAAGTTCATTTTCTCATAGACTAGAATCTCACTTTAATTGGCAACCAGTGGAGTTGCCCCCTCACGGATATTAGAGAAAATGCAGGTATAAGGTACTTGAGTATGTGGTTTCCACTATTCCACTGAATATAGAAACCATTAACAATATTGTTTCTCTATACAGTGATTTCATTTGCTTTATCAACGGCCTCTCTTTGAACCACTCACCTTTGACTGTAAGCTGCGCTGTGGAGCGACTCTTTCCGGCTACAAAGAGCACGGGGCCCGACATGGAGCTCTGTGTGGAGGTGAGGCAGAGGCTGTGCACGGTGCCCTGCCTGTCGATGTTCACTGCTGAACACGCCTCCAGCACCTCCCCGTTCAGGGTCCATCGGGGGGGCCTCCCTGACTTCAGGCTGGTCTCCACCTGGAACAGCGCGGGCTCCGGCTCCATCACCTCCACGGAGCTCATCCCCCGCACTATGCTGATCGCCTGCTCTGCAGGTACAGCCGTTATACACATGAACACTGACACTACTCCAGACTTACAACATTACGGAAAAGCGTCATGAAAAACACTCATGGTTTGGCAGTAGGCCTATATGTGTTGCACATGAATGAAAAACATACTGTAGGCAATAAACTTAAAGGTCACCTATTGTGCAAAATCCAGTATAATAGGGGACCTTTAAGAGAGGATTTTTGAGAATCAAATATATGTTTTGTAAAGGTCCATACATTTTGCATGATCCGTATCTAAGAGCTGTATCTAATAGACATCACAATACAAATTATATATGATAATCAATCATTTCTGAATGGCTGTTGACATCGGGCTCACCCTCCACCAGCAGCTGACAGGAGGTGTTGTCGTCTCCTGCATCACAGGTGTAGGTGTCTTCGTCTGAAGAGCAGACGTCGTCGATGGTTAGCTGCCTGTAGACATCCTGGCTGATCAGTTGGTACTTCCTGCTGGGAACGAGCTCCTTACTGTTCTTGTACCACCGGACCTGAGCATTGGGCCGGGACACCTGGCACTCCAGCAGACCCCGGTGTCGATACATGGCTATCTTCACCCTCAGAGGACGCACTATCACGACTGGGAGCTCTGGAGAAGGAAGGAACAAGTTAAAAACCCCAAATATTTTACTACTTAAGTCCAGGTTTAATTGTGTCATTTGGCTCACCTTTGACTGTGAGAGTCGCATAGGATGAGACTCGCTCGGCAGTGAATTTGATCTCTCCAGCATGCTCTGGTCGGACTGACTTGAAGAACAGGGTGTGAGTTTTACCTGCAATCACATCAAAGAAAAAAAAGTCTCACTTAGAGCTCCAACATGGGGATTACGTGTTTCTTTGTAAATAAGAGTCTGAAAAAATACCGGCCTGATTTTCATGACATTTCCTAGAAGATTGTAATATGGGACAATGGAGAACCTAATTAATTTAATTAATTTATCTTTTGTTAACATTGTGAGATCAGGCATGTGTGCTGCAATTATTTGGTGCCCAAATAATGGGGGAAATGGGTTCAGGTGAAATGGGAGAATTCGCATTAACGCACCTTGAATTCAAACAAACAACTCCTAAAGTCGGCAAAAAATGTGTACGCATTTCCTGGATCACCTGACCCGCTACCTTTTTTCTTAGTTGGTTTGCCAATATCCTATAACACATCTTATTTGTAGCGTCTAACCCATGTTGTTACATAATGACTTAAAGCTCAAGAAAAAACCGAAGCCCGAAGAGCGACTTCCCAACTCTTGAAATGTGGCCATCCCAAGACCAAATGATCGGCCGTGATCTGTACGTTTTATATTTCAGTTTTTACTGTAACGCACAAAGTATTTATACTCTTTAGGCCTATATTTCAGCGGTTGGTGTCTCACCGTGGTGATTGGTCTTAACGTTGTCCCCAGGTCGGATTCGGCAGTCGTCTCTGTACCACCGACCATCCAAATCCTCCTGGTTGACCTCACACAGGAAGTTCACAGGTTGACGCTCCATCGTGTCAACATCCTCCAGCTCCTTCACTATGTGGATGTCCCGAGCTGGCAGGAGAAAAAAAAACTGTGACTGACGTTAAAGTAACCAAACGTTATCATCCTGTCTGATCTCTCTTAGTCATCACATTATCACTTTTTGAAAATACTTTGACCAGTGTTTGGAAGTTGTCCATGGTGATTAAAAGTAAAAAAGTGTAAAAACAAAAGAAAATATCACATCGTTTTTGAGCGGATACCATATTTAGAGTTACAGCAGATTGAAGATTCTTAAACCAATGCTTTGGACCAATTGAAGCCCCTTCATATGGATGTTTAGGTCTTGTCAGGTTCTGGCTATGACTTGGACTTGACTCAGACATTTTCATTTTCCTTGTGATAAGACCAAAACAATGAAAGTAGCTCGGTCTATTGAACCTCCTCACCTGTGACACTGAGTCTGCCTGCAGTCTGAACGCCGTTGGCCTCAAAAGAGAAAAAGCCTGCGTCTCCTAAAGCCACGCGGCTCAGCACCAGCGAGTGTTTCTTCCCATGTGTGCTGATGCGCCAGTTGGGTTTGGACTTTAGCTGCATGTCATCTCTGGACCACACGCCCTCGATGAAGGCCAGGTTCAGGGTCACTTCGAAGGAGCAGCTCTCACACTCAGACACCTCCACATCCTCCAGGCCCTTCACCACCTGCAGACGGTTCTCTGGCACACACACAGGGTTAAAGATCGAAAAGGTAGTTCTCTACTGCACTGAAATGTACCACATAGTGTGAGAAAACTTACTTGCAGCAGCTACTATTCCTCCAGGTATTGTATCTCCCATGTCTCCAGGCATTCTCTTAGTGTGATTGGGAATCTTGTTTGCTTTTAACCAAAGTTATTATAACTATAAAATGAAGAAAACATATCAATAAATAACACTGACCCAGAAGAAAACTAAGCAAGGTATCAATTAAAGGATCTTTGGTTGTGCCACACGGCCTATTTCAAGTTACTCTATTTAGAAAATAGTTTTGCACATTATCCTTTGCAATTGTTTTTAACATTTAACATGCGTAACAACTAGAGTAGTGCAGGGATTAAGTATTTTTGTAGGCAGACCAGGAAGTTAATATCTCCCCGTTTTCCTTGATAAAAAGGCAAAAGCTAATAGAGGAACTACCTCACGGTCACTTGACTTCATGTCAACACCGGCAAGCTAAAGGCAGCTAATGTTAGGCGTGATGAGGTTTAGTATTTGCATTTAGCCATTTAGAAACCGCAGTTTTTATGACACGACTGGACATAAACCAGTGGGGGATTTACTGACTTATTTCATGTCATGGAACACAACATGAAAATCTCTTCAGCCTGTGTAACCACAGATCTTTTTTCAGGCATCTAACTAAAAAACATATTCAAAAACCTCATTGACTTTGAGACAGAGAGAACAGGAAGTGCTTAAATGTTGAGTAATTTCCAAGTTTAAGAACTAATTCCTGCACCACGGTTTTCCTCCCAAGCTAAGGATGTTGTAGCCTTCCAAAATGGCAACACTGACTGATCAAAATGGAAAGACATGGCTTGACTGTGATGTGGTTGAACCCTGCGATGGCATGCCAGCGCTCCCCAGTATAACAGCAGAGTAATCTCTGTCACCTCACTCGGCTGAGCTCAGCACCACCAATATAGACTCAGCTGTGATGCCACCTCCATCAGGCTGCATGCACTGAACTGAGGAGAAGGGGACGCGTATAAAAACAAATGAGAACTTCCAATCACACAACTGATTAATATTATATGAGATCCTCGCAAACTGGCTCCTCCCACTATCATTACGAGGTTTTCTCTAAGAGGACATTCCTTCTCATCATAATGGCTGCAATTACATAATGCGTCGCACAACGACACTTAATCTGCCAATCATTATCTACGTTTTCTAGAGGCCAAATCAGTTTTATCTGTTGAGATCTTTTCCAAGCATGTCATATGGAAAAATACCACGTTTAGGGTTAGGATTAGGATTACAACTTTAATTTATTTTCCACTGACATAACATGTGATGGAAATTATCTTTTGATCCTAAGAATTCAAACAAACAGAAAAACTACCAGAATATTCCAAGAATATGCCAGATCCTCTGCAGCGATGCACCCACCTTCAACTTTGAGTTTCTAGAAAGAATAAATCCTTGCATGTCCTCTTGTTGCACAAAAACAAAACTCCCTCACCAGAAAAATAGGATAAAAACATCCAACATGGCAACAGACGTGTCCGAGGCTCGTCTTGTGTCTCACAAAGCCTTTAAGATTAACAACAAACGTTTAGCCAGAGGAGAGCGTGCCCAGGTTGGAGAGTCCCAGAGGCAGACAGCATAAAGCGCTTTCTCTTTTTTCTTGTGGTGATGGAGCGAAGTGCTGAACAGCTGACATATCTCTCCCCACATACTAACCTCCAAAATAGCCCTCCGTCAGTGTAAGGGCAAAGATAGCTCTCTGGTTATAATGGTGTGAGGCAACTCATGTCCAGCATCAATGGAACTATCGTTAAACAATCAAAATGTATACAATAGGCTTAGTGAGTGTTGGATGGTTTTCTACACAGAATTGATGAGTGACAAACAAGTTGTAAGTCAGTGGTTCCCAATCTTTTTCATAAAGAGACCTTTTTCCTGCCATTAAGGGACATCTTTTTGGGATATGTTATATTATTGTAAATGCATAACTAAAACATTGCAGAGCAACTTATTAAATGTACAGTAAACCCAATGCTATGCTATCAGGGGTACATTTTCAAGTTATTTTTTATGAACATTTAATACAATATTGTAGGCTCTGTGAATAAAGCCTTTTGGGTTAAGGTGTTTTTAAAAATCCTGTGAATTTATATATATATATTTTAAATGTTTAAAGATAGCCAAACATTCTTTTTAAGATTTCTTCACATTTACTTTTTATATTTTATTATTATTTATTACATTTATTATTTTTATTATTTTTTATATTATTTATTTTTATTTTTAGTCTTTTTTCTTTAACCTCTAAAAATCAAAAAGTCCTTGGGAGCCAAATTTGGGAACTAGTCTAGATAATGTGTAAAGTGTTAGTGTGTGATTAGGGTCTCACATATCCTCTTTTAAATACACCTAATTGGCATTCCCTTGTGAGGTCATTTACTGGCCCAGCAGCCATGCAGATATTAATTAATCTAGCGCCTCCAACTTGAAAATATTTTAGGGTGACTGGGTTTTATTTAGCTTAAAATAAACAAGATTTAACATTGTGGGGTTTCCCCTCTCATCCAGACATCATTGTGTCCGCCTCAGTTTGACGGACAGTTCCATGTGCCCTCCTTAATCCAGTGAAACTCGACAGGATAATCCCTCGGGCCCAAAAAACAACTTGTCGTCACTGAGAGAGGACGAAGGCCTGCAGAAGCAAAGCAGTCTCCTTTTACAATTCTTCAGCAGGACACTCGTTACCGAGCTTTTAACAAGCTTCTTGGAGCCACGGAAGGAAATATTAAAAGGCCTTTATTGGGGAGGCCTCACCTTTCTTATTAGCCCTGACCTGCGTTAGTCAGAACATGTTGGCCTTCAATCATTCAGACACCGCCATAAAGGTGTTTTACTATTTCCTTTCTCCTGGATACTTTAGTTGTAGAGCGGCTTCTTGTTCATCCTGTTTTTCCAAGAGCACCAACAGGTCTTTCATCCAGGGTTGAGTTTACAGAGCAACAAGTTATCTTTATTTTTGTTTTATTTGAAACGTATCTAGTAAATGTAACTTATAGATTTGTGCATATGCATTACAAACAGAACATGCATTGCTTTAAAAAGCCTTTTTTGATATGTTTTTTTTTTTGTGAGTGACACATGACAGTATTTTTAATCGTTTATTTGAACCGGGACAATGAACATTAATGAACATTTTAAACAAAATAATGCTTTGAAATGTAAATGAGCCGGATTTTAGCTTTGAGCTAATTTCCATCCGTAGTCCCGTCACATACAACATTTATGAACATAACATTTTAGGCAAACAGAAATACATGATATGCAGAAAGAGCATGATCAGCATACAAGCATTTACCACAAGGTTGTACAATGTAGCAGCTACGACATATTAAGTGCAGGAGGAGATACAAGTGCTACCTAAAGTGCAAGAGGAGATACCCCTGTGTTAGAGTGCATTTAGCGGTGATTGCACGTCTGTTGGTTTCTCAACCATTCTTTGAGTTGATCTTTAAAACTATTGACAGTGGGACAATCCCGTATCTCAATTGAAGAAAATGTTACTCTTGGTCCCAACCTATATAGAGTAAAATGTACTCTTTGTTCAGAGTTGTATTTTTAGAGTTCATTTTACTCTTTTATGTGCTTAGATTTGACTCTGCTTAATGGTTATTTACTCTATGTAGTGTATATTAAAAACAACTCTACTGCCATTTTACTCCAACTAGAAGGTAATTTTACTCCAACTAGAAGGTAATTTTACTCCAACTAGAAGGTAATTTTACTCCAACTTGAAGGTAATTTTACTCCAACTAGAAGGTAATTTTACTCCAACTAAGGTAATTTTACTCCAACTAGAAGGTAATTTTACTCCAACTAGAAGGTAATTTTACTCCAAATAGAAGGTAATTTTACTCCAAATAGAAGGTAATTTTACTCCAACTAGAAGGTAATTTTACTCCAACTAGAAGGTAATTTTACTCCAACTAGAAGGTAATTTTACTCCAAATAGAAGTTAATTTTACTCCAACTAGAAGGTAGTTTTACTCCAAATAGAAGGTAATTTTACTCCAACTAGAAGGTAATTTTACTCCAACTAGAAGGTAATTTTACTCAGAATAGAATAAATTAACCATAATGATCTTTATAATAAAAAAGGTCAATAAACCAAAGTGCTTAAGTTACACGAGTGGGCGTGTGTGAAGCTGACCATTGAGCGGCCTGACCAAGCAAGGAGGCAGAGGCAGAGAGTTAAAATACAACCCGGTGTGGGCATTTATTCATCGCTGTGGTTCATGATACACAGCCTCAATATGACTGTCTCACGTGAACACAGTCACCAGCAACAAGGACCTCACACACACTAACAGGAAACCAGAACCTAAATACACACAGGACTAATCAAACCAACAGGACACAGGTGAGGAGGGAGGAGAAAACACAGGGGCACCAGGTGAACACAATCACCAGCAACAGACAAGACAAGGGGGAACACTTTTCAAATTACAACAGGAAACAGAGACAGACAAACTAAAACATAGACAGATCGTGACAAATAGATGCATAAATGACAGATTCACATGCTTCCTGTGCAATGTTTTAGCGTGGAACAAAGTAATATACTTCGCCAATAACGAAGCTATATATAATATAAGAGACCGAGATCTACGGCCCCAGAGATCACCTCCGTTACAGCGTGGTCATGGTTTGACTCCAATAGAATTGACTCTGCTTTTTTGATCGCACTCGAGAAGCTATGAGTAATAAATACACTCCAAAATGATTAAATATCACTATTTCAGAGCAAAATAGTAATTACTCTAGAAAAAATACTCACCAATATTTCCTGTGTAGGATTATGGGAACCAGTGCAATGCTATCTTCTGGGTCAGCTTACAAAATATGTCATCCCGCATGCACCACTCTATGTCTTTGGCATTAATTAGTCAATTTGGACCAAAACAAACACTGCAACAGGTTATTCACAAAACCATATCTACACAGAGTACCTGATTGGGTGACATAAGGATTAACTTGACAGAAATAAACAAACAAAATATCTTACATTTGTGAAGATTTCATTCCCAAATGTTGCTTGATGTTGAGGCAACCCCTTTGTAATTGCACTCCAATGCCTTTCATGCAAATCCAACTGTTACGTTCAAAATAGGAAAATGGTCGAAGGCACTACAACTTTAATTAAATGGCTATTTCTAATAAAAACGACTAACACAAACTGTCTTCATCAGGGCTGTTTTAACATTTCTAAGCAGTATGTTTTTTAAATCTGATTAAATGCTTTTTAACTGTTTGCAAGAAGAGAGATATGGACCTTTTCTGTTCCTCACCATGTCTGAACTTCTGAGCACCTCAGACCTTTTTTCTTTTTGAGGACGTCATGTCTTTTGAACTCCAACAGATGTAAGAGAAGGCCTAAAATCATCTCCCTCCAAAAAGTGAAGACGTCCAACAGATCAAGCTTATCTGGAGAAATGTGGGCCTCCTTGTGTGCAGCATCCTATTGATGGTGCACACGGTCTAAAAATAGAGTATGTTAAAGGAACCAAGGCAATGTGAGGATGTGTGGAGTGAATTTAGAAGTCGACAAAACAGCTGAACAGTCCACCTAAGCCTCTGGATCCCTGTTTGGAACGACCCCAACCTCCTCCTGTGTGTCACATTTCCTCCGGTCCAGACTCTACACCTGACATATAGAAGAATATGTATCTGTTAAACACATACTGTATATTTATTCATCTGAATATGAGCCACAGATGTTGTGTGTAACAGCATGCTGTTAGTTATGAGTTATTTCTGTATACATAAACATCAGAATAACATTACATGACCTTGAGTCAAGAAAATAAAGTGGACAGTCTTGGTATGTCTAATTACAGCATGTCCTTGTGTTTAATATCCCATCCTTTCTAAACAAGTGGCCTCACAGTGTCATCTAGTGAGCCTCAGAGGTACTAACAAGTGGTTAAATACTTTAAAGGGGCCCTACTCTGCTCATTTTCAGGTTCATATAAGTATTTAGTGCCTCTAGTCTACTGTGACATGTCTCCATGCTTTAATGTTCAAAAAGCTCTTTATTTTTCTCATACTGCCTGTGCTGCAGCACCTCTTTTCACCATCTGTATGAAACCAGAGCCCAGTCTGCTCTGATTGGTTAGCTGGCCGGCTCTGTTGTGATTGGTCAACAGCTTAGAGATGTCCCGCACCTCAACACGTATAATGTGTTGGAGCGTTAGCCAATAGAAGCATGAGTGTGACATAGTGATGTCACTGTGTTATGGAAGTAAACAAAGGAGTCCAATGGAGGTGTTTCAGACGGGTAGGGGACTGTGTCGGAGAGAAACTCTCTCCGAAGGGAACACAGGGATGTTAGCCTTTATACATGCACAAACACAGACTAAGGAAATGGAAAAGTGCTTGAAGCTTGAACAGGTCGATATTTCCACATTATTAATGAGGTAAAAATGTTAGCATTGACTAAACACATAATCAAATGTGGAAGAACAATTGCAAGGTTTTACCATGGAAACATGGAAATGGAACATGATGCTGAGATAATGTTATCCATTCGAGCAGACTAAGGAAAACTCTTAGTAAGACGGTCACAAGACAGGAGTTAGCACCCGTTAATAATCAAGTGTTTCAGATATTTTCATAATACAAACCATTGTTCGAGGTTTTTGCCTCTTTTGTTCCATCTCAGTGGATGACAGGAAAGGAGGGACAATGGACACACTTTGAGGAATGGACTGTTAGATATTTGCGTGATATTGTCCTACTTTTCCTTCTTGAGTTATGTCAACAAAAAAAAGTTTTGTGAGGTCTCGCGTATACCTTGACCTTTGCCAAACAAAATCTCCTTCTGTCCAAGAGGATATTTGTGTCAAATTCCCTTTTCAAAAAGATATCTTGCTGAACAAAAGAGTTTGAAAAGGTGTGTGTGGGTGTGTGTTAAATTATTCACGTGTAAGCAGCTGTCTCATCTTCCAACAAAAAGTAATCTCCTGAAAAGCAACAAGTGGAGGAATTATTTATGATCAAAGTGTTACTGACACTGAGCAGTCAGACAGAAACCTGCTGCTGCTTTTAAACTGAACACACGCACACAAACTGTCCTGCCTCACCTGCTGCTTCAGTCTGGTCTCCCCAGAATTACATTAACACAAATAAACATGACTAAACAGTGACATTTACTATTTAAAGGGAAACATAATTTCTCCCAGTTTATGTTTGTTTTGATGATGTTTCACAATACACTTCTAATCCGGTCCGCATAGGGAACGGTGAAGTGGATGGATGGATAAAAAACGTAGGAGTTTAAACCAGGAAATGTTTCCCATATTAGGCTTAATACATTTCATATAATATAATATAATGCTATTTTTCAACATCAATGTTGTTGCCAATTATTGACATATCAAACAAATGCAATGTGTCTTTTAGGACCAACAATAAATACATTTCCTGGGTAATAAAGTTCAGTTTTTTATAAACAGGTTTATTTAATTGGTTAAGATTGTGAAAATGAAAGAATAATTCGTAATTGTGGTCAGGACTGACTGGCGACAATAGTGAATTCAGTAAAGGTTGAAAATAATATCAATAGTGAATATTTTTGGTCAACTAAGGACATTTTATCAGCCTTTTTAGAATAAGATAAAGGGTTAAATGAAGTTTGATTTACAATTTACAGTGATAAAAAGAAGATTGACCTGGTATTTTCACATGGGACCCTTTATGTTTTCCTCGGGACAACGCCCACTTCGCCAGAATTAAAACCCTGTCCGTTTTTCCACCACGGAGACGCACATTTTTCCTCATAGACAATCAGATCGCTGGAATCTGTCTTTGTTGCTGCTCTTGCGTCCAACCAGCCAATCAGAGTTAGTATCCTGTTCGAAACGCCCACAAATATCGCTCACTGTCCAATCAGGGAGCTCCTTCACCCGAACGCCATTTTGTGGGTTTATAACAGCGATGGTCGGGTCTCCTGTTGGCGGCTGGTTGCTGGAACCTGTTGCTCCGCAGTTCCGTGTTGTGCAATGGACGGGTGAGTTCTCCAAGCGTCTTTACGTACACACTCAGATAAAATGTACTTTCTGCCTGTTTTATTCACACCTGAGAGCCATAAGAAAAACATGTCGTCCACTAACGGTTGTCCAGAGAGCCGTTGGTGTTGTTGTTGTTCGCTTAACTGTCGATAAAGTTGTGTTTAAAGTGGTAAATAAGCAGGAGTTAGCATTAGCGTTAGCATCGGGACGGCCCATTCTCAAAACCCTCAATTTCACCAAAAAAGGTGCTTTCGTTTACATGCAAACACACATTTATTTAGCACATAGCGTTATTCTTAGGATCCGATTTTGTTGAATAGGTTGTGGGAAGAATCACTAAGTTACAGTAACGTTACAGATTCACGATGTTCTCACGCCCACTGAGTGTTTTCACGATGCTGCCTCACCTAGAAAAGTGTAGATTCAGTGAACAATAATGTAATTGCATGTGTTAAAAGTGTGCCGAATTGAAGAGTACTCCCCGTTGATTCGTTTAAGGTGAACATATTATGTTTTTATAGGTTTGTTGTTGTGAGGATTAAGAATGCAAGTTAAAAATGACCATGTTTCAAACGGAGTTCAGTTGTATTTGCACTGTAACGAACGGAAGTAACCGGAACTCGGTGTAATTTAGACTGTAGGCCATTATAGTCTAACAGGGGTTTTGTTGCCAAGCAAATCCCTTTTTTAATGAAGATTTTATTAAAAACTTCACATGTTGCATGTGTGTCGACTTGAATGTTTCCAGTTGATTAGTTTGAGAGGTAAAGAGTCATATCCTGGCAGGTTTGTGGATTTAATGTTTTGAAAGATGGCTTTACAATGATAGTATTGTCATTCAGTTTTATTTGCTCAAAAGGGAAGGGGAGTATTATATATATATATATATATATATATATATAGAGTCTATGGGTGTAACAACGGTGTGTTTTTAGGCCTCAATTGAAGCTATTATTTGTGCTTTTTAAAGAAATAAAGTAGCTTCAATGGTTGCATGTTTGCCTCATTAGAAAGAGATCTTAGTTTGACATGGACGAGAATTTTCTTTATCGGTTTTAAGGATTAACAGGAGAACTTTAAATCAACAGTATTTTACAAGTAGTAACCGTTGCTAAGATGTTAAACGGTGCAATTATGATGAAATGCCTTCTGTCAAGCTTCATACTGCTTACATTGAGTTGTAAATCTTATTTTAAATGATTGTATTTCCACCTGGTGACACTGCAGGTCTCCTAAGACAGAACGGGTCTCAACTCTATTGAGTTGTTGGCAAAGGGAGGAAACATGAGAACAATCCTGTTTGTCCTGCATGTGTTTGTTTTCCATTGACTACAATAGTATTGATCTATTTGTTATTGACCTGAAGGAGTCAGTTGGCCACACATCTGAAGACAATGGTGTGGTGTCAACTGTTCTTTTGAGCTGTTAATATAATAACGGTCCTTTTTAGCTGCAGATTGTGAGACGTTTGAGTTCCTGTTGTGAATATGTGTGCCTTGCCAGGGCTTATTCGTGCCCTGGGGGTCCTCTTCCAGCTGCTTTACAGTCTGTACAGCCCGACCAGCCGGTTTTTCATTATCTAACGGCCCGTCTACACTACAGGCGTCAAAAAATGCTTTCAACGCTTCGCCCATTCATTTGAATGGGGTGACATAGGATATTTTCAAACTTCGCCGAACTGCATTGTGGGTAGCATGGCAAGGCGTTGCAAGCATCGCGAGCGTCTATCGGCGTCAAAAGTTGAACAATGTTCAACTTTTGAGGCTCGAAGCTGGCGTCAGCCAATCAAATCCCGTTCATGCAAATCTGCCAGTACAAGCACTAGCCAATCAAACCGCTGCTGGGAGAGACTACGCAGGTCATTTCCTCATATTCAAAAAAATGGAGGGAAAATTGATTATAGCGGTAGTGAATCACCCGGTGCTGTATGATCAGTCTCTGTTCATCTACCGGGATACAAACCGGAGGAACCAGGCATGGAGGGAGGTGGCAGAGACAGTGGGTGAAACTGGTAGGTTTTCGCCTGTTTGGGGATTTTATATCCAGTTTACTTCGTTTTAACATTGCTATTGCTTTGTATGTCGGGGGCGGGAGATTCATGTGATTGGTTGTTGGTCTCGTTGCTCGCAAAAAATCGCCAAGCCTCAGACACGCCCAGCTTCAAGATTTTTTGATGCCTGTAGTGTAGACGGGCCGTAACTGTCGAAGACATTTGACCAACTCTGTGCTTCAAGTATTCATGTCACAATGGTACATGTATATGTCATAAATACGTGTACTTCAGAGTATTTCTGTTATGTGAGAAAATGGTAGTGTCTTTTGTTCTTGGGATTGTAGTTCCTAACGTGTCCTTATTCTATTTATTCATATTGTTATTGTGAATTTTCTATTTACAATTTTTGGGCAGAACTTTAGACTTTTGTTTTTATCCCAGTTTTTTAGTAAAAGGTGACGCCTCTAAATGTCTGTGTTTTCAGTCAAAAACCTGAAGATATCCACCTTAATAAATTATACAACAGACAAGCGAGTCATGAATTATCCAAAAAGTTGATTAGACAATGGTTGCAGTTCTACTTCTTATTTTATGGGTCTGAAATTGTAGGTCTACTAAAAGTGATACATTACACATCATTACAAAATAGTTTCCCCTATTTTTATTGTCAAATTCTTCATGCAAACCAGTCGCTTCACATTAAAAAATAATGAATGAATGTCTACTGCACGGTGCTCATTTCAATCTGATATCTGTTGTTTGGGTCACATGACCTCCTCATAATGTGCTCCTGCAGACTCAGGCTCTTGATTTGTAGATTTACTAAAGCAGCTACCGGAAGCTAGGAGACAAACCAGGAAATAAAACGAATGAAAAATGGCCGAGAGGAAATCTCTCCAGAATGATCAGGACATTACAGACTGGGTCCTTATTTTTCTGCCTCTACATGAAACAAGTTATTGTACTCCTCCACTACATATCTCTGGCTGCAGATCATTATTGTATCATAAAAGTACACTTCATTCATAGAAGTATTTAAATCTTAGGACTTCGTCAGACTGAGTAGACCCTTTTTTTAAATGTCGAAATATGTTTGTTATTTTGGTCATCGGTCTTTATTTTTCATTTGAAGCTTTTATTGACGTTTTAAAGAAGCTTTGGATGTCATAACATTTCATATATATATATATATATATATATAATGAAATGTTTACACCACATCAATTAGCCTAGCAGCTAGAGGACCTTTCCTTACCAACACGTCGTCTACACTAGGTTGGTTTAAGGCACTGCGTCTCCAAACAGCACAGTTCATGCCTTTTTAGCTTAATATTGTTAATACAGAGCAGTGCGTTACTGCTCGACTCGTTCTTTTTGTTTTTTCATTAGGATTCTGTGTGGATAAGTACCTGGTACTAATTATTTTGTATGTGTGTGCAGATTCTTAGAAGATGAGGACTTAATTTATTCATGCATCTGTATCTCTGACACATCTTTTTAGTCTGATTTATTCATTCACCTCACCTGTTTAATTTCCTGCTTTTCAGATTTACGACCTGCGAGTCATTTGTGTAACACAGAGGTGCCCAGTCGACCGCGGGGGCAATGCTGGTAGATCGCGAGTCATTCATAATAATAAAAAATCCAGCTCCGTTAAAATAGACAACACAGGTTTTGATCCCTCCTCCTCGCCTCCCTGCCACTTAATTCAAGAGTTTACTTGACAGAGAAAGCGACCTATCGCTTTCCAGTCTGTTAACCCAGAATGCAAAGCGATACAAAATCAGTCAAGTGCCGGGAAAACTCAAATTAAGTTAAAGAGACAAACAAGGACCGAGCAAGAAGCTAAAGACAAACCACTTCCACCCAGAATGGGAGGAAGAATATTTGTTTGTGATGTTATATTCAAAGGTTATTTGCCTTAAAGCAAGCGTCGCTCTGCCAAAGAAAGGTAACGTGGAGAGGCATTATCGGAGTGTTCACAAGGCTGACAGCGACTTCCCTCCGAGTAGCGAGTTGAGAAAGAGAAAGGTCATGTATTATTGCTACACAAACATTATCTCGCAATCTTAGTGTCGCCAACTCGTTTCTAACATGCAAAAAGACAAACAAATGCGTCTATGGTCGGTGTATTTTTGATCTTTCCAATCGAGACGAGATCTCCCTCTCCCGTCTGTGCGCGAGGGGGCGGGGCAGTTTACACACACTCGGCTGCTACATGCAGCAACACACGGAGGAGATGGCGGGAGAGAAGCGCTCCAAGGTGTGGTTAAATGTTACCCGTCTTGAGGCGGACAATGCTCCTTGCCAAGAGAGTTTAGCATGTAAGGGCGGTAACACGAGCAATGTGTCTAAACATTTATCAAAAGTGCTCCACATCCAGACGGAGGAATGTACCGGGTTCGACCGTCTTTCTAGCAGCTCTGCAGCCCCATCCACGAGTAACGTTTCCACGTCAGGTGTTATGTATGCTAGCAGCGACACACGGAGTTTACTACATGATACAAACATGGATGAATGTTTAGAGTAAACTGAGTTATTTATTTTGTTAAAGTTTCAGCTATTCTGTTTACAGTCTGTCATCAGATTATTTAATACGATTTGTTAAAACATTGTTGTTTCTTTTGATGTAAAATATTATTTATTTCATTTAAATAAAAAGCAATGTTAGTTTTGTTCACAATTTGTTAAGTTAAAGGGGAAGACTGTGGCTGCGAGGGAGTGTGGCCGTCTTTCAACCAGAAGGTTGTGGGTTCGATCCCAGCCCGTGCAGCCAACATGTCGATGTTTCCTTGGGCAAAATACTTAACCCTGAGTTGCTCCTGATGGCATGGCCAACGGTGTGTGAATGTTAGGTCCTAGAGCAAGTGGTACTGCTCTGTATGAATGGGTGTGAATGGGTGAATGACATGTAGTATGTAAAGCGCTTTGAGGGGTCGTAAAGACTGGATAAAGCGCTTTATAAGTACAGTCCATTTACCATTTTAAAGGTGGGTTAGATAAGTTTGAGAAACCGGCTCGAGATACACTTTATATTCCATGGAATGCTCTTAACATCCCGATGGCAATGAATATCTTAAGTGCTTTGACAAAAAATCCATAAAAAATGTCCTCTCTGGAAGCCGTGGCGCTGTAAAAAGCACGACCAATCATCTGAGCCGGCTAAAGCAACTGGATGGCCTACCTGCCTGTCAGCCTTCCATCTGTGCACAAACTTATCTCGTGCCCTCATTGGTCATGTGCGCGTTCGTGTGTGTTGGAGGAGGGGCTCTGTGAGGAAGTGGCAGATTTTCTCCGGTTGTGTATTTTCAAATTCTAGCGATCTCGAGCCGGTTTCTCAAACTTACCTACCCCACCTTTAATTTAATAATATATGTACTTTTGAATCAAGTATTCATCTTTATTGTCTTCATTGTTAGTTTCCACATGCCTAAAACAACCTCAAGCTAAATCTAAAAGTTGATGGCTAAATAAGAGCGTTTGAGAAATTGTGCAAGGCATACAGTAATAGTCCGAATAGTCGATTAGTCGTTTCATTAATCGATAGATTAATCGATTATCAAATTAGTCGTTTGTTGCAGCCTAGTTGTCCCATGTATAAATAAAATGTGTTATTCAGCAACCCTTGCAATTTGTGATTTTATCTTTGGTTGGTAGACCTCGGTGAGCTGGTCATTTCAAAAGTAGCTCACCAGCCCAAAAAGTGTGGGCACCCCTGGTGTAACATATTGATCCCGCAGCATCCTGCCCTGCAGCTGAAACCCTCTGCATGCTGTGTTGATGTTAAACGCTTTAAACTGGTGTGACCTTCCGTCTGTGCTCAGCCTCTCTGTGGAGCAGCCTGCTGGCTTTCTGAGGGTTTCATGTGAATGATATGAACAGTTTTCTCACTTCTCATTCTGACCACTTACAGCTGCAGTGTGATGCAGCAGATCTGCACACATTCTTTCAAATGCTTTCAATATCAACTATTTGAAATATATCAGAACACTCCCTTGAGTCAGAAGCATTTTCAGGAATTTCATTTAATCCCAAACGGAAACACGTGAGCTTTTAAGACTCGTAGCGAATGTTATCCCCCTGCCGCTTAGCCCCCTCTTAGATTTGTTGAATCACCTCAGAGTTTGTCGGTTTGGAGAAACACATTTTAATATAGTGACATAAATCAATACACGCAGCTTCGGCCCTCGTAAAAAGAAAAGGATAAATGGTGGCTGGTGCAAAGGGAAATATTTGGAGAATTATATTTATTCAAAGAAATAAACGCTAATATTTATGGAAAAACTTGAATATTCTTATGGTTTAAATTGGGTTAAAAATGTACTAGAAAAAAAAGAAATGTCTTAGATACTAAACCTGAATATCCTCTAATATTTTATAAAGTGACACGTGGACAAAAATACCCAAATAATAAAGTGGTAACATTTAAGAAAAAAATCTATAATCACAAACTTATGAAAAATAAAATGAAGTTGTAATGTTTTATTGTAAATTGGCTCCGTGTTTTATTTAGTTTCTTTACCTACATGCTCCTGATACTCCATTGTACAGCTAAACAAATCTGCAGATTCATTGACATTGGATTTGCAGATGAAAGAAAATGTGATCTCTTAAATCCCGAGTTCCTACTCCCTGTATGTTAACCCGCTCTGCGGCTCTGTATTCATTTGTTCAGCAGTTTAATTGTGATTTGCAGATGTTTTGATCTGAAACAAGCTGCAGTCAGCTGGTGACCTGTCCTCTGCTGGGTCTCTCTCTCTCCTCAGGCTTTAACCTCATTTTCACTTTTTGTTTTGGCTTGTTGTTTTGAGTTTCTCTCCCTGCTGCTTCTAACACGCTGTCTTCTCTTTACAGCAGTGTCCACCAAGATTTAACAGTTGGTACTAAGGTAGGCACCTCTGCTTCCTCTTCCTCCCCCTCTCTTCCTCCTCCTCTTCCTCTTTGTTGGTTTGTGTTCTGCTGTGAAATGCTTAGATTGATTTGCACTATTTAAGGTCACTAACACATCTCCCTTTCAATTATGATAGGTCTTAGTTGCATGAAAAATGTCTCCCAACAGGAAACACTTATTCTAATATTGTTTATTCATCAATTAATAGTCTAGTTTTTGGAAGTATGAAATGTCAGGAAATTGTGAAAATAATGTTTTACTACTTTATTTAGATTAGAACTTAATTTATAATAGTTTCCTTAGTACTGCCACCAACATGTGTTTATGCACACTGTACAGGTTTTCGTTATTTCCTTTCACAATAAAAGCCCTAGACACACAGGCTGCTTTTCTAAACATTAAAGGGGACTTAAAGTCACTAATGGCGCTTTTCCACTGCAGCACGTAGCACGGTCTTCCACTAGGGGTAGTTCCGGCTCGGGGCTACTTTTTCACTTTTTTTTCGGGCCCTCCAAAATCGAGGTTCTTACCGAGCCAACAACCGGGCTCAATATGCTAAACTAGTGACGTAAACACTCTCGACTGCTGATTGGTCAGGGGGCTACAACTAGAACAAAACGAACATATTTGACCGTGATTTAATTGTAATACACGTTTCAAAATGATGCCGAAGTAACAACATACTGATACCGGTTAGTAAAAACCATGAATTAATGCTTTGACAAGTCTGCAGACAGACGGCAGGCGAAGAACCTTTTAAAATGCGTGTTTTCTGAATGGAAAGCTAACGTTGTATATGCAGTGGAAAAGCGCCATAAGATAATTTGGCTAAAAGGCAAAAGTAGTCTAGAAAATCTTACTTTTTAAAATAATTAAATTATAATAATTTTGTACATTTCCTTCTATTTATAACCTTATTATTTTCATTTGCTAAATTATTTCATAGCCATATTTAATTCATACACTTATTCATAATATATTGATATTAAATAAGCCCTCTTTAAGAGAGGTGTTTATTTACGAGTGTTTGCACAAAGCACTTCCCCTTGTCCTTCTCTTTTGTATGCAGGCTGTAAATACAGGTTTTTGTTATTACCGTTCACAACAAAAGCCCGTGACACTTATTCTGCATCAGTACATATTAAAGGGAACTTATATTTAGCTGAAGTAGTAGTTCTTTTGAAAAACATCCCTTTTTTTAAATACTTTATTTTAGTTTGTAAATATCAATTAATGTACAATTGCTTTTATTTATAAACTCATTCTATTTTTATTCCATGATTTAATTCATAGCCACATTTATTCATTTAATTGACTTATTTCATTATGTAATATTATTAAATGAGATTTGTAAGCTCAGCCCTAACATGCATTTGTTTTGGCTTTGGGAAAGATTAGTTCATTGTCTCTGTATTGATCTTGAAAAACATTAAATATCAGGGTGTCCGCGGGGTCTTAAGAAGTATTCAAAGTTGATAAATCAATTTATCTAAAAAGTATTTAACGGCATTTTCCAAGGTATTACATTTTGTATCTTGTTTTCAATAAGTATATAAATGGTCCAGAGAGGTTGTGTTCTACAGTCTGCCTGAATGTAATCATGGCGTAGGTGTGTAGTGTGATTCTGTGTAGTTTATTGATGGCATCCCGTTGGGTTTGACGTCATCTGAACAGGACATCGCACGCTCACTGCTTGATAGCGCGCGAAGGCCCGTTTACGCCGGTTGCTAAGCAACATCGTTATGGGGAAATGCAAGTCTGCGTCCAAACGGTTGGAAGATAAGGAGGAAGGACAATCGATGCTGTCGTGGCTTCCTTCCTTGTCTTTCCATCAAGCCACTAGACGCCTTAAACAGACAGTTCTAACTTGTTTCTTTCCTTTAAATCACTCACAGCTTGAAGTGTTGCTTGGCCTCCGATGGTTTAGAAGATGTTGCGATGTGTTTGCTAAAAATGAAATAACAAACTTTTGCACATGCAAAAAAGAAAATAGGCCTTTACAATATTCAAAAGAAATAGGCAAAACTCAAATAACATAACAAACAACTTAGGTATTCTTTCTGTCTTGATAATGCTTATAACTTCATAACTTAAAGGGTACTTGTACGGTTTGTATGGACGTGTACGGTACGGTTAAAAACTGTTCCTCGACGGCGTCTCAACAGGTTGCCCATCACTGTGGCTTTAGCCCAGGTGCCGTGGGAAATGTAGTCCTTTATAGTGCGTTGGCTACAGACGTCACAATTAGGTGGCCTTTCTTATAAAAATCTAAATACTGGCTCTAATAAATGCTGTATATAGTCAATGTGAGGTGAAGTGTGTCGCCAAGGTAACCGGTTAAAACTCCGGTGGCGATGAGGTCTTAAACTGTATGGAAAGGGTCTTACATTTGACTTCAGGATTCCTGCTTATACCCTGAATATATATTTTTTACGTTTGCGCGACCCCGTGAACACCATTAGAGTCCGGCGCTGCCACCTGGAAACACTCAGAGGTTTTCTCTGTAATTAGTGCTGGGTTCTCACTGTTTTATAAACGTATTCTGAACTGCAGCAGTGATTTAGACACATTCCTCAACAAGTCTGACGATAATCCGATTATTCAACAATAATTTTACATTCTTAAAGGACCAGACCGCTGACTTTGCACCCATTCAGTATAAATCCTGCTGACTGAATCATTGTTCAGGTTTTACATATTTTTAGGGAGAAGGACCTTTGGGTTCTCTTCATTTTCTTTGTGGCATGTTTCAGTTCTCTACAAGGGTTGCTAAAGGTTAGCGAAAACCATAACCACAGATTTCTTTATCTAATACATTGTTTTTGAACAGTGGATTTCTTTGAACAAATTAAATGGAACTTAAAGGACACCTATCATGCTATATTTAAATGATATATTGTAGGGCCATACTAGGGCTATAGCGATACACTAATCTCACGATACGATATTCAGCTCACGATACGATATATATCACGATATTCAGCCAACGATACGATTCGATACGATTCGATATACTTATATCATTTTCTGAAAGATTTTAAAGGGACAGTGTGATTTTGGTGACATCTTGTGAGTGACTTGACTTGGATTGAATGAATTCAACTGAAAACTGAAAGCATCAATTATACAATATATGGCTGACGGAGAGTCTACAGCTTGCAAATGCTGGACAAAATGAATCAAAAGATGTGGTGAGAACATTTGTTTCATTTATTGAAACAGTGCAAACTGTAACTTACAAGCCTTTGAAACGTAAGTACATAAAGTACAGTATCACAATGGACAATGGAGAATTAAAAGGTGCAGCATGTGGCGGAGCACAGGGGATTTGAATGGGACTTGTTAGAAATTAAAATCAATGTTTTGATGGCATAAAGTACCTTAAACATACCGTCAGTTTAAATGCTGTTTTATACTGAAAAACCAGAAGTTCTTGTGCACAACCAGTTGTTAAGCTTTTATTCTGAAAATCCTTCATCTCCGGTTAGCATTTAGCATGTGGCTAATATACCATTTACTATAGAGGTGAATTTAGTAGCGATATGACACGGAGTGTTGCACACCGAAACCTACTGATTTCAACACTACAACTATAGACAACGAGATATTATTATTGCTGGATATTAAATGAAGGTACAGTTTATTTGAATACGTTTGTTTACAGATGTGGGTAGCATGAGACAACATCCGAAACTACCGGAAATGATGCCAGCCGTGAGGTATTTTTGGAGTATTGATTACACTGTTTAAAATGTATTAAATGGAAAGAGATAAGGAGGAGAAAAGGCGTGTTTAGTTATATATGTAATGTACAATGCCTGAATCCTCTGTTATGCGCAACAACGAACATTGGAGACGTGGAGGGCCGGCCCCCAGCAGCGCCAACCGGCACACGGGGAGGAGCCAGCAGAGGATATTTAACAGCTGGAAAAGTGGTTCTCGCTCTCTTCCCTTCGCTCACGAGAGCCAGAACACAGCTGTTTTTCTCACCTGAACCATCTTCTGCTTGTAACATTACCGCGCTTTTTATTAATTAAAGTATACATTTGAACCTTCTAAGAGACTCAATTAGTCTCCTTTTTAAAGCTTCTCTCCTGGACGCGAGAATAACGAACACAGTTATCAGACTTAATGTATCGATACCCGCAGCTGAAATATCGATACTTTCTCGGAAAACTAAATATCGATATATATCGCAGGATCGATTAAATTGCACAGCCCTAGGCCATACCTATATAAGGTATATTTATACGTTTCTGTTTTCAAAATACCAAACAGATCATGCATTTGAGCCATGCCTCATTTTGCTCTATTTGCTGTTCTCCAGCGCTGTTTTTTCAGGGGGCTGATTCTGTGAGCTGCAGCTGACCACGCCCCCTGCAGGAGAGGGGAGCCGCTCTGATCAAGTCAGAAGAGGGGGAGAAAAATAGATCTCCGTCCTCCGTGTTTTATTATATTACTATAGAGTCGTTATTCATTTGTTTTAAAGCTCAATAAATAACAAAGAAGACCTTTGACCGGCACTTTTCTAATTTTGTCTGGAAGATTTAAACTTTAATGGACGGGGAGGGATTGCATTGAATTACAGCAGCGGGAGCAAACACTTGCCTCTGGGAGGGAGAAAAAGAGCCACAGCGGAGAATAAACAGAAAGGCAACCATGCGCGGGAAGTCTTCTTCACTGCTTTTGTGGCAAACTACAGCGCCACTTACAGGCCTGGCATATGTACTACAGCGTCTCCAGCGCTTTTGAGCCGTAATGGGCGGCCGTGGCCCAACCCCACATTCCCCTGATAGGTGGAGAGTTGGCCCAATAGCCGTAGCGCTGACGTCAGGACAGTGTTCAAATCTGGATCAGTTTTTATCAGATCCGTTGCAGCCCCTCAAATCGGCAGCGGACCCACAGAAAGTTGCTATCAGAAACAATGCCTGACGTGTTTTGTACGTAATCTGGTCTTTGTTTACATTAGCATCGCTAACACTCAGAGCTAACCTGTA